ATATAAACTCAGTAATTAAGGTTTATTGAGCCAAGCAAAAGCAGAAAGAAACCAACTAGCCGAGAGGCCCCTAACTTTGGACACGCCGCTCTCTGCCTCTCTCATTTAAGGGACTGGCGGGAACTTTGTTGAGTGGTCAGCAGGGCTGATCCGACAAGCGGATGAATCTGAGCTAGACATCAACAACAAAGTTGGTCTGAAAAAGAAACAAGCGATGTGTATTAATTGGCCCCCCTCATGTGTGAGCTTGGCCCCCTAGCCACGCCCGTGCAACGGCGATCCTTGATCATGGCCAGAGTGAGCATCAACAAGATTGGCATGAGCAAGGATGCAGCGTGGGCGAACACCAGGCCCTTCCCGGCAAATGCCAGCAGACACTCGATTGACCTTGGACAAGGCTCCCATGCGCCGCCGTGGAAAACTTTGAACAGAAGGCTACGGCTACCGCTGCAAATCACTACTTAATATCAATAAACTCACACAAACGCAATGCCAAGCGTCATGGTAGCACCACCCTGGCCCTGCAAGATGTCAGTGAATATCTCGATGGACTCCAGCAGGTGTTTGGCCCAAGTGCGCAAACTTGCAAAGGCACTGGTCTGCATCACACCCATCCTGGGCCGGATGCCCTGCAGCCCGGCGCGCCCAACCCATTCTTTGGGTACAGGGCCCAGCCGCAAAACTGCAAGCCAACCCTGGAGCACGCTGCTCTTAACTCTATTCCGCTGCGAAATCGCCTTAATTCAAAGAGCCAGCTCAAAGCTTTCCCCTTCTCGACGCCCGCAAGAACGGCGCGAGAAAATATGCTTTGACGGTTGCTTCAGAAAAGCAAAAACACGCGCTCCCCCCGCTGCTTGCGATCGTGGCATGCCCCCGAAAAATGACGCATCCAGCCACCAGCGCCCCAGGGCAGCCAACAACACGAGAACGGACTATAGTGGGCGGTCAAGTAAGAAAGCTTCATCATGGGCGAGGTCGTGAACCCCCCAGAAGGTGAGGTCGTCACAAGTTGCGCGCGCCTGCCTTGTTTACAGGCAAGAGCCGTATCCGCTTCTTTGCAGCCATAAGCTGCCAAGAATCATCTTCTTTCTCATCCCTCCAAACATCGTTGCATCTGAACAGAACCACTTTAATTTCATGGCTGGGAAACCAAGTGCTGCGGTTTGCTAGCCTGTGCAACACATCCATCGAATCGAAACAACATGGGGCGAGGGAGTTGGTTGCCAAAAATGTCAGTTCTCCAGCCAATTCAAGAATGAAAGCTGCGGTGAACCTAGTCCCTGCGCTTCCTTCAAGGAAACCAAAAACAGTGTTTCCGAACAAAGACGCAAATTAAGAAACGGTAACTGCCCGTCCGCCAGAGAAAAGCCGCTCTGCCCAGGCTCAGCGCTGTGCTGCTCACCGTGGCAAAGGCCAGCAACTGGTTGAGATAAACCGAGCTACTCTTCTTCCCCGCCTGAGCCAAGACCCACCAATGACCAGCCATGAAAGCAAAGCAACACCCCTTTGTCTGAATAAGGCCCTCGGGGTTAAGCAGGCCAAAATTGGGGGGGACTTTGGGTGGCCTTCGGCTAGAGGCACCTCCAACAAGAAATCGCAAAGCAATCAGATCTGGGAAGTCTTTGCGCAAACAGAACCCTGCAAAGACCCAGCTCAATTCAGCAGGGTTGCAGTGCGACCCTGTTGTTTCCTTGCAAACATTGCCATCACTTCTGCAATCACCGCAGAGCCCGCTCGAGCCAACAAGTCTAACCTGTCTCGCGAAACAAGTCCAAAACGCTGTGCCTTCCACGCAAACCTAGCCGACTGCTCGCCGTATCGAGCCCCAGCGTTGTTCAAGCGCTGCGCCTGTCACGCAATCGAGCCCCAGCAGCGTGTCTCAAGTTTGCTCAGAATAGCTTTCAAAGAGCTGCGCCTGCCACGACGAGAGTGAGTATAGGTTCAGTGAGTCAGAATGAGACAGGTTGTGTATCAACTTGAGTGTAAGTGAAAGCAAGTATGTGTGTGTGTGTGTCAATGTGGAGTGAGCGAGAGTGAGAGCGGGTGTAGGTAAGTGAGCGAAAGTTCTATGAGTAAGCATGTGTAAGTTCAGTGAAAGTGACAAGGAGGAGAGGAAGAACCCCAGAAACACGTATGCGGTTCACGCGAAGGCGAAACAAGAAACCTCCGCCGGACCCTGGCTCTCGCCTTGGCACCCAGCACGCCAAGTGCCGCGATGACAAACAGCACCACGTCCTTGAGCGCATACAGGGCCGCGTGACGAACCAGCTGCTGGGTAGACGTGCTGCATTCCACCTGAGTAGGCAAGGCCCGGCATTAAACCGGCGCCTGCGACTTTTTTTATGGTCGGGGCTGTCCCCCAGCCTAGCCTTGAGTTTTTATTGGGCGGACTAGGAAACCATGGGTGTCAGTCATCCTACGCAAGCTCCTTACCTTTGATCCTGCAGTCACGGGAAAAACGCAAGAAAGGTCGTGCGGGTGCGTCTTGCTTGCTTTAAGTGCAACCCGTTTCGGCGACCGTTGCACCTTGCCGAGGCACGCACACCAGCACACTGCCATCTGACCTTCCGTAGCCTGAGCTGCAGCTTGAGCACCTTGCGTGGCAGGTGAGTGAAGAAAACAAAGGTGACACCAGCATCATGTCTGCCGAGTCAGTTCGGTTAAACAAGCAAACCCTTTGTGCGGCCGGCCACCTTTAAATGGGAATTCCACGATTGCTTCAACATCCCTGGCACAAGTGTAAACCACCTCAGCGTTTCCTGAATCTTCTAGCCTTTCATGCCTCATGGGTTGCCGAGCGGCGCAGCGCCTTGGTAGCCCTGCTGGCAATACGACGGGGGAATCGGAGGTACCGGAGTCTCGATGACTTGCGCAGGACATGCTGCAGGATTGGGGCAGTGCAGCGCTTGGGAGAAGTTCCCGCTGGCGTTCACCTCATCAACTGAGGCTGCCGAGGTCAACACCCCAGCTCCCTGTTGGCCATTTTATTTGGTTCAAATTGGTTTCATGGCCTTAGCAAGGCCAAAACAAATGTACAACCATGGAACCGCAAAAGTCAATGCCTGAATCACTTTTTGGGTTCCCAGTCACCTTTTACGCCTACTTTATGTTGAGGTGTCACGCCAATCTTGGTTGATTTGTGTTTGCCCCTTTGGGGTTGTCAACGGGGAACCAAAGGGAAAACCGTCCAATATTTCATAGGTCTTCTCACGGTTGCTTCTGTGATGCCGAGGAAATCACTGTCATGATAATCACCCACCTTGGTATCACAGAAAGGGTTCTTTCCACAACCATTGGTCATGGCAAACATTTTATTTTGGAAGGGCTACACGTACTCTACCAACGTTACCTTACTCGGAATTGGACATGACGGAACCAGGCTCTTCCAGAATGTGTGTCCGCCGACCCCTTGTCTGCAAGGGCGCGGCACATGCGAAGAGTATCATCATCATCATCATCATCATCAGCATCATCATCATCATCATCCTCATCCTCATCCTCATCCTCATCCACATCCTCATGGTCATCATCATCATTATCCTCATCCTCATCCTCATCGTCATCATCCTCATCATCATCATAATAGCCATCATCCGTCCTCACCGTTGTCTCTATCTTTTTTGGTCATATACATTTCAATGTTGGACATTGCTGGGGGTACAAGGGATGCTATGATGATAGTCACCATGGAGTTATTCATGGCACAGGTCAGCATCATCCTCATCATAATCATCATCATCCGCAAGGGATGCTACGATTGTAGTTATCATTATCATGGTGATCATCATCGTCATCATCGTCATCATCATCACTATCATCACCAGCATCCAGCATCATCATCATCTTCTTCATCATCATCATTATCATCACCGTCATCCTTCGTCATCATCTTCTTGTTCACCATCATCATCCATCATTATCCATCATCTTCCATCATCATCGTCGTCGTCGTCATCATCATCATCATCATCGGCGTCATCATTTTCTTGCAATAGATTTCGGGTGTCGCGCTTGGCAGCGTTTGGGATGCTGAGGATCAGGTTGGGAGAATACAAGTCCGTTCATATCTATGCTCCTTCATGCCAAACTTCCGTATGGTCTCTCTCTACTCCCGGCCCTCCAAAACTTGCCAAAACAAATCGGGAGCCCGGCAACCGCCTGGACTCGCGGCGGTCGCTTGACTCGTCTCTCTTAGGCCCGGGCAGTGATACCCTGCCGCAGCCTCATGCGTGAGGGTCGGCACTCCTCCGCGAGCTCGGGGCATGGAACGCATGCCGCGTCTGGCTCCGGTTGCAGAAGCATATTGCCTGGGCTGCAGGTAATGCAGCCGACCGACAAGGGCGTCTCGTCCTTTCCTTAGTTCCACATTTCTTTTAAAAAGAGCAAATCATACGGGATTCAAACCCGGGATTCATTCAACATTCATTTCGCAACAATAGTCGCTGGAAGCCACAGCTGCAAATTGGGTGTGTCTATAAATGGGGCGACCCCCAAAATGGTTGGATTCTGTGGGTTTTGCTGTTCAACCAACCAAAAGGGGGTTCCCCTAAAAGGACACACCCAGTTGTCAATTAAACCGTCGCCCAGTTGCCGGTGCCCAATGGGCATCTAGCAACGCGCTCTACCAGCGGCGCGGCTTCTTGAGAGCTCACTGCACACTCGTCGGCATCGTCGCAGGCCATGGTGCCCAAGCGCAAGGACGATCCAGGGCCACCCACCGAGACGTAGTTTGGGCTCTGTTTGGTTGCAGCCCCCAAGAGGCTCAGGTTGCGAATTTGAACCTCAGATCAGATTTCGGACAAAAGGCCAGCCCTTTTTTTGTAAGTTGAGTTTGGAGAAGACCCCTCCAACACGTTGTTAACAAAGGAGAAGCCCACTACCTAGGTGCAATTGGGCAACTCGCCCCGTGCTGGCCACAGCATTGCCCGTACTTGCGGCACAGCCGGCGAGAACAGCCTCGTCCAAGCTCAGGCTCCTCTTGGCGCTGATGCAGCCGCCCATAGCAGCAGCTGAGCAGTTGCTCATGTTCAGAGCTTCTCCGATGAGGTGGAAAACCCAAAGGCCACCTCAGCGGTGTCCAGCCGAAGCTCTTGTCTGCCATTCGCTCAAACACAAAGACTCAAGCTCTTGCAATGACTTTGCTGCGCCCTGCCTCCACTTTCAACTGCTGAGCAATTGCCGATATCCACGCGGCTCTGTGCCATGGTCATACTGCCGTCGACATAGGCTGCGCCTCTGCACGAGACTCCACAATCTAAGCTCAACTAGAAGCAACCTGCAAGTGGGAAGACGTTCTACAACCTACTGGGATTGCTTCATGACACAGGCAGCTGTGCCCGCTCAACTTGGGTCTACTTGCACGACGACCTCGCTGGCCTCCGTTCCTGCCGGCGGTGCTGCCACGGACGAACATGTCGCCTCACACTCCAAGCACCCGATTCGCCGCTGAGGTGAGGACCATCCAAAATGCCGACCCCTGCGAAACCGACTGACCACGCAAAGCAAATAAGCACCTGCTCAAATCACCGGTCATGTCAAAGCGCTTGTCAAACTCTAACAAATATAACCATCGAACAATTGAACGGCAGCACTCCGAATCTGCACCCACGCAATTTGAGGTTGTATAACAACCTTGCGTTTTTTTTCTTTCTTTCTTTTTCTGTAGATGACCATGACATCATGACCCCATTTGGGTATCGCTTCTTTTTGCCCCTGTTGTTTTTGCATGGCAAATCACAACCGAAAAGGTGGTAAACGAAGAACACTTTGGCAGCTCCAGCTCGGTTGTGGCAACTTGTGTATACGACTGTAGAAATTACATGAAGTGCACTGGCAGCTCCGGCAGGAAATTGAAACTTTCCGGCCGTTGTGATCACCGGATGAAGAAAGGTGTGCAAAAAAACTATATTGGTGAAAAACCATATCAAGTTCCTTATCGTTTGTTATAGTTTTGTTCAGCCAACAAATCTAACCTGTTTGCTCCCTGACAAGCTATGTTTTTGTCCAGCTAACAAGGCTGCTTACCATAGTCGTTGTCGTTTCTTTTGGCTCTTAGTGTAGTGCAGCAAAACGGGGCAGTTTTGAACATACGGGACCTCCAAATACTTCACTCAAAACAGCGGCTTTCGTAAAAACTCGACTGAACATACTGTACAGCACTCCAACAAACTAAACTCATTCGTCAAAATTGTTTGCATCATGTCTCCATGTCCATTGCCACCAGGCCACTGCCTTTCAGCGCAATCTTGCTTTCAAAGCCCAGCCCGCTCTTGGCGGCCAGCCAGCCTGCAAAGGAATAGGGATCCTATAAGTAAGGGACCATTATCATGGTGAGCTCGTTATACCCCCTGGTGAGCTTGCTATAAAATAGGCAGATACAAGGATTGCTGCAAGTCAAGTTCGAGGTGGACACAAATAGTCGTGGCTCAAAAATCACACCAACACAATGCGGCACTCTGGGTTCCAAATTTTGTGCCACACCCACATGCCAAGCTTCCCGCCTCCATCGCCACCTGATTTGCACGCAATGGCCCTCACTGAGCCTTGCACAGGTTGGCAGATTCAAGCAAGACACCAGCCGGGCATAGGGGGGACCTCACTATGTTGGTCTTCTCTTAAGCCGCGCACACACGCACACACAACTGGACTCATGCTGTTAGCGCTGCCAAAGGTGCTATCGCAGCAGCGCAAATGGCCAGCCCAAACATCAGCACGGGGTGCCCGTTTAGTTGTCTGGGCAAGCTTACGTGGAGACCAATTGTTTTAGGACATTGTTGCACTATTCTAGCCTGGACAGCCCTACCAGGGGCTCTACCAAATGACCCTCTTGACTCCGCTTCTGGCTCTATGCTTTGCCATTCCTCTCAACTAGTTCTTTGCAAAGGGTTGATTCTCCTTTCGGTTCGCCCATCGTTCTTTTCAGGAACCACATATGATGCTCGTCAAAATGTGATTTTCCGCTCTAGGCGCCACTCAAACTCATCACCCAAAGAGTAATTATTTTCTGCAATTCGCTGCGCCAGTTTGGGAGGCCCGCTCAGGCGGGCCAGGGTGATGGATCCGCTTCGCTGCCAGTCCCACCGGACGGATCGAAGCTGCCAACAACAGTCATCAGCGCCATGCGATCCTCTTTTAGGGCCTATCGCCTGGCGCGAGGTTCCCTGATCATCTTCGAGGACCACCACCCATTGCAGCCGGGACACTGCCCAGCGCGGTCATTGTCAAGGCATACAAAGCACCTGCGAGGGTGAACATGTCAACATTGCGGCGCCATGACTGGTCTGTTGAGGATGGTATGCTTTTGCGGGTTCTGTTTCAAGGAGAAGCAATGAGAAACCGAAGCCAAGTTTCGTTGTTTCCCTCGGACTGAGTCCCTGTGTACCCCTTTGCTTCTTGGAATGTCAGCATATTTGTGCGGGCACCTGTGTGGATTATGGGCGCGTTCTTTCTTTGTGCTGGTTGCGCTTGCATTGTTGTCGTCTGCTTTGATTTTTTGTTCGCTGTTCTTTGGAATCCTCTTTCTCAAAAAGGGGCGGCGTCCCTGATCCCCCAGACGGCTGTTCACAGCCTCACTCCATCTTGACATGCCGCAGGGGCCGGAGTCCGCGGCACGGATGTCAGGCGGCAAGTCTGACGCCTTCAGTACAGAAATACTCCCAACCTCAACCTTGCGCGGCGCGTCCTTTGCCTTGGCGGTTCATTGCGGGCGGACTTTCACCGACCTGACTTTTGCATTTTGACCATACCAAGCGCAGAACTTGCTGTGGCTATGACGCTGTGTTGCAACTGGTTCCAGTGGCTCCGGCAATGCATCATAGCAGCATTGGCAAGCCCCACGCGCGCAACCTGGTCCAGTTTTGGGATGACAGGTTCAACCAACAACCGCCGTGCAGCTGTCACGTGAGGTGAACTTCAATCGGGGACCCTTTGGTGGACGTTGTTTGCATGGACATTTGTGCCCACGAGTTTCTCCCCGCTAAGGCTGATACCCATTTCTTCGCAACACATGCAGGCGCTGCAAAAGCAATGCAAGCTTCAGAAGGACAGATGAAGACCAAGACAGACCAAGATAGACCAAGACATAAGTATGCACAAAACACTGGAGAAGTTAAGAGGAAACTCATTCAGCAAACTATGCCGGCAAGCTGTCTATGGCAGATATGAAGTGACAACGAAACAAGCACTGAGTGGTGAACATGTTGCGAGTGGCGCAGTTGCCCCAAAGAAAGGGGAACAATTTCAGACCAGTTGCAGGAAAAATATACAGAACATGTATCACTCACCCAAAGATTAGAGTCTAAGCTAATTCCATGTCGCTGCTCCGTTACTTGGACCCCCAAGCTACCCTTCAGTGGACATTGCTGCAAACTCTGGGGTGATGTCTGATTTTTTGGGGTCCACAATTGAAGGCGAGTTGAAGGGTCCTACGTAGTTTTCCTGATTCAAAGTGCTTATCGATGGACTTCTCGGGCATCGGGCCTCCATCCATTTGAGCTTCACAGCCTTCAGCTGACAGTCGGCCTTGGCAATTGAAGATCGTTCATATTGAATACTACCAGAAACCGACAAGGGCCAGGAGAAGAAAAAACAACTGGTAATGGTGACCGATTTTCATATCAGCAACTATGGCGTCATTTTGGACAAATCGATAGGTTTCACTGGCAAAGAATCAGGGATGAATTCTGACGAAAAAGGAAGAACACCTATGGATCGAACCTACCACCTCGCCTCCCGCATTCAAGGAAGAGGGGGTGGGATTCAGGCAAAGAATTAACTTGTTTCAATACTTCATTTTCTAAGGGGGGCTTAAGCAGGCGGGTGCGCTGGGCGTGCAACGCTCCTCTCAGCCCCATTCTGTGTTATCGATCTAGGGTCCCTCTCTCAACCGCCTTCACAAAATGACATGAACAACAACATTACTGCACCCCCTCCCGTGATGTCATTTATTCAGAGGGTATGCTGGAACAACACTTCGTTCCTTGTGTCAAAGGGATATTTAATGGAAGGCTGAAGTCTGGGAGGTGAACCAAGCATTTGCACGTTCAAGCAAACTCACTAGAAATGAACTCTTGCCCAAAGGCGAAGGATCTTTCACTGCACTTTGGGGATTTCCACCAACCACAGTTGAGGGTATTCCCAGATCCAATTAAATTTCATAGCCATGTTGAGAACGACCCAAATAATCTTCAGGCAGTAGACCAATGTTCATTACAGGCATAGTTGAAGCACTCGAGGGGGTGAACGTGTGTGTTTTCAAATATATCGGCATAGTCTGGGTGTCTTGCTTGTTCAGCGTTCCCTCAAACAGGGGCTTTAAATGAAACTAAGCCGATAGCACCCATTTATGGGAGGCGGTCCGCACTCTAAGACTGTAAAAAACTCTTCCATTTGCAGCATCCAAACTTCTTGCAGCCAGGCGACTAGTGTCCAGCACGAGATGCGTAGAGCTATAAATGACACCTGCAGGCGGACCGGTGCTCAAGCTAGGGGGGCGGAATAGGCCCCTTGTATGTGGGTGACACCGAAGCATCAAATGAGTAAGCGACAAGATTGCCAACACAAAACGATTTGGGACTACCCTATGAACCTGCAAAACCTATAGGACATTTTCCACCCAAGCCGATACCCTGGTTCTCTTGCCTCTCACGTGATTTTCCGAAATGTCTATACCTAAAACAAAAATCACAACTCAATCCTGATGGCCACTTGAAAACAGACTCGTTCAGCAGGCCATGAGTTTTGCCTCTTTGGCAAGTGCAATAAGTGAAGAGTAATACATCCGCGCATTGCTTCCCTTCAGACCCCGCGCTGTCAAGATTCCGCGGATCAAGGTGCGCGGCCATTCTTGCAGCCAAAATTGAGTGGCCACTGCCACGGCACAACTGGAAAATGGGCATGTTGCAAAGCCACCCCCCCAAGTCCTCAAACAAGTCTATCGAGCAGACCAGAGGGCCCTGCGTGGCAGCAACACCACACATGCGCTTTTTATTGTCTGCGCTGCAGTTGCGCACGCCTAGCCCAGAGCAACCGCTGACAATTGGCATTCAGCGCAGCTTACGCAAACCCAAGAAGCAGAAAGCTAGATGATGCGAATGGGAAAGTAAGTCGTACATATTACAACGAGGTGGCTCTATCGCATCGGCCAAAAAACGAGCTTGCTGCAAGAAGCAAGCTTGAAGTCAAACACTGACGTAGACCCAACTTGGTGCCATGCGCACCTCAATCTAAAATGTGCCCTTGACCTGTGGGGTCTGCAACTCCCCCAATCACCGGCCTTCCGCGTTGCAGGCGATTCCTTTCGCAGTAGGCCCTTCAGACATGTGTTTTACATTCATTGCGTTCGTGCGTTTTCAGACAACCCCCACGTGTGTTTCATAGCTTTTGCGGAACTCAAATCAGCTTGAAACTCACCTGAGCGTTGTCCAAAATGGTGAGAAGTGTGCCGGCATTAACTTCCTTGTCCAGCGCCTAGATGCTTTCGTGGTTGGGAAAACATGTCTTCAAGAGTGATTTCGCTTTCGCGCACAAGGGAAACCAACAACCACTAACATCTTGGAACATATGCAAACAGCTTGCAAAGGACACACCCGTGAAGCGGAATCAGCCCGTTGTGATTTCTTGTGACACGCAGAACTTGGCGGAGCTTAACCCCGATCTACCCCATCTGCCTCCCATGCTGCCAGCTGAGCAGTTGGTGGCCGCTAGAGCGCCTTGGACGCAGCATGAGGCACGATCGACTGGGCTTACACGAAGCCAGCAAGTTGCGCAACAAGTAGCTCCGCCCAGCTTTCGAGCTTGTTAACTGAACTCGGAACTTCATCAACACACGAATAGGCAATTGCTGACACGTGCTGGCAGAAAAAAAGCGGCACCACGCACAGTCTGCAGCCAGGGAACTAGTGCCTAGCACCAGCTCACGGCAGCTGATGACACCTCCGCCTGACAACTGCATCTGTCTGAAAGCAAAAACGGTCCCAAGACGGATTGGTTGAAATGGAAGCCTTGGTCATCTTGAACCTTGCCTATAGCTAGTGAGTTACCCAGAAAGAGCCCCGAAAGGTAAAGAAAGCCTAAATCGTTGAACCTTGCCTGGTGAGTTACTTGGAAAGAGCTGCAATCCCGTGAGCGCGAAAGCCCTGAGATGTTTTGCTTGTCACCTCTGCTTGCAGCTCAACTCCCCATGGCCTCTGGCCTTTGCTCTGCAACGGGTGGCTGTCAGAGTGCCTCGCGGGCCGCAACATGAGGCATGCTACTCTCGTTCCATGCAGGAAACACCGATAATGTGTATTTAATAGTTCCGCCCTGGCATCCACGAGCGACAGACACAGAATGAGGAATGCCGTAAGGATGAACATAAAGCAGCCACGGAACCGAGTGAAGGCGCCCAAACGAAGCTCTTGCAAAACACAAAGATCCCTGCAGCCGCGCGACTGGTATTCAGCATCACGTCCCGCAAGGCAATGAGGACACCGCCTCCTGAGGGCGCAAGCGCGTCGTGTGAATCTTGGACCCAGCTCAGCTCAACTAATTACTCGGAGAGAACTGCAATTGGTTCGTGAAAGCCCCACGCGCCGCGTTGGCACCTCAGCCGCCAACCACCCCTCCCCCCGACCCTGCCTTGAGCTGCAAAGCAACCGGTAGCCGTCAGAGAGCCTTGCACGGCGCACCGTCTGTGAGGCACTAATTCCTCGAGCGTGGCGCCAGAAGCCGCCGCTCAAAACGAAAAACACCCTGCAAGATGCGCAACACGTCGCTTTGCCCCAGCTTGCCACAACAATAATCACAAACCCAAAAGCGTCAAACGGATAGCCCTTTAGGCTATTCACACGCACACAGCTAGCAACATGGCCCCGCACGAAAAAGATTTCTTGAAACCTACGCCGGACCGCTTCATCTCTGAACCATTTCATTAAGGCACCTGTGAGTGAAGACGTGCCTTGTTTCCACCCAGTTGCCAAACGATTGGCAAATGAGCACATCGGTTCGGCAAAATGACCCCCGTCATCCGTGTTTGGCCCTCTCCAAAGCCCCCCCACTTAAGAACGGCCATCTGACCCCCATACAATCCAAACCATGAACAAATGCAAAATGTTACTCTAGTGGTAGTAGCAGCAGCAATAGTAGTAGTACTAGTCGTCGTAGCAGTAGCAGTAGCAGTAGCAGTAGCAGTAGCAGTAGCAGTAGCAGTAGCAGTAGCAGTAGCAGTAGCCGCAGCCGTACTAGTAGTAGTAGTAGTAGTAGTAGTAGTAGTAGTAGTAGTAGTAGTAGTAGTAGTAGGAGTAGGAGCAGCAGCAGCAGTAGTAGTGCCAATTACATTCATTTGCCGTCTCAAGGATTCCACTTCCAGCAATGAAAACATCAGCTAGCCGGAAACGGGCAAAACACACATTTACAACTTGTAGCAAATAAAGGTATGACAAGCTCAGAAACGGCCCCATTCAATTCCTGAAGATCCCCAGCTCTCCCCTCACCTAGTCAAACAAAAGGATCGGAGACCAGATTTTAGGTGGCCTGCAGCGGTCTGGCGGCCCCAAATAAGCGCTGTGGGCTGACCTGGATTTTGAGGGGGAAATTTTATTAATCAGGAAACACAATTACGGATCCGAAACTCTCGCAAAGCTCCTTGCAGCCAAGCGACTAGCCGCCATCACTAGATTCTGGCTTGAGTAAATAACACCTGCCGGGGGCTACGTGTGTGGACAGCTGGCATAAAGCCCTGCCCCATGATGTGATCAAGGCCAATCTCAGCCTGCCATCCGGCCTCCAAACATCGCAGCCAAGCAACTGGTGGCTGCCAAGGAGCCTTGCGCGCACCACGAACCCCCACTCTCTCCGCGCACCAAGAACCAGGATTTGTGCAACAAGCATGCTGCTAATAATATACATATTCCCGCCGCGGGTCACAGGGGCTTTTGCTTCGGCGCGCGTGCAAATCAAGTCGGCTCCTTGCATTCGGGTCCCCGGCTAGCATCCACCACCACCGACTTGTTGCTGTAAATGACACCTGCCGAAACCACTGTTGGACGGAGGAACGCAGTCTGTTCTTACGAGCGCTGTTGATCACCTCAAAATCCGCTTCTTCCATCTTATTCCCCTGGAGTGACATGGTCTGTGCCACGCGGGGTGCAGCTGTGTAGAACTGTCTGGTGCCACTGCAAGGGTCTGATCTCATTTGGGAATGGCCCCCAGCCGTTTGGAGGGTGGTTCCCATGCAACATGCTCGCGAAATTAAATGATCTGGTTGGCTTTCGGCACACGCACTTCAAAGAGGCTATGAATGGATTGCCATTATCTAGGTCTGGTGCAAGGGGTCATCGGTTGAGGGTTCGACTCCTCCCTGACAGGAAAACAGACTCAAATTAAGGCCAGACTATTTGTGTCAAGCACTCATTTTAGAAGCCTCCTTTTCCCAAACGCACGGATGGGAAGTATCGACCTGGGCCCCCTATAATATAATAACTGAATTTGACAAATCCGATCCAGGTAAAAAAGGTTAGAGGTGACTTGCGACAATTAACACCAATTAAACAAGGTCAAAGGTTGTGACTTAGTCAAACAAGAGGAAGGATCATTGTTTGTCAAAAGGAACGCATGAAGGGGGAATCAACAGCAGGCAGCAGCCTTGCCATGTCCTTTGCTGAGTGGGTGACCTCTCGTTAACCGTGCAAGCAAGGTCGCGACAACTTTGACCCTGTCTCGTCCAGCACCCGGCCGTCTCTAGAGCGAAACGCCTACATTCGGCGCCTCCTCTCATCCCAACCCCCGGCTCTGCCGTTGGCCTCCAGAGCCTGCCGCTGTGCAATCGGTGGCTGTCAGGGAGCCTTGCAGAGCGCGCCACGAGACAAGTCTGGCCCTGAAGCACCCGCTCAAGTTTTGCAAGAAGTACACACCCACACAGGTGCTCGCTATGACAACACCATGACACTCGCAAGCTGCAGCGCAAGCTCCTTGCAGTCAGGCGACTAGCGTCTAGCACCACGTCGTCCTTCTCAGAGTGAATGACACCTCCTGGCTGCAGATTCCCCACACTCTGTGCTCAAGCAGCTCAAATATGGCAAGACCTTGCGCCCTGCCCCACGATGTAGCGTGCGCTCCTACGAATTCAGCCTCGGGTGAATCATGTCAACAGACAGCGGTTTCACGATACGCCAGTTCAAATCTTATGCAGATTTATGCAGAGGAGCCCTTGCGAAAGGTACTCCTGTCACTCGTACGGGGAAGACTAAATGGGAAGACTGCAACACCTTCCATGAGACATGCTTTGTTTGCGATGATTGATGAGCCTGTGATGCTTTGGAACCGGACTCGGACCGCAGGAAAATGTTGCCGTCTCTAGTCTTCCCTAAACCTGCGGCAGCCATACACGGGTTTGGTTGGCGAGCCCTGCGACAGGAAACAAACATCTCGAGAGTGTTGCAAAGGAAGCACTCAGCAACTGTGGCAAAACAAACTCAAGCCGGGGCCGACAAAACAATGAGAGCGCAAAGTGAAACGGCGTGTTGGCTTGGAATGACTGTGCGCTGTGAGAAAACAGCTTTTTGCTCTTGCTGCAGTTCCCCCCCCTTTACAAGACACTCTGCAAAATGCATTGGAGAAGCTCCCAGAAGGGCTCCTTCCTAAGAAGCGTTGCAGCACCGAACAGTTCTGGTTCTGAGTGGTTGCATAAGCTTCTGCCTCCATGCGCTGACTTTCTTTGTTGGCCCTTACGCATTCGCCCTGACGTATGCCTTGCGAAACACGGAAATGGTGCTTCCGCATTCCCGCTGGCCCATGCAAATCCGCTCAACCTGACCCCCGGCCACCCCCTCTCCCCCCCCCCCCCCCGCCCGGTCAGCCCATGGCCTTCCAATGCGAAGCAACTGGCGGCTGTCAAAGAACCTTGCAGGAGAGCTCACCCAGCAGAAAACGCCAACACAAAACATCCACCTGCGATTAAAAAACTGCGCCCAATCAAAAACCTGAGAGAACCAAACTCGAGCCAGCTCAGTTTGCCGGCATGCTGGAAAGGCTCCCAACACCTGTGCTTTTGGGAGGGCCGGTTTGCGCTTTTGGGAGGGAGGGGCAGCTTCCGAGAGAAACAGGCATGCAGTTTGGGGGGGGGAGCATCTGCGAGAGGGGCTTTTCAAGCGTGCTTTTGGGAAGCGTGCTTGTGGGAGGGGGGGCAGCCCCTAAGAGAAACAGGCATGCCGTTTGGAAGGGAGGAGCAACTGCGGGAGGGGCTCCCAACTGTGCCTTTGGGAGGGAGGGGCAGCTCCAAAAAGAACTCGCGCCGTTTTGGGAGTAGTTCTCAAAAAAAACTGCTGGCACGGTCTTGGTGACAAGCCAAAGGCAAACCGAAGGTAAACCAAACGCAAACCGAAGGCAAATCAAGGGTAAACCCAAAGCAAACCCAAAAGCAAGCCAAGGGCAAACCAAATGCAAACGAAACCAACACCAAAAGCAAACCAAAAGCAAGCCAAAAGAAAACCAATGCCAAACCACAGACAAACCAAAGGCAAACCACAGGCAATCCAAAGGCAAACCATAAAAAAAAGGAAAACAAAAGACAAGCCAAAGGCAAACCAAAAGCAAACCCACGGTAAGCCAAAGGCCAAAAAAAAAAGGTCAACCCAAAGCAAACCAAGGGCAAACCGACGGTAAACCAAAAGCAAACCAAAGGCAAAACAAAGGTAAAGCAAAGGAGAACCAAAAGCAAACCCAAAGCAAGCCAAATACAAATCAAAAGTAAACCAAAGGCAAACTAAAAGCACACCAATCGCAAACTGAAGGTAAGCCAGAAGCAAACCAAAAGTAAACCAACAGCACACCAAAAGTAAACTAAAAGCAAACCAAATGCAAATCAAAGGTAAGCCAAAGGCAAACCACTAGAAAACTAAAGATAAACCAACAGCAAAATACACAAAAATGAACCAAAAGTAACCCAAAAGCAAACCAAAGCGAACCACAAGAAAACGAAAGGCGAACCCAGGTCCAAAAGGTAAACCAAAGGCAAACTGAAGCCCTAAAGCTGCCCAAAAGCAACGCAAAAGCAAACCAAAGCCAAACCAAAGGTGAACCAAAAGCAGACCAAAAGCAGACCAAAAGCAACCCAAGGGCAAGCCAAGAGCAAACCAAAGGCAAACCAAGGGTAAACCCAAAGCAAGCCAAAAGGTAAACCAAAGGCAAACCAAAGGCAAACCAAAGGCAAGTTAATTGCAAACCAAATGCAACCGCAAACAAGTCAATCCCAAACCAAAAGTACAGCAAAAGCGAGCCAAAGCAAACCAATGGCGAACCAGTGGTAAACCAAAACGAAACCACAAAGGAACGCCGAGAGCAAACCAAAGGGAAATCAATAGCAAACTGAAGGCAAACCAAAAACAAGCCAAAGGGGAAGCAGAAGCCAACCAAAAGGTAAACAAAGGCAAACTCAAAGTACACCAAAGGTAAACCAAAAGCAAACCAAAGGCAAACCAAAAGCAAGCCAAAGCCAAACCAAAAGCAAACCTAAGGTAAGGCAAAGGCAAACAAAAGGTCAACCCGAAGCAAACCAGAGCAAAAGACAGTAAAAACACAAAGCAAAGGCAAGCCAAAGCAAACCAAACGCAAACTCAAAGCAATCCACACGCAAACCAACTGTAAACAAAAAGCAAACCAAACGCAAACCTAAGGTAAACCAAAGGCAAAAAAGCAAACCAAAGGCAAAAAACCAAAAGCAAACCGAAGCAAACCAAACGCTGACCAAAAGCCAGGCAAAAGCAAACAAAAGTCAAACCAAAGGTCAACCAAGGGTCAACCAAAAGCAGACCAAAAGCAACCCAAGAACCAAGCCGAGGGCAAACCAAAGGTAACCCAAAAGCAAACCGAACGCAAACCAAGGGTAAACCCAAAGCAAACCAAAAGGTAACCGAAGGCAAACCAGAGGCAAACAAAAGAAAACCAAAGTTAACCCAAAAGCAAACCAAAGGTAATCCAAAAGCAACAAACCAGAGGCTAATCCAATGTAAACCAAAAGCGGACCAAAGGCAAAACAAGGTAAACCTAAGATGCACCAAACGCAAACCAGAAGCAAACCCAAAGGCAAAAAAAAACAATCCAACTGCAAGCCAAGGGCAACCCAAAGGCAAACCAAAGGTAAACCAAAGGCAAACCAAAGGCAAACTAAAGACGAACCAAGTGCAATCCAAAAGCAAACCAAAGGCAAATCAAAGGCAAAGCAAAAGCACGCCAAAGGTAAACCACACGTAAAGCGAAATCAAACCAAAGGCGAACCATAAGGCTAACTAGGGGCAACCCGAAGGCAAACCAACAGTAATTCAAAAGGAAACCAACTACAAACCAAAGGCAAACCACAAGCAGACCAAAGGTTAACCAAACGCAAACCAAAGGCAAACCAAAGGCAGACCCAAAGCAAACCAGAAGGTAAACCGAAGGCAAACCAAAGGAAAACCAAACAAGTTTGTATTGGAGGATAGTCTCTGGATGCTATCCGAATCGTTTCAATATGATTCGCGGGGCGGGTGTTGTCTGGAGTGTCATTTGCGTTTTCCGTTGCTTGGCGGACACACCTTTTTGCGCTTTTTCAGCTTGTTCAATTCTCAATTTCAATGTGGATGATGCTGGTGACGCTGGGTCCGCATCTCCCGCATCTCCCGCATCCCCCGCATTCCCAGCATCGCCGACATTTGAAACTTCATCCATCCTCAGCCTCCCGCATCACCTCACCACAGCAAGAGCTCTTCAAGAGGCACGATCCACGAGGGCTTCCCGAGTGCTGTTGGCAAGCCCAGTCACAAGCGACCCCGTCTTGCTGGTCAGGTCACAAATAACTCCCCAACCTACATGAACCATGAACATAAATTTCAGAAGCTCGCGAACACAAAAGAGTCCTGCCACACTATCAGTCTGAAGCTGGTCGAAACATGTGGGTTTTCCTGGGTTTCAGCAGGAAGTGGCAAGGCCAGTCGAAAACAAAAAGGGTTCGTGAGGGCATCTTGTGAACGTTGGGAGCTGCGCCGGCTGCTTTGCTGGGGCCGACGGTGGTTGTTGATTAGCCCAAACGGGCGCCGTCTTCTTCTTTTGGGAACTTGCGCTGGAACTTCCCGTTCCTTACCAAAGGGTTTGAGGGGTTACAGACCCCTTTCACACCCTTTCAGTGGGTCACACTCTTGTGAAAGTATTCCCCACACAAAATCTCAGCGAGCCCCTATTCCGATGACTGAACTCCAAAATAGAATTTATGAAATTCCCAGACTCTCGGCCACAAAAAGGATTTCAGGTCGTAACCACAAAACCCTGCAACTTTGGCACGCTTCCTCCTCTCTTGATGCATGAGTGGGGCAAACAGGGTTTGACTGTGTGTCAAAAACGCAGCGTCACGGCCAAGCCGCTATTCTGGACGGTGACACATCTTGAATGCAGAACTCCTGCGAGCTGTGCCAATCAAATGTCATCTTGCTGCCTGTCACAAGCTGAGTTGTTCAAAATGAGGGGACCCCTTATCCCAATCCGCAATCTGTGGGGCAGCACTACAACCAAGGGAAAACACCAACTGAGTTGAAGATGAAGGATTGACTTTGGACAAGCCGCGCAAGCAATCCGGACATTGGTCCTCCTGTTGCTTCGGCGTGGCACTCTGAGGCTGTGATCATGCCTCGGCGCAGAGCGTGCAAGTGTTGTTCGGCAAAGATGCACAGCTTATCTGCGGGAAGACTCTATGGGAACAGCGCAACACCTTCTATGGAAGGCGCTTTGCTTGGTTTTGTTCGCGACGAAGTCTACAACGCACCCTGCCACAGGAAAGTGTCGCCGTCTTCCAAGCGTTCTCCCCTAGTCTTCCCTAAACCTGCGGCAACCATTCACGGGCTTGCTGTTGGCTTGGAATGACTGTACGTTGTGAGAAAACAACTCTGTCACAGTCCCCCTCTGTACATTAAAGACAAACCGAAAGGAGTCGGCGCACTGGCGTCGCGCACGGAGTCACTTAGAAGGGCTCACTCCTTTCTAAGAAGCAGAGAAGGCGTCCGAAGGGTTCTGATTCTGAGAACTGTTTGAGCAGGCTTGTTGCTTCCCTTTGTTGCTTGTACGCCCTGACGCATGTCTTGCGAAATGCTGAAACCGGTGCCTCCACATACCCGCTGGCCTTCGCAAATCCCTCAACCTTAGCCCCCCCGTCAGCCCAAACAGACACATGTCGCCTAGCGTCTTCCAACAATGTCGATGTCGGCATTGGTGAAGGAGTTTCAGACCCTTTTCACATCCATTCACTACGTAGCCCAAAGATTTCCTCCTGGGTCTGCAACAAAAGCAGGGCCTGGCACTCTTTTAAAACTCTGCTGCGTTGCTACCTTCCTTTGAACACTTGCCCGGAACCTAAGAGTTTGACGCCAAACTGTTTCGCGAGTTCCGCCTGGATTCGAAAGCCACCTGCCCTTTGAGACCATCTGGATGCTTCCTGGATTTCAGCAACACACGATTCGATGGTTTTTTGAGGTGGGCCCAAACGATTGCCGTGAAGCCTAAGGCAAAACAACCATCAACGCCTTGCAGCGGGGCCCCGACTAGTATCTAGCACCACCTGCTCCACGCCGGAAATCACTCCTGCTGAAGCCGCCGAGGACCGCAGTCTGCTCTTTAACAAGCTCTGCTGAAAACGCAAGCATCTCGACCTATTCCGCTGGAGTGGCACGTAGTGATTTGTCACGTTAGCCCTGTCAGCAATTCGTTTTGTCCGGATTGGTCCATTGGCATACCTTCGGCGGCTATGCGCTGACCAGCCAACAACTCAACACGACTCAGACAAAGTAAACACGGGCTCCCTGCATTGCACACTACATTGAACAACCACCGCTTTCTATAAATCGGCCAAATTTGGAAAGAATCTGAAACTTATTTGCTTTCTTCTACCTCAAATAAAGCACAAAGTTGAAAATGCTGGCACTTCCGCAATTTTGGGCAGTGTTCTAAAGTGTTCAATGTAGTGTAAAATGAGTGTTTAATGTAGTGTTCAACGTAGGGTGCAGGGTGGTGTTCGCTGCGGCGACTACTGCCGCGCTTCGCGCAAACGCCTTGCGCTCAAAGGGTTGCTTAAAAACCAGTAATGATTTGTCACGGCAGCCCTGTCAGCAAATCGTGTTGTCCGGTTTGGTTCATTGGCATACCTTCGGCGGCCATGCGCTGACCAACCAACAACCCAAACGCGACAAAGCAAAGTCGCGCAACTTGCCAAGTAAACACGGGCTCCCTACGTTGAACACTACCAAAACCGGGTAAAAAAAAAAAAAACAATTACAAATTGGCAAAATCTGAAACTTCTTTGATTTCTTTCACCTCAAAGAAAACACAAAGAAGAAAATGCTGGTACTTCCGCACTTTCGGGCAGTGTTCGAGAGGGTTCAATGTGGTGTTCAATGAGTGTTTATGGTGTTCCATGTGGCGCTTACGGACGCCTTGCGACCAAGTCAGCAAATCGTTTTGTCCGGTTTGGTGCATTGGCATACCTTCGGCGGCAACCGACAACCCAAGCACAACTAAGAAACGTCTGCCAAGTAAACACAGACTCCCTACATTGAACACTCATTGAACACTACACAGATTGCGTAAAAACCGCCGCTGTCTTCTCGGTTGAATTTGGAATTGAAACTTCTTAGGTCATGTGTGTCGGGGGGGGTCGTGTGGGTGTGTGAGTGTGTGGGTGCGTGGGTGTCGCAAACGCATTGCACTGAAGGGTTGTTTATCGGCGGCTATGCGCTGACCAGCCAACAGCTCAAGCACGACTCAGAAAAGTAGCGCAACTTGCCAAGTAAACACGGGCTCCCTAGATTGAACACTACCTTGAACACTCATTGAACACTACATTGAACACTCCATTGAACACTACCAAAACCGCATAACAATCACCGCTGTCGACCAATCGAAAGCAACATTTGGAAAAAAACTTGACACTTTTTTTTCCCAGATAGCTGAAAGCTATAGGGGTTCTAACTTCTAATAAAAAGGGGAAAGTGATTTGCGAGATGATGGGAGGGTGCTAGGGGCGTGCAGTTTGGGTGCTGGTGTAGGTGCTGTTTGGGGTGCTGTTTGGGGTGCTGTTTGGGGCGCCGTTTGAGGCGCTGGTGAGATTGAGGCCGGGTGCTAGCGTGCATGCAGGTGACGGTGCGGGCGCATTTTTGCAAAATTGACGGTAGGGTGCAAGCAGGCATGCAGTTTGGGGTGCTGGTGCGGGTGGTGCTTTGGGATGCTGCTTGGGGTGCTGTTAGGTGCTGGTGACGGCTCGCGAGATTGATGGCTGGGTGCTTTTTGGGGGTGCTGTTGGGGGGTGCTGTTCGGGGTGCTGTTCGGGGTGCTGTTCGGGGTGACGGTGCGGGCGCATTTCTGCGAGATTGACGGCCGGGTGCTGTTTGGGGCGCTCTCCGGGGGTGCTGTTGGAGGTGCTGGTGTACAATTGTCGGCATGTTTTCGCTATCTGGGGTCTATGCTGGTGTTTTTTTATTTCTCCGACCTGAAAGAAAGAACAAAGCTGACAATGCGGGCGTTTGCGCGATTTTGGCAGTGTTCAATGTAGTGTTCAATGAGTGTTGAATGTAGTATTCAATGTAGTGCGTAGTGTTCAATGTGGCGCTTACTGCCCAGCTGAGCGCAAACGCCTTTGTTTAAAAACAGCAGTTCAGTCGCTGGCGCAGGATTTCGGTCATTCCAACATGTTTGCAAACAAGGGCCCTTAAGCTTCCAATGTTAATGGGGAGCGCGAGGGTTTATTGATGGCGAAAGCGGTGCAGGATTTCGTCCGTCAATAGCATGATCTCCCCCATGCGCCATGCGGGGCGGCCTCATGATGAAGCCTCATTCAACTGCGTAGAATTGTTTTTCAAGAACGTTTGACATGTGACATGACACATCTTGCTTGAGCGCGGCTGGCAGGCAAAAAGGCACATGTGGTATGATGTCGTCAGTTCAGCAAACCTCTACATGTCATCCGACGCCGTTGCCAACCCAACTCCTCTTGGGTCAGGATACGACGTGGGCTCATTTTTCCATGTAACAGCTCGAGATGGCGTGGATGACTCTGAGGATGCAGCTGATGAAGGTCAACGGCTTTTGCAGCATCCATAGCGTGGGCGAGCTTTCGCGAACCTTACGTGCCTGCTTACGCGCCTGGACCCTCTCAGCTTTGCCAAATCTACTGTGTGGTAACCCTTTTGTCTTGGGAAGCATCTCACCTGTCATCGAACTCAGTAGGTCACGGCTCCTTTGGCAAAGCCGCTGGCATTCAACCATTTGCGCAAGTAGTAAAAAAGCAGAGCTTATGCAGCGCGCTTTTTCAGCAACTGCTTACGCCCGATGACGCCCACTTACGTCGCTGACGGTTTGCTGCAGGTAAGACGGGCTTTGACAGCGGGTAGGGTTGCGTGCGCGAACTGGCAGCAAAGGCACACAAACTCGCAGTGATTTCAGCAGCTGGAAGAGACACCGTGGAGCCGAAGACGTGCTCTGCGGCCCTGCGGTTTTCTCTCATCGTTGGCACGTGAGAACTGCAATCTGCCGAAAGGAAAAAAGAAACGGAGCGACTCCGGGCGACCCCCTCCACTTGCGGCTCAGCAGCCTCCTTTCTCGGCTGAGCAGTGGGAAGCTGTCAGGGAGCCTTGGCCCGTCGCGGAAGTCCCTCTGATTTTTTTCGGTGCTGCGCCGCGCCGCACAATGGCTAAACTCCTGGATGAGGATGGATAAGGCGGATAAGGGTAGCACGCCGCTTCCTCTTTGGAAGAAACAACTGGTGGCGAGTGTTTGGCACCACCTTTCAACGAGCCATGGATCAGCAGCACATCCAAGATCCAAAAGAGGAATCACAAAACACAGAAAAGTTGTTTGATTCCTCCTCTCTTGTTTCTTGAGTGGGGCAAACAGTGTGGTATTGTAAGAAGCGCAGCCCAACGCGGCCAGGTCGCTATTTTGGATTCCGACGCGTCCAAGTGAATACAGAACTCCTGCGAGGTGCTTCAAGCAAATGTGACCATCTTGCTGCCTGTCACAAGCTGAGCTGTTCAAAATGGGGGGACCCCAAATATCCCAATCCGTATTCTGTGGGGCAGCACCACAACAAGAGAAGCCACTACCAACAACCAATGACATCGGACCTCCTGCTTCGTTCGCTTTGCACTCCGAGGCTGCGATCATGCCTCGGCTCAGAGCGTGCAAGTGTCGCCGGGCAAAATGCAAAGTCTCTTGAATATTTCCCCATCACGGAAGACAGGACAACCACGACATGCACAAGCAAAGGCAGCCCTGCATAAAGTGATCTGCAATAAACTTGCGCCAGTTTTCTATCACACCTCATAACCATAACATGAGTACTGAGTAACATTGTGTTTGTGTCAGCATGCTGGAAAGGTAATGTACATATGGAAGGAGGGACGTCGGACTGAGTATGTTTCAGAATGGGGGAAGCATCAAAGTCGAAGGTTCTGCCCCAGGCCTCTTTTAGACCAACCTGAAAAGGGTACCCTCAAGCAAAGCACAAGTCAGCCATCCAGTCGCGCCATGAACCACACAACTCCTGGGCCCCCACTCTACGCGCAGAGAACCAAGCCGCGCAACCATTTATTTGCTCTCCTAACTCCGGCTTCCCGCATGATAAATATTGGCGAACATGGTAGGATCGCCCTCCGCTGGACCTTCGGCGCGCGAGTTGTAGCCACAAAAACAGCGGCTCCTTGCCAGGCCCCGGACTAGAATCCAGCACCAACTCCCACTCGCTGGCAATGACGCCTGCTGCAACCGCTGTCGGACGCAGGACCGCAGTGCTCATTCAATGAGCTCGATTAAAAACTAGCTTGCCCCCGCTGAAGTGACAAGTTCGGAGACATGCTGGGTGGCTTCGTTCAGCTGTGTAAAACTCCCGTGTCACTACGTCTAACCCACCATACAAGGTGACACATGCGTGGCTACCTCGTCCAAGCGAGCAAGCTAGTTGCGGGGTCTGCTTCCTTTTCCTGTCAGATGAAAACCTGGGTCGTGCCAATTCATATTTATCCTTTTCATGAATGGTCTCGGACAAAACCATCTGCTTGGGAATGTATGTTCACCAATCATGCGGAGGCTGGTTTTCGCAGAAAAAGCTCAAAGCTAATATGAGGCATGGTCAGAATATCGTCAAAATCAATCAAAGTCTCTGAGTAACCCATTGTTTTCCAGGTTTTAGTAGTTTGCAGAGGTGTCGTGCAAAGGGTAATTTTGTGAGTCCCCGCTTCATATAAAGTGCAGCCAAGGTCATAGCAACTTTGACCCTCTTGTGTGGGCCGTCTGTGGCAACGCCTAAATTTGGCGCAGCTGAACCTCACCCCTCGGCCCTTGGCCTCCAGCATCGGCAGCCGAGCAACTGGTGGCTGTCAGCGAGCCTTGGCGCAGGAGTTGGGGCAAAACAATTGTCGGCTCCTTGCAGCCAGGTCCCCGACTGGTATTCAGCACCACCTGCTCCCAGCCGGAAATGACACCTGCTAGGGCCACTGTTGGTTGGAGGAGCAAAACGCGTTCCTACCCCCAGAGTGACATGATCTGCGCCATGCTGGGTGGCTCCATTCTGACCTGAGTTGAAATTCCGTCAAAAACACTTTTTCCGGGTTTTGACATGGCGCAGCTTGCTTGCGCGGGTAGCAGTCAAAAAGGCAATTTACCAAGCTTCGAAATCGGGTAATCACGCGTCCATGCCAGAATGACCCCCGGATTGCACAGCCATCACCCTGAACCAGAGATTTTTTGCCTTGCTGAGAACGGACGGTTTCCAAGCACATGGCTACTTGTCGAAGCGAGCAACACCGCGCAGCACAGCAGTACCACGTGGCCAATTCGACAGATTCGTTCTACGCAACAAAACTCCTCTCGGGTCGGGATACGCTGAAGTACCAATTGTGTTGTATCTAAATAGTAAGCGCGGGGCGGGCTTCCATTTTCCTGCGTGTGCGGCGAACCTGGGTCGTGCCATATCTTCCTGTTCATGTCGGTTTTAACACGGCTCAAATAGTTTCGGACAAAATCTTCTTCCCGGGAATATGTGTCCACCAGTGATTTAGAGGGTGGATTCGGTGAACAATGCTCAAGGCCAATATGAGCCGCCGTTTTAATATAGTCACAATCACCTATGCAAGCTATGCGCACAACTATATCTTTCCTAGTGTCAGGAGTATCGCGCAAGGGATATTGTTACGAGTCTGTCACGAATTTGTCATGGAAATTGCAAGCAATTGGTCTTTGACCCTCTCGTGAAGCACCTGAAGGACCTGAAACGTCCAATTTCGAACCTTCTCGCCACTAGCACTTCCGGCTTAACCTCCCAGCCCCCGGCTCAGAGCCCTTGGCCTCCCAAGCTTCTCGCCGTGCAGTTGGTGGCAGTCAGGGAGCCTTGCGGAGCGCGAGGCAGTCGATTGCTCCCGCTACCGCTCCGAAGCACACGGCAGTCGACAGTTTCACGGTGCGCCCGAGGTTCGCTGACAGCCACCAGTTGCTCGGCGCAACATGGAGGCCAGACGGCGTCTGGCAGACTGGGCTGCAGATGCTCGCGTCTCAAGGTCACTTTGTCGCCAGGTTCCGCTTTTGCTTACATTGCGGGCAGGGACTTTGAGAATTCGTGGCCTTCGCAGGTGTCATTCTCTCCAACAAGAATCTGACGCTAAACACGAGTTGCTTGGCTTCAAGGAGGTCCGCGCAGCTTGGAAGGTTTTTTCTATTTTTGGGGCGAGCGCGCGTGTTTGGACAATGCCGGATCCCCCACTCTTTCCGCACACAGAGAACCTGCCCTCCCCTCCCCTGCCCTCCCCTCCCCAGCAAAACAACCGTCGTCTCCTTGCAGCCGGGTCCCCGACTAGTATCCAGCACCACCTGCTTCTTGCCGCAAATGACACCTGCTGAAACCACCGGGGAACGCAGGTTGCTCTTAAATAAGCTCTATTAAAAACCTGTCCGTCTCCGCTTGTTCCCCCCGAAGTGACTTAAGGTGTGGCTTCATTCAGCGGAGTAAAACGGTAGTCACAAAGGCAAGAGTGGTCTCATATGCTCTGTTCCCTCAGTTCAGCAAGCTTCCTAATCGGGCAACTGCCTTCTCGGACTTCTCTGTGAGTCCAGGAGCAAGGACGATTTCCAGGCCCGATGCTACCCCGTCAAAGCGAGCAACACCGAGCAGCACCGCGGAACATGTCGTTGTACATGTCGTTCGAGCCAGTTTCAACAAAGCTCTTCGCTATTCTGATACGCGGAAGTACTAAATCAGATGCGGGGGGGCGCAAACCTGGGTCGTGCCAATGCATATTCTTTTCATGGATGTTTTCACGCCACTCAAAGGGTCTTAGGCAAAATCATCTACTTGAGAACGTATGCCGCCTGTATGTCCACCAACCGTTTAGAGGGTGGTTCTCCATGGTGGACAATGCTCAAAGCTAGCTGCAAAGCTAAACATGAGCCACGGTCAAAACCGCTCAAAATCAATGAATGTCAGGCTTTCGCATTTTGCAGGGGTGTCGTACAGGGGTATTTGTCGTGAGTTCCGTACAACATTCCCCACATAACAACTTTGACCAGCACGTGGCCGTCTCCTCACTTAGTGGCACTTGCAGCTCAACCTCCCAACCCCGGCTCTGCCCTTGGCCTCCATCCTTCGCTGTGCAATTGGTGGCTGTCAGAGAGCCTTGCAGCGCACCCACAAGAGTCTGGCCCCCCATACCCCCGCTCCGAAGCGCCCGGCATGCAACAAGCTCCGTCCTGGCCTTTCTCTGGGCGATTGCTAGTGCCAAGTTTTGCACACACCTAAAACATGTACCAAAACAGCTGCCCGCTGCCAGAATGCCTCTTCCAAGCTGCACGGAGCTCCTTGCAGTCGGGTGACTAGCGTCTAGCACCACGATCTGCTCAGAGTGAATGACACCTCCTGGCAGAAGACGACTGGCAAGTGCCCTGCATAGCTCTGCGCCCAAGCTCAGATGTGGAGCATAAGCCCCGCCCCTGCACGTAACCTGCACCAGCCTGGTGTGAAGTGCAATCTGCCCCATATGCGTGGGCTACCATGTTGCCTAACAGTCAGCGGTTGCGCGACATGTCAAATTTCAAGCAGAGGAGGTTGACTTAAGCTTTTGCTGGGAAGCAGATCGGCAGTTTTCTTTGGCAGGCTACTCCTCTCCACGGGCTGCAACACCTCCTGTGCGATCCGTTCTGTTTGCAATGGTGAGCCAGGCATGTTTAGGAACGCGACTTGGAGGAATACGGAAGACTGGACCACAAAACGCATGGCGCCAAAGAAGTAGTCTTGCGTATGATACAGTATGCAAAGTCTACAGCGCACCCATTGTCGGAAAAGCAAATGCCGCAGGAAGGTGTCGCAGTCTTCCTGTAGTTGTAGTGTAGTCTTCCGTAGAGAAAGCACACAGCAACCGCGGCAAAACAATTGCCAGCTCCACTGAAAACAAATGCCAGTGCAAAATAAAACTGTGTTTGGCTTGAAATGACTGCCTGCTGTGACAAAAAAACTTGTCCCTATTGACACCGTCTCCCTCTTTCTATTCATACGCCCTGCCGTGTTTTCTGTAAATTCGGAACTCGGTGCCTCTGTCGTTTGCGTCTCCGCCTAACCCTACCCCCCCCGTCAGCCCGCGGCCTCCGCCATAAACTGCAAAGCAACTGGTGGCTGTCAGAGAGCCTGTGGGGCATATGAGGCACGTACTGTCAACGGTTCGGAAGCTCTTGTTGGCTCTCCTAACTCCTCTTCGTAAACGGCTTGCGCGAACACATTAACATGACCTACCACTATCGACATGCCGAATTTGGGACACAGAAGTAAGCCTTCCTGCAGCCACGCAGCTAGTCTTCAGCACCACGCCCTGCTCTGAGTGAATGACGCCTAGTAGGTTTGCACATTCGACACAAATGCGCCAGGCTTCTTGAAGGGAGCGACACTCTGGAGTCGAAGATGTGGGTGTGCGTCAAAATTAGACCACCAGGGACCGCAGGTTTTAGTCCTTGGCTTCATCGACCAGGGTTCCATTTTGGGTACCGGTTTTTGACCCACAGCCATGTGTGGGCCGCGCCCGGTGAGAACTGCCATTTGCCGCTTGCCCCTAAAAGCCGCGCGCCCAGTGAGACGCGCGCCCCGCCACTTGCAGCTCAGCAGCCCCCTGCTCCAAGTGGCAGAGCAGCTTCGGCGGAGCAGCCGGTGGCGCTCAAAGAGCCTCGAAAAACTTGCGGCGCATGGCACTCGATGCGATGCTAACTTGGTGGGTCAAAAATAGGCACCCCTAATGAACCCTCCTAACTGGAAACATGGACTAAAACCTGCGGTCCCCTAGTGGTTTGATTTTGACACCCACTTGTTGAGGCAGCGGTAGCAGAGTCAACGGCACCAACATAGCTCCCATCTTCAAACAACCTGGACAACGGCACAACGCTTCCATTGGCAAAAGCTGCAGCAAATGGACTTGCAACCAAACAAACGGTGACCAGCGTTTGGCACAACCTTATCATACCAACATTACCAACGATGGCCACGGGTCAACAGCAAATCCAAGATGTAAACGAGCAGTCTATGAAGCCTTGGCTTCTTTGGCTTTCTTCCTCTCTTGACGCTTGAGTGGGGCAAACAGTATTGGATTGTGTAGAAAGCGCAAGCCCAACGCGGCCAGGTCGCTGTTTTGGACTGTGATGCCTTTTGCTGAATGCAGAACTCCTGCGAGCTGTCAAGAAAATGTCACCTTTCTGCCTGTCACAAGCTGAGTTGTTCAAAATTGATGCACCTTTTCCCATCCGTAATCCGTGTGAATTAAGGATGAAGGATTGATTTTGAACAACACGCACAAGTAACATCGGGCCTCCTTTTTCCGTCGCTTTGCACTCCGAGGCTGCGATCATGCCTCGGCTCAGATGCAAATCACACCCAGCTGCAATAGCATGACGTCCCATATTTCCCACATCTTTGCAGACTGCTTAAAACACCCACAGCTACTGAGCACTCATGCTAAGAGCCTTTGCACGTGCGTTTTGCGGTACTCATGTCTTCCACGGAGTAGGGAGGTCTTCAACACCCCTTTGCATTTTGCCGGACAACTCTCAACATAGAGAAACTGATTCTCAAAATGAGCGTTCCTCTCTTGATATCTCTTTTAGACCAACCTGCAAGGGGTACCCTGAAACAAAAGAGATCAGCCATCCAAGCGCATTCACACGGCTCTGGACTCCAAGTGCGTCTGGCTCACTATCTTGCACATTGATCGTCTCGGCATAGATGGCACCTGTGATCGCTCTAACCCGATCTCGGGCTGCCCATGTTCGTCTCGCGGCGCCGCTATCCCGTGCGGCCCAGCCTCCGAGTCGCCCCTTGCAGCCCTCGAATTTGACTCGGCCTTGCGGGACAAAGGGTTGCCATGACCCTCTGCCCCAAACATGCTCCGGAAAAATGCATCGCAGGTCTACAACTCAAGCGCCAGACCGCGCCTTGCAGCTTCACGTGCTCGGCACGAAGAGCGCCTCCCTTACCTGCTTCGTCATTTTTTTTGCCTTCAGCGCTATTGATGCAGTTCTTGAACTCCAACTGGCCCCGGAGTGTGGCAACGCCCTTGACGACCAAGCAGGCACTTTCCAAATCTCCTCCTCCTTCAACCACGATGTGTCCTGCGCTCTAGCTCTAGCTACTGATAAGGCCACTGCGTGAGCTTTTAATCTTGCAAGTTACTCGCTGTTCCTAAAAAAGCGAATGAGCATGTCTGACACCTACATGTCGCAAGTGAACGAGCTGATGCCTCACGCATGCCAAAAGGCAGGTCGTTGACTCTCCAACTTGCGTCCTGTAAAGGTCGTGTTGCCACTGAAGGTGATGGGTGCAAGAAGGTGGACAACAGCCTTGAAGCCGTGGACGGCTAGGCAGCCTTCAAAGGAGCGCTTGGATGTGACCTGGGCACAGCCATCACTGACCATTCCGACACAAAGCTGAACTCACTTTTCCGGCCATGACTCAAGCGACAACGAAGTCAACCGGCTACCGACCAATAATTGGTTTTAGAGCTGGTCATTTCAGCAATCTCGCCAAAGGACAGTTGTTTCGATTACGTTTTGAGAAAGGCTCAACCGCCAGCATCATCAGTGCCACACAATTGGTGCATTCGAACCTTGGAACAGACTTGGACATCAATTTGTGTGTGTGTGTGTTTGGGCGTGCGCATGCTTGCTTACTCTGCTTTGCGGCACGCTGCCGTGCGGTGCAGTGGTGCGGTGCGTCCGTGTGGGCAGGCGGGCAGGCGCGTGCAAGGCAAAGAAAAAGCAACGTGTCCTGAGAATCTGCATCACAAATTGCTAAGTCAATGACCTGAAACAGTAAGGGACCTTGATCCATTCTGGCGGAGCTCGTTTTGCCTCAAAATCAGCGATCTCGCCATTTGCGCCAAAAAACTTTGGGCAAAGCTTAGCCTTCTCTGCCTAGCTAAAATGGACTGCAAGGCTTGCCACGCTCAAACGAGCAAGATACTGGCCTGAAAAGCAAGTCGTGGTATGGATGCTGAACTGGCTAGAAGATGATCCAAAGCATCTACAGCAAGTTTGAAGTGACGCACGTTGTGCCCGCGAACATTCTTCACACTGCTTTGGCACCGGGTCCATCGAAGTGGCCTCTTCAAAATGATCCACGTGATGACTTAAGCACCCCACCCCCAAAAGCAATTCTGAGAACCCCTAAACCAGCCGAAATTGCAGAGCCAAACTCTTGCGCAGAACGCACTACGGACACTGAGACCAGCACTTTGTATGCACCTGAGATGTTGAGAACGCCTTCAGCACAGGCTGGCAGCTCCTGGCAAACTGGGACATGCCACCTTCTAAGCCAAAGAGCCAAGTTGTGAATCTGTGCAATCTGTCCTTTTCAACCCCCCCCCCCCATGGGAAATGGATAGAAAAAGGTGGGCTTCGTTTAAGCAATGACACGCCCCCAAAGTTTTCAGTCGGGTAGAGGCGCTGATGCGATAGCTGCCAAAATGGGGAATGAACGGAAAATCACACACACACACACACACTCCATAGCTAGCAGCGTTGCCCACAGGTTTCATCACTTGTGCAGAGAGGTGTGTCTCGAATCCCCGAAATGGGTGGTTTCCCTTTGGCTTCCCTTGACCAAATGAAATTCCACCAACTGTCTCACCAAAGATACCAAGTTTGAAGCATGCAACTGGTCGCATCGAGCTCCTTGTACTTCACCAGCTCCTTCGCCTTCAGTCCAACTCCATCACCTCAGCTCAGAGCTAAGCTGGGAACGCGTCTGGTTCAAAGGTCGCAATGGAAGCGGTTTTCGATGCCCAAGGCCAAGGACTCAAATCTCAGATGCTCAGTGGCCATGGGAAAAAAAGGGCATTATTTTTTTGGCTGGTTGAGGTTAAATGGGAACTCTTCCTCAAAAAAAGGGGGAACAAAAAAGGCAACACTAGGCAACTGGGTAATTACTCCAGTTCTCAAAGTGTCAGGCAAAGACACTGCGTCTCTCCACAATCTTGCGGGCGAGCGCGGGAATGTGGGTCTAGTTCCATTGTCCCAGCCTTCCGCGGAAAAGGAAAATGGCTGATAAATGGACGTCCAGCGAGGAACTACGCCCTTCACCACAAGCATGTCTTTCACTTCTTCTTTTGTTCGACACCCGCAAACAGTTCAGTTCAATCCCGTCACGCGAGGAAACGATCAAACCTAAAAGCTACCAACCCAAACAGCTACCACGCAGATGAAACTTCACGGGCTCTTTTGAGACCTCCCCTAGTCCAAACACGTCGAAGGTGACGCCCATTCCGAGTGCCGGACGATCCCTCACCGGCAGACCTCAAAGCTCTCGCAGAAACATGTCCATATGTTCACAGCTCCAAGTATGAGCCATGGTCAATATTCATTGAACTCATGGAGTTCGCCCCTTGGCCTTGACTACAGAATGCATGGGAAACATTGACAAGTGGTTATCATGGTCATGTTTCCTGAATCATTCTTGTCTAAAATCAACCCCCTGAGGACTTCATGACCATTAACCATGGCACATGCGGAGCATGGAGCATCTGAGTCACAATCGAAACCTGTTACAAAATGGCCGGTTTCCCAAAATGAAGCCATAATAGTTCGTACAACTTGCCAATGGATTAACACTTCATACTTGTGGTTCATGATGGGGTCACAATCAAAAGCCATGGTATTACTCGGGCAACCAACGACAAAGAATCAAAAGAGCTGGTTGCCACACCTGTTTCTGGCACGGCCGCCGTCCACATTCACATCTCACAACTGGGCCGCAGGCGCTCGCCGGCAGCCAGGAGAGACACTAGGAAACAAAGCACTGCTAACATGCTGCTGAACTGATGCTTGGGCCGCAGTACGCTGATGACACAAACTTCATTTGGCGATGTGCTTGGCAACACTGAGAGCATGAGGCTTGGAAACCCGAGTGCCCCGTCCCGCAAACTAGCTTGTCGGAACTCGCTTGCCAACAAACAAGGTCGGCCAGTGGTGCCAATCTTGACCATGCCAGAAGTGACACAGTCAACCCACAAAATGGTTGGTTGCCTTGTTGCTGCACTTGTTTCAGTCCTCGCAAAACAATGAAAAGCGGTCCTCACGGAGCCTGGTACGCTTGCTTTGCTCATGATTGTGTATCACGCTTTCTGTGCATAGCATGCTTTTCAGATTGGCATGCTGTGCTCACTGTCGGCATGGGCACTGGATGACCAAGAGTTTGAATAAGAAGACGCGAAGAGACTACGCCGCAAGGCAGGATTTGGGTTGAGTGCAACCCAGGGTATCGAGCCTGCGACTCTCACGTCTGGCAAACTTGGCCCAGCACTAGAAGACGGGCCATTTGGCAATAAAATTTGGCGTGAACAGCCGCGAAAGTCGTGGATGAAAATGCCGCACCAAACCTCCATCCTGATGTCGGCGGATAAATCAACCTAGTGGATTTGACAAGGGTTGCTCCCAAAACAGTGAGCAACCTTCCCCCCAAAAATGCGACACCCCATTTTTGTCCACCAGGGTTTGACTATCCTGGGTTAGCATGACCCATCGCGCTTGCGCTTTTGTCAATCGAGCGCCATCGAAGGCTCAAACGTCAATCGATACCTGCAGCCAGCGCAAAGGCTTCTCAAAACGCCGCCCCGCAATCGGCATTGAGCCAGGATCATGTTTCTCTCTTGACGGAGTGCATTGCATGCGGATTCTGGGAAGGTTCATCCGGTTCAGCTCAGCTGTCGTGCATGGCCAATTTCCCTAGGTGCACCTTGAAACAAAAGTAGTACTAGTTTCTTGTTAGAAACAAACTGAAATGACGCGCCATCTACGAATACTTGCTTTCAACCAAACTGACCCAAAAGGACTATGCTCCTCCCAAGTGAAACTTGCCTGGACCCAGGCTACCCGAGTAGTTCGTCCCGTCGCCCTTCCTGGCAAGTCAGCAAATCTGCATTGTGCTTCAACGGTTGGGCAAGCCACTAACCGCTGGGCAAACAAAGAAGGTGGGACTGGGTAAGCGCGGGGAAGGTGAGTTCCTGTTGAGTAACTCCCCACACCTTCCCCCATTATTGCCTTTCCCAGTCCCTGCTTCTTTGTCTCTAAAACATGTTGCAGCGCGTCCTGTCAGCCGCCTTCCATGCGGTCGGCCCTGCGCGAGACACAAATGCCCCGGGCATCGAAAGGAGTTGAGATGCCCCACCTCAGAGGGTGACGTGACGCACGACTCCCTCTCTAAAGGGTACCCCCCAAAATGGGGCTTCCCTAGCGGCCCAAAGAGGGTATCCGGGAAAAGACACACCCAAACATGTCTGCTGTCAATTGTGAGTGCTACGTGTGCTCCGAGCAAATCTGAGAAACATGCAGCGTTCCACCAAAGGAAACCTACACTTTACACTGGCCCGATGTTCCCAAAGGGTGCTCCGGGGAAAGAAGCGGCGCCCTGTCCTGCTTGGTTGATTTCAACGGGCTGGGCGCTGAATAGGGGGGTTGGACAAGCACATTAACAAATTGGGTGCCAAATGGCAACGACTCACTTGCCCAAAGGACTCGGGAAAAAGGTCCACATGTGAAGTGAAGTCCTTCTTTCCCCAACCAGGGAACCAAACGCTTAGGTCGATTGGCCGGCTTTTGACAAGTATAAAACAAACCACTCCCCACAAGCGGGCACTCAAAAACACAAGCCACTTTAGACCACCAGCGCATGGGTGCTCAGTTGGCCAAATCCTGCACCCAAATTGCTTGAATTGTGTGACTTAGAAGTCGCAAAGCGCCCGTCAAATTTTCAGCGCAGGCAACAGCACGGCACGGCCCTCCCAGGCAAGCTGCGTGAGGGTGGCGGCCACTGCCTTCTGATCTCAACCGGCTCCCAAGTCCCGCCCCCCGAAGAACAAAGAGACAAACATCCAGAAAGAATCCCAACAAGCCCAAAGAAGGGATCCCACAACAAATCAAAGCTACAGGCGCTTGGAATTATAGAACGTGGGCGACCCTTTTGGAACCAAGGAATCATTGCCAAGGTCTCCCATCCAGAGGCATGCCGATTTGTATAAACACACAGCTTTGATCTGCGCATGCCTGTCTTGGCATAAGGCCTCGGATTTGCCGTCAAGCGCAGATGTCGGCTCGTCCATGAGGATAACTGGCGCACCTGTGATTCTGCCAGCTGCCAGATGCAAACTGTCAACATGAGTCATCTCTTCACCTGTCAACAGAGTCCCAAGTTCGCAGCACTATCGGATGGCCATTCCACTGACGTGCCATGCAAGGTCAAACGGTCAAACCTTCGCTAGTGTTAGCCGTTACGAGGACTGATGGATGGTTGCCTAAATAGGGTTCACAACTGTCCCTAATTCACTCGCGCCTCGCGCAATCGCTCTGGCAAGCGCGAGCCTGCGCTGGCAGGACTGCTGAGTTTCCTCCTTTCTTAAAGGTTGACCTTTCATTCAACAACAGCCCGGTCTTCCAATGATGCGATTTCACCAATCCATAAACCATCAGCCCTTCAAAATAGGCAACTCACCAATCAAACTGACAGCCGAAAGGTGATGTTTTAAAACCGGTCAAAGCTGAACATGTTGGAATCCAGGGCCACCGCCATGTGTCTTGCAAAGCACACAGCTTCATGATGCCAACATTGCCTGGCCTTGGGCTCAATTCTGATAACCGCTGGTTGTGGTTTTGCTTTCGCAAGTGCATACCGAGAGACGCCAACAGGAAGCCGAAGCCAAATTTGCCTTCGCGGTTCCACATCCTGATTGGAGACACGCCACATGTGCCAAAAGCTCCTTATGCAGGCCGCGCTCTTTGTGGCCTTCACACCTTTCTAAGGGTTGCTCAAAGGGCTCAAAGGAACGCTGGTAGACCCAAAATCGTGACGCCTCGCCTCAGCCAGCTCGAGCAATGTGGGGGAGTGGTCCAGCTCTTAAGAAGGGCCATGAGGCACACGAAACCAAGCGGTTCAGCGTCTATGTGCTGGACGAATGGGGGCAAGGCGGTCGGCTGCGGAGTTGTCCTTGCAGGCTCATCGGCATCCAACAGCACCTAGTAGTCTGTGGCCACCTACCCCAGGAGACGGGATCGGCCAGACGGCGGAGAGAAAGGAGGGCAAGGGCAAGTCGGGCAAGGAGAAAGGCAAGGGCAAAGCACCAGCTGCGCCGCAACGATTGGTGGAGAGGCAAGTGCAAGGACGAGTGGAGCTTGCGGGCCCTTCAGTCCAGCTTCGGGAGTGGCAGGGAGCAGGGAAGGAGTGGGGCAGAGCAAGCTGCTTCAGGAGATCAGGGATGCCTCTGGCGGCCTGGACGAAATGCCGGCCAACTTGCACAGGATCATCTTGAGCAAGGAGATCGAAGGCAGTCGCCACCTCACCAAGCACATGCTCACAGCAGCCACAAACGGCAGGAGCGCGCCTGAAGCAGTTGGCCAGGAACTCCATCACGGCAGCCAGAGCCGAGCTCAAGCGGGTGAACGAGCAAGCCGGAGAGATGGAGGGCGTGACCAGGACGTCGTGCGGAGCTCCCGGGCATGGAGGACGAGGAGATGATTGCGGACCCCAAAAAGACGCTACTGGGCGCACCGGATCTGGAAGAAGTGCTACGACAAATCCAGGAAGATTGCGGGGCAAAAGTCAGGACTGCCCAAAGACGACGTCTTCGAGGAGGCAGAAGAAGTTAATGCCCGTTGTCCGTAGGCTGGTGCAGTTGGGCGCTGGAGGTGGGCGATCCTGTCAGTTGGAGTGGGAGCGCACGCGGTTCCCCCGGCATTCGGTTTCAGGAATCTTGCTTTAGATTTGCAGTGGCAGATCAACGCGAGGTCGGTCAGCAGGGCATGCCATGGAGGTGCCACGGTCCTACATCGTGGGCATCCTCTACTACGCGGAGGCATGGTTCGGAGGGTCGGCTTTGCGGATCATATTGAGACGTTTCAGCAGCATAGGGGTGCCGACCAACGAGGCTAGCAGCGACCTGGAAAGCTTCTTCTGGGAGGCCATGCAAAAGCATCGCCAATTGCATCCTCAAATGACGCTTGGCCTTCTAGTGAAAGTGAGGACACTGCCTCTGAGGGAGATGATACTGGCTATGAAGGACGAGACCACCAGGCGCTGGATGATGCGGCAGTGGTGTCATGGAGACCACACTTAGATTACATTGGTCTTGCGCGAGCCCGCGTCAACTGCAGGATGATGTGCAAGTCAGGAGCATCCTGCAGGCTAGCAGATGGAGGGAATCAAATAAATTCGATGTGTTGGTTTCATGAGGTCAGACCTATGCCTGCGATTGGGGAGTGCGAGCAGGCTCTCGTCGTCGCGTAGGCAGGCGGGAAGCCAACACAGTGGCGGTGCTCTTTGTACTATGATGGCGGCCCTCCGGCTCATTGGGCCCAAGTAAGTGGTACACCGCTATGCCACAGGCGATGAGCTTATCAAAGAAGCTGGGCAACAGCCAAATATGAAAGAGAACCGGTAGCCATCGGCCTTGTTGGTTTGAGTGTACCAACAGTTTCGCTGACTCCAAGCAGGTAGATCAGCGCAGTCTCATGCAGGTCTTCAGAGCAGCGCATGAGCAGGAGGCATGGCATCACTGGGAACCTGTAATATTGAAAACTATCATGATCGGCATCTGTTTGAGACGTACAAGTTCGCCAGGGTAGATGGGGGCAAATCCGGCTTTCGTTTTCCAGAGAGTAGAGCCTTCTTGCGACAGGGTTCCCAGTCCAGCAGGGTTCACCCTGTGAGGCTCCGGCTCCATGAGTCTGTGGAGGGCTTTCGGGAACGGGATGGTGTGGGCTGCAGGCCCCGGCATGAATGATCAGGTGTAGCAGCTTGCGAAACCGTCAGCGTCTTGCGGAAGCGCCGGATGGACTGCGCTTGCATCCTTTCACTGCCCTAGCGCTGGGTTGGCAGCCAGAGCAAGAGCCCCGTCGGAATACATGTGTACACAGACGGTTCTTGTGAGCATGGTCGTGCGGCTTGGGCGGTCGTGGTTGTCAGTTGTTCGCAGGGATCATGGAGAGCCCGCTTGAAGGAGATGCGGTTGGTGTGTCACTTGGAGCATGCAGTTGAACCAATGTTGCTGCGGAAGAGCATGGTGTTGTAGTTGCTCTAGGTTACGCATTGACCATTGACGGGGCTCCTGTGGTAGCGCGTTGCGACTTGCAACTTGCGGTGGAGCAAAGGAAGGACATGTTGGTCCGTGGAATAAACTTGTCGATAGAGTCGCCGAGCATGTGAACATGAATGACTTGGTGATCGACCAGCCTTGTTTGCGGCACTTGGTGAGTTGGATTTAGTATCGACAAGTTGATTGGTTGAAGCAAGAGTGGAGGGCAAATGTGACAGTTGCGGCAACTTTGCCGGAACTGGATGCGCAGGGTCTATTCAGTGTAAGCCTGGCGGACACTGTGCCGAATTTCCATAATAAGCAGTTGCCGCAACCACCACCGCCAGCAGCTGATGGTGGAGCATTCATGCGCAAGCCACACTAAGCGTGCTGTCCTTGGCCGAGCGTGCCAAACATCACCAGGATGAAAGGCTCCATCACGTGGTGGGCGGTGGGCAGATGGCAGGTTGGCAAGACGCAAAGGCTGGCCAAGCGATGCAACGATCTTGGTTGGCATGTGCTTGGAATCCGGGGCACTGACAAGAGCCGAGAAAAGCATGGGAAGAACCACTTGCCATTGCGGAAAATGCGGATGGGTCGCCTGTTGCGCTTCGCAGCATGGCTGCTAGTGTGGTGCATGCTGAGCCCCGCACGAGAAATTCGAGAGTGGTTGGTTGTTGCGGCGCATGCCCCTTGCTATGATGCTTATAGGGACGTTGATCTTGATAGATGGTGTCATGAACTTGGTTGCAAAATCCACGCATGCGGCCCTTGCTACGGAAATCACATCCTACTGGCAACACCCAAACAAAGTGTGGTATCGTCGTGACTATGTCTTCCTTTCTGGATGCCTCAGTCAAGCGTGCCATGCTGGTTGGGTTGAGGAGTGGGTTGATGTTGGACATATCAAAGAAGATCACTTGCCTGTGGTTGCTGAGGTCCGCGGCATGCTGGTCGAAACGGGAGGCACAAAAGGCAAACGCCTTCGTGATCTCGACATCACCGACCCTGGAAAGAGGGAGCTGTTTCGGCAGGCCGTTGCGCTACACCAGGGTGGCATGTTGATGTACATACGCACAGCGCCATGTTGGTTGAACAGCTTGAGGGCCGTGCACGACGTGTTTGAACCCAAAGCGAAGGCAAAGGCGCAAGAAATCGTTGTCTGATAGCCATGGGTGACGTGGAAGCGAAAAATGCGTGCTTGGTATGGGGCGGCAAACGGAAGAGGAGACTTGAATGCCGAATGGAGGCATGTCTACGAATAAGAACTTAGGCGTGCCAAGCAGGTTGTTGCGGGGTGTCGGGCGGACAAAGCCAAGTTGGCTCTGTGCTGGGCTCCGAAGGATTCTCACTCCCGCTGCAGCCAAGAAGGCAACGGCATGCACTAGAGTGCTGCCTCACCTGAAGGATGCGACTGGCAACAGCAGGAGGCGTTGTTTCATCGGTTTGCGGAGCAAGAAAGTGGGCACAGGGCCACTGCGGACCAAATCATTCAACAGGAAGGCCGGGCGGAGCACGCCTCCCCGGCTTGAGCAGGATTGTGCAGCCTATAGGAAAGTTGAAGGCAGCTAGGGCGCCTGGACCAGGTGGAATCCCCGCAAAGCTTCTCAAAGTTTGGGGGTTGCAAACGGCTCAGCGCTTGCTTCCCATGTTCTTGAAGTGTGCTATCCTTTGGGGGGAGAACCACTGGCATGAAACTGGTTGCATTGCTCCAGCTGCGGCCAGAGCACAAGAGTCTGCTGGACACCGGGCCATCATGGTCTCCAATACCACTGGCAAGGTATACCATGCCTTGGTAGGGAAAAACTTGCCGGCCCTTGTGGATGAGGTTGCGCTTGACTCTCAGTTTGGCGGAAGCACGAGGCGGGCCACCGATGGTGCGCAACGTCATTGGGGCCTAAGTGTGTGCTACGCAAGAGCACAGTCCCTGCCAGCGGCAGTGATCTTCGCAAATCTTGTGGCGGCGTTCTAGCAGGTGTTGCGTGTCACCCTTGCTGAACGCCTCATTGACTCACGACTGATGATGAGGCCCTGCCGGTGGTCGGGTCCTTGGGGGTCGAGCCGCAGGACTTCCAAATGTTCAGGGGCGAGTCGAGAGGCTGAATGACACGCGGGGAGTTGCGGCAACTGTTCGACCAGTGCGCTCCGAGCTATCCAAGCACGCTTGCTTGAATGCGACTTGCTTCCGAGTAGGCAAGCATCTGATACTCTTGGTGATGTATGATGTTGGGTATGTTGAGGCTGCATACTTGGATGATGCAACATATGCGGTCACGGCTCCCCAATGCGAGGGACTTGTCCAGAAGCGCGGCGTGTTGTCTCTGTCATTGTCTGCGGCTCAACTTCGACCGGAAGAAAACAGAGGTCGTGCTGCACCTGGCCGGGCCGCGCTCGCGCAAGTGTAAGCAACAAATCCTTGTCAAGGACAAGGTCTGGACAAGCTTTGAAACATGTGAGGGAGATCGCAAGGAGCTCCATGTGACTGATGGATGCTTATCAGCACCTCGGCACATGGATACAGCCAAAGAGCGGAAGGCTCGTGGGTCGCAAGAGGCAAGCCCATTGCAGCGCCAAAAAACCCGTTGCACACGAAGCGCACTGTGCTTGGCTCCTTGGTGTTCAGTCGGTATCAGTACAATGCCCATGTGTGGGGTATCTTTGATGGCGTCTTGTGCCTGACCCATGCATGGGCCTGTCGTACTGGTCTGGGTTTGTGCCACTGGAAGCGTGCCCCAACAATCTGACTGAGTTCCATACACCATGAACGGCGCTGCTGCATCGGTCAGGTGTCTGCAGCACGTTGAGGTTTGCTTTCCGGCCAGGTCTGAGGAACAGGCACAGCAGGATGCGGAAACTTCTGGCGAAACGGCCACCAACCACAGACACGGGTGGTGCTCAGGCAAGGCACTCCTGCCAGCTATAAGGGTCAAGGGATGCGCCATCCCCGGAGAGGGCACAAAGGCTGCGGCCATCATGCACCGTCGATGCGAAGGAGTCAAGGAAGTGCATGCGCCAGGCGGCCCCCCCGAGCGGTCATGCAGTCGCAAGCCGAGCTCAATGGCTTGTAGATGCAGGGTACAGGCGCCACGCTGATCTGCAGTCACGCCTGGAGCGGCTGCGCTTGACCCCAGAAAGCGGCGTGGTCTTCGGCCTGTCGGTTGACGTCTGACATATGCTTGCCAGGGTGAGCGTAATAATCTCAGGAAGGAAGAGAACCGTCGGTGGTGGCATGATAAGGCGGCAAAGGGTCTTTTGCTGCTGTTGCTTGGTGCGGGCTTTGGCCCCGCACAGGCGTTTCGGCAAGGCACAAATGACCGCCAAGAGCCCCTCTCCCCCAGTCGCTCTTCTTCAGGCGATGCCGGGCGAATATGCTTGGGATCCCGAGCTCCCTACATTTCCCGCCGCTTGTTGAACGCCGCGCCAAAAGTCACTTTAACTTTCCATTGGCAGTTCCAAAAGATGACGTTTGAACGACAGCAAACAAAAGCAAACCTGGAGAAAGTGCCAACCTGTTGCGGCACGACTCAAATGAAGAAACCTGCCATCAGACACATTCAAGCTTGCCAACTCAGCAGGTAAATGGATGCCCCTTTTGGTGACACCAAAGCGAACGCTGCCCCCTACAAATTCCAAAGCCATTTTGGGGTGGAACCCGGGATGGACGAGAAGACAACCAGGGCATGGTTGCTGAATGAAACCAATGGGCTGATTTCCATCTAACCATATCTGCTTTCTTACTGCTCGGGGGTTCCTTGCGTATCGCAGCTGGGAGTTGAATAGGGGGGTCAACCTTGAGTTGTCCGCCCCCGATTTGAGTTGCCAGCCTCCAAGGAGGAAGCGTGTGCAGCTTTTAAAGCAGCTGCGATCTCATCCTGGCACTGAGCTCAGCGTTTTAGGCAGGATGGAAACGAAACTTGTACTTGTCTATCATCGGAATCGGACAACAGTGAAATCTAATCTCCAAACCATTCCGGGCACATCTCACACTTCAAGTGGACAATACTCAACACCCAACTGACCCATACTCAACACCTACTACTGAACGGCTGTACCCAAAACCATGCAAATCACCAAACGGCCGCACCAGTCCACGTCCTGTGACTGTCCGTTGCAGACGTGGGCCCAAACTCTGGGGTACGCGAAGCATGTTCAGAGAATGTGTCGTGACAGGCTGCCGTGGCATCAGCCGACGAATCCGGCGAGACAAAGGCTGGGAGCTGAGGTTGGTGTCGCTTTGGTTCCTGAAACATTCGAGGGTCCCACGAAAAGACATGACAACTGAATGTGTCTCAAAAAAGGAACTCCCAAACATGGAATCAGGCTTCCCTTCGGTTTCCCAACGCAATCTCTAACAGTGGTACCTTAAGGAAAGACACGTGCATGTCACTGATGGTTTTTCAGGAAGGGGAAATGTCTGTCACCCAAGTCTGATCCGCGGATCGGTTGGCTTTTCCAAGGGGAGCGATGCCTCAAGAAATCGTCTTCAAACTGTTCATGACCAGCTCTACCACAATGCATGTTCTGTTCAGCTCAGACCGCACACTGCAATTGAGCCGCGCAACGTCTTGACGGACCCAACCAGGTTTGAGGGTATGTCTGTAGGAAGGGATGGGCAGGTCAGGTCACAGGGTGGTTGGGAGAATGCACCTACCACGCACTCCAATGTTTTTGTAGTGATGGGGCGCAAAGCGCTCTAAGTCATTGCGCGGAAGGGAGCTAGTTGCAGGGAGAGGTACCAGGGGCGGGCTCCACTCCCTAAAACTTGCTTCGCGGATTCATTTACTGCAGAGGTGACAATCACTCCCTTAAGCAGGACCCCTTCCAAAGGGTGGCACCAAGTTATGCCCAAACAAAGGCACTTCATCGACAGGCATGATGGCATGCTCCGAAACTTTATCAGATGACCAAACAACAAGGGTATAAGCAAATGTTGCTTCCTTAAATTGACATTACCAGGGACCAACACTTCGATCACTTCTACTCTTCTGCCGGAGCTCCCCGGATGAAACCATTAGACTCATTAGACATACGCAAGGAATGCCCATGCACCCAGTTATGATGCTGACGCAAGCCAACAACTATTCCAACTTCAACTGCCAAGTGGAGGTCTGCCCTCTTCAACAGGCTCAGCGAGAAATGGTCTCATCTTGGTTTCCGTCTCCTGCCCAAGCATAACATCAAGTCCATTCTTCTCACATCTCCTGTTGACACCCTGGAAGAAATCAGGCCAGCAAATACGTCAAGAGCACTGAGTACGAGAAAGCTCACCTGCACATAAAGTTGTTTGTGTGTGTATTTGTTTGCACCTGTCTGTGTGTCTGTGTGTCTGTGTGTCCGTGTGTCTGTGTGTCTGTGTCTCTCTGTCTTTGTGTGTGTGTGTGTGCGCGTGTGTCCGTGTCCGTGTCCGTGTCTCTGTCTGTGTCTCTGCACAGGTGTGTGTGTGTGTGTGTTCGTTGTTGTGTCACACCCAAACCCACACAACGCGATAGAGTTCTTTGGAAGGTCTCATCAGGGTGTCCGTCAAATAAGATAATCAGCCGGAGTGACTTTCTTTGCCCGCGCAATGCGTGCAGAATTGCAAATATATGGAAACGAGGAAACCTCGTCAAGCAGCCGCACAGCGAGCTCAGCCGGGGATGCGGAGAAGCCCCGCGGAAGGAAACGGTGAAGGGCTACGACGCAGTGGAATGCTTCTCTTTCCCGATGAAACATCACTCCAACAACAACAGCAATTCGAGCTGGTCGATCTTACATGTCCAAACCACAAGCGGTTGCGACTAAGCCACCTTCGGACCGCATGTAGCTTGCATCCGCTCAGCATCCCTAGCACGAACTGCCAAACTGCACAGTCGCTCGGACATGCGCAGCGCTGTCAGGGAGCTGCTTCCAATCTCGCGGTCACAGCCATGCCTAGAACTTCCGTTGAATCGCCTTCTGTTTGCAACTCCTCTGCGTTTGAAAAAGGCTCGCAAACAAAGCCTCATCTTCCGCTCGCTTCCCCCTCCCTCTAAAGAAAGGCGCCCCTTGTGGATTTCCTCCGTGCCAATCGAAGGCTGTGAAGCTAAGCTCCTGGAACGCACCGAGTGGAATCACGCAAACATGTTGCAAATGCTTCGCTTTTTGGACGTTCCCAACCTTGCGGCCACGATTTCATTGTTGAAGGTGCTCCACTTTTGGGGGCTGTTGAGGGAAAACTGGCATCTCTATTTGGAGCACCATCCCTTCAACTTAGCTCAAGCATCAAGCTCTTGCCCAACAAAATGTACCGCGAGGTTGAAGCTGGAAACAAGCTGACAGCCTCTGCCTAAGGCCATGTATAATCAATGGATCTGCAGCCCATTTCGCCAGCTGCAGAGTTTTTCGGGCTGCGCGCAGTCCGAAACTTCATTGAACGCTGCAAGTCGTTGGTGCATCCATCTACAAAAGGACGCACTTGAGACACCAAGTCGGAAACAAACAAACACTGTCTTGCGGCAGAATCGTCCTGAGCATCACAACAAATCCATGTCTTCAACAAAGGGCTGGATGTGTTTCCAGCCATACCCACTCCGTGCTTTGAGGTGTTTTGTTTCAAGCACCGGGCCCAGGGCACCTGTCGTCTCAGTTCTCTGACGCCTTGTTCAATGCCTGACGGAGTGCTGTGGTTGGAAGAAGCTCGACGTGCATTCGGTCAGAAAAAACGACCCCTTGTGGACAAAATGCTGTGTCAAGCTCAGGACACATGACACCAACCATTTGGAAAGGTCTCTAGCTTTGCCACTGAGCTGGTCCAGCTGTGTGCTGCTCATTGTCCCCATCTGCGGTCGGCAGATGCTGTCACCACTATCCCTCTGAAAACCTTCAAGTGGAACCGCTTCTATGCATTTGGCAGATCAAACACGGGTCACTTTGGTCCAAGTGTTTGACAAACTTCTGTCTTAATTTGGACGTGTTCAGCCCGCCCGCGCTCATGTTGATCCTATGTCTGAATCATGTTGATCTTAGTTTTCGCAAAGCTTGGTCGTTTATACCTGTCCAAATCATTTTGGTGCTAGTCAACTCAACTCGACTTAACGGGGCTCGACTCGAATCTCTCAACTCAATCGACTCAACTCAACTTGACCCAACTCTACTTTGGAAACTGCTGGCTCTGTGCGGGTCGGCCGGTTTCTTCATGAGCCAAAGGCTGCGTCTGAAACTCATATGTTTCCGGGACTGGTGTAGAACAACCTAAGAACCAGGACCCAGACGAGTAAATACCAAGACCGAAACAGTTTGCAAACTAGGATCAACAAGATACCGCGCCCTCTTGGATCCCCCGAAGATCCCCCCCCCCAATCAAAATCACCGGTTTAATCCTGGGTTGATATTCCCCCCATGCTTGAAAGAATTCGCAAGGATAGCCGCCATGGTTGCGACTTCTCCCAACCTTGATATTTGATCCTAGGAGTCCTCTCGGATCTCGGAACAAAACATGGTATATGTCTGATGGCAGCCCCTATGTCAGCCAGCACACACCAAGAGCCATGCAGGACTGGATCTGATATCCGAGCAAACACACCTCTGTATTTGATGGCTGCAGGGTCCCTCTGTATCCCCTTTAAGCATCCAAAGGAACCCCACTCTTTCAGCCCTGAAACGCAATTTTGAAACCACCCAAAAAAGAAATATAGGGACGCATGCCCAATGCCCCGCCCACACACCGCACCTCAAGCGCTTCAGCCTCTTTCCTTGGGAGCGGCTGAGCCGAAACCGGGACAATTGCTCGCCGATGGAAGCCAACAAACCCCAAACACTCCATACATGAGAACGTCAGCCGTGTTTGCCCTGCAAATGGGTCAGCTGCTGGATTTGGTTTTCGTCACTAGATTGTACGGGAATGGAGCTTGCTTTGAAGAACGCCGAAAAGGGTACGGAGGTTCAAGGCTATCGGCCAAAAAAGAAGGCAACGCCCTCCGAGAAATCTCGACTCTCGACTTCGATTTTATACAGAGGATCATCCTCGTCAAGGATGGCTCTCTGCATGTTGGGGAAGTCATGAATATCAGGGGCATGTTCTGATTCACAGTGTCCTCCACATTAAAAACGACGTCAACGTGCGAAGATTGGGTGCATTCACGAAGTACTCTAATTCACACATGGAAATTGCATGGGTGATTTTGTTTCGGCTTCAGGTGAAAGCAGGTTTATCCGCCGACCAACTGGAATGAAGTGATTGGAATCCTCATGATTTTTCCCCACACCTGAAACGCACGTGGATTCCCAGAACTGGTCCCAGCGCTAGCACCTGACGTCCTGCTGAAGATTTTCCTTGGAGACACACCTGAACTCAGCACAGGTTCCCTTTCAAACTTGTGGTTCGGGGGGGTTTGGAGTTAGCGGGTTTCTCGCTGACCCTTGCAAGAAGGGGTTCAAATTCCAAAATGAGGCTGATCCCGGGACTGGGGTCCTAACTCGCCAAACACCAAACGGACAAGCTCCCATGTGTTTTCCGTTCACGAGGGTTAAAAAGCTGTGACACCAAAGTGATTGATTTTTCATGAGCACTTTCTCACTTTAAAAGGGAATTGATTCCCTTGGTAAGACAGACAAATGATTTGAAGCCTCTGTTTCCGCAATATTCCGCAATGACACACGTCAATCAAGTTACCCTACAGTTGGTAGGCAAGGGTGTTGGACACGTACCACCTGGTGTTAAACAAATCCTGGCTGCCAAATTCTGCCTGGATCAGCTGGGCCAACTTGGTTCCCATGAACACTTGATCACTTCGAATCGGGATTCCCTGATTATCCCAGGAGTATGCCTTGTTTGTTGAGACTTCCCTTTTGAGACAAACGCAGACCCTTGCCGCAACCACGCCTGAGCGAAAGCTTAGTGCCCGACTGTCTTGCTCGCTCTCGGTACATCTCTACAGCAACGAGCACCGCCAGCGTCGCACACACAATCTCAGTTCAGAAGCCATCGCGGTCCCGAAATGTTGAGGCGAAACAGTGCCCACAGTCCCCAGTGGTGGGCGATTCGGGGGTCTGGGATCGATGCCGACTTGCCAATACTTGATCTAGAATTGCCAAGTCAGATTTCCGGCACTGCCCGGATTCTGCTTGCCCGGTCGTTGCCCGATTCTTTTGTCCGGGTTGTTTGCCGGCAAAATACAACTTGCTATCAACGTGAACCCTGAAATGGTCACAGGGTTCTGCGACCACGTGATTTAAATTCGCCGTAACATTCAGGATTTGGGTGTGCTGTTCCTCCAAGTACCCCCCCGTTTGGTTGCTTGGTTGCCTTTAAAATAATTTAATCATGTCGGGATAATTTTATGACACATGATATGTGTCCTCAAGGGCCGCCCAAAAATGGGTGGATTCCGTTGGCTCCTGTGGCTGTCCCAAACCCTGAAGGGTTACCCTCAAAAAAGCAGGTGGTATCCGTCCGGAATGAAAGCTTCTCCGAAAAATGAGTGAGGGCAACCCCAAGTCCCTCCCCATTGCACCATAGACTCTGGACATGTTGACTGAAAAATTGGCGGCTGGCAGCTTGAAGCAGCGACCGGGATCAACGCCCCTTGACGGGAACTCTGTGATTTTTCGGGAAACCAACAGAAGGAGTACCCTTAAGAGAAGACACCCAATGGGCTAAAGGCGTGCTGAACATCAAATGCCGCACAGGCAATGCACCAAGGCCAGCTCGTGAGTGGCATCCAATATTTCCTTTGATCATTGTCCAACGGGTGCCGTTGGCTGAAACTGCCCCTTTCATGGGCAGTGCGCATTGCTTCAAGGGTTGAGCAATTGGACGGCTTTCCTACGGAGGTCTAAACCGCTTTTGTCAAAGCCGACTGCTCTTGGTTTTCCCTTTAAACGGGGGACGCTTTGTTTGGACTACTTTTCCCAGCCCTAATTCGCACTTAGAGAGCTTACCTCGCAGGGCCCAGACCATCAACACCACCCTCCCAAATGCAGAACAGGGGGCTGCCGCAGGAGCTGCGATGAAGAACATGAGAGCGAACTGCGTTTCTATGGACCTGTCTTTGGCTTTGCCTAAAAAACGGAGCCCCCCCCCACAAAAAAAAAAATGATTGATTTCCGATATGTTTCCCTTCGAAACCATCCAAAAAAAAGCTCTCCTCTGTTGCCACTAGAGCCCACCTAGACCAGTGGGAGTCGTTGGCCAGCAAGCACGTAGTGAAGCCCGTGATCAGCACTGCGCAGCCCAGCAAACGCAACTCCAGGCGATTCCAGTCGTCCTCCTGGCTCGCTTGGAAGCTGAACAACTGGAGTCGCCGGTTCGATTCGACCAGCAAGTCAATCTTTTGCAAATGCATAACAAATACAAACTCCTTTGCTGCGGTCCGGTGAACTGCAACGAAGTACTATCAGGCACGTGAACCGACATCCAGCCAAACGCGGACACGCAGTTGACAGCCATCGTTCTATTTGTGTTCGCATCATGGGAAGAACCGCCAAGAAACATATGAAACCCAAAAACGCCCAAAACTTGGCCTGGGAAATCATATTTGTCTCTCCTGGCCAGTTGCCAAGCTGTGAGTGGTTGGAACCCCCTCCAAGATGGTGGCTGCATTCATCCCAATTAAATGAGATCCTGTGGCAAAGATCCTCCGTTGGCAAAAATCAGGGGACCCCTCCAAAATGATGGAGATCCTGTGGCTTCCTTTTGTCCAAAGAAGGTGTATCCTCAAAACACTACGCTCCCTGCAGAGGGCAGCAGCTTGCCGGGCCTTGTACGGCCGCACGTGTGCATAGAGCATCAGCGATCCCAGCAGGATGGCACTGATGCACTGCATCTGTAGAGCCTTCAAACGGCTCAAACCACCCTGAAAATGAGAGAGTGCTCCGAAGTCATGGGGAATTTCCAATTTTGGAGTTTTGAGGGGTGGAACATATGCGGCCCGTTCAAACTGGGGCCGCAATTCCTTCTTGACGCCCCATTTCTTCGCTGACAACAGCGGGGGAAGCAACACCTGCAACACCGGGGGGCCCGGGGGGGAGGGGGGGGGCAGGGCCACAAGCAAGCTTTGGCGGCGAGGAGACTTACTCCGGTTAGGCTCAAGATGAGCGCCCTCCACGACACCTGCAATATCCCCACAACGGGATACATCTTGGGCAAACCTGGCGCCTTGCTACCGAATCGCATGCGCCACTCCATTCAATGCCGCCAAGGCCACGGGAGACAGGGTCACAGGCAGCACTGTGCTCACCACAGTCAGCATCATCTTTCGCACTAAGCGTTCCACCTGGCGAAGTGGTGGGCTTTCTGAACAAAAGCTGTGTCACCTTTGCTCGGTTTGCACGTGGCTTGGGGTGCTACAAATGGCGCGCCGGTTTGTGCAGGTGCTTTACAAACGTGAGGAACCCCTTTCTTGAAGCATGCGCATTTAACTTTTATATCGGGGGATACCTGGCTGTTGTTTTCGGGATGCTTGGCTGATATGTTCAGGATACTTGGCTGTTGTTTTTGTGGATAAATGGCTTCACTTTCAGGATACTTGGCTTATTTTCGGGACACTTGGTTGCATTTCTTTCGGGACTCTTGGCTCGAATATGTTTGGGAACACTTAGCTCTTATGTTCGGGACACTTGGCTCTTGTTTCGGGGACATTTAGCTGCTGTTGGCGGATTGCATGCTGGACCTTGGGGGCCCCTCTTGCAGAAACCTTGGGGCTTGAGTCGACTGCTTCGTACCGCTGCTTCGGGAAGGTGAGTTGCTGGTTGCTGAGAAAGGTTCAAAAGGGCCAAGTCCCACAAGCTTAAGATTGGGGCAAGCGTCCCAAAATGAACCGCGTTCCCCGTCACGTCGCCGCCAAGTAGATTTCCCGAAAGGGTTGACATCTACTTGGCTCTAAAAAAAACCTTGGCCTTTGACTGGGGGCTTGGCGGTTGACTTGGGGGGGGACTTGGCCATTCACTTTGGGACACTTTCTTAACCCGGGGGGCTTGGCCCTGAACTTGGGGGGCTTAGCTTTGAACTTCGGGGGCTTAGCTCTTAACTTGGGGGAAGCTTAGGCCATAGCTTTTCTAACCTGTAACTTCACGTGACCCTTTCAAGGCCCAGCGTTCTCGACCTGAACACGGGCTCAGCACGCTGAGGCTGAGACTTTTGGTTGGGTGCAAAATTGTAGACAAGTGAAGAAATCATAGAACTAATTTGGGGCCCAGTCAAGAGCGAAGTTTCGGAAAATAAATTAAGAGCCAAGTGTGGAAAAATATGAGCTAGCTCAAAGCAGCCAAGTAGAAGCCCCGTAAGAGCCAAGTGCTGGCCAGGCAAAAGCCAAGCAGTAGCCCTATAAGGGCTCGGTGTTGGGTCAAAATATGGGCCGGGTATTAGCCTTGTCAGGAGCCAAGCAAAGACCACAAGGCCCGCACCGATGGAAATTTGCAAACAAGAGGAGTCCCCAACAATGATCGTGGGCTATCTTGGCGCCTTTCGCCCCTTTGCGAATAACATTCTGGTTGCGGTTGCGTGCGTAAGGGCTTTCATTTTTGAGTTCGCAGGGTGCCTGAAGGACACCTTCGCTGCTGGTTTTACCGAATCTGTTTTGCCTCTGCCCCGAAAAAGTGCGCAACACTACCTTGCATCTTCTTACCTTAGACTTCACCTTCCAATCATATTCGGTGCGCTCTTGCCCGTCTGTTGGCGCGACCCTTACAAACTGCAACCTGGAGACCCATAACCACATGTTTCTGCTCGTGCGGCCTTTGCCACAAAACATGATTGTGCACGTGTGTTTGTCCACCTTCTGTGGAGCAGCACACAGTGGCTGTGTATGGCCAAATGCAGCAAACGGCGTGAAATCATATGGCGATAGAGACTCTAGATGAGGATTCTGTCCAAGACAAATTGGCCAAACAACTTTCCAGGAAACGAATACAACCTCGCCACCTATCATCTCCCCTCACTTTTGAGTGCCCAAGAGGTTTTTAACAGCTCAGCATCTCCACCTGCAAAACATGCTGGGATCGGCTGTGCTCTCAGGAGTAAAAGGTCCCCTTGCTAGTCCTTCGTGCTTCGGACGACCAGATTCAACACGCCAGGCCTGAAAGATAAATGCGCTTTGAAACATCACTGTACAGGCTGGCGAGGTTGGATGCGCATAAGCCCGCTTTTTCATCGCCGCCGCAAAAAACTGGCCAGCAAACATTTGGACTTCGCTACGCAAGCGTTTCATGTGGGCGAATATTATATAATTCGCCAACCAAACCAACCATGAGTGAAATAGGCGTCGAAACTGAGAGGTTGATCCCTGCAATTCCCCATCTCCGGGGCCGTCGAAGCCCGAGAACAAACCCCGCAACGCGGCCTCCCAGGCTTCGAAGCTCGGCTTGTACGCTTGGGTCAGGTACAGCACATGCGGCGGGCTGGGTTTTTCCGTAGACAGAGCCTCGAAGCCGAGTGCACCCCTTTGCGGGAAAAAATATTGAGCCACAATCAATACCATTCATTTGCTCCCCAAAAGGATTTGGGCAGACGCCAAGGCCAGGCCCTTGTTTGAACCTGTTTGGGGGCTTCTTTTAGCCAATGCCCAACCCTGACTGGAATCATCCATGTGAGTTTGTCGTTTTGGAGGAAACCTTTATTGTTCAAGGGAAGCCCGAAGGAAAACCGCTATTCCACAAGACGCACCAAAAGAAAAACACACCCGGTTTAAGCTGAGCCCAAGACCATTCGCGTCCAACTCCAAGCGCCCAAGACGAAGCAGGCCGTGATGCACGCCAGCACCCACCAGAAGGCTCCAGGCACACCCGGCAGGAAGGGGGTCAGCAAGTCCTAAGCAAAAAAAGAACGAATGGACTGGTCTAGGTGGTACGTAGGGCTGAGAGGTGTGTCGTCTTTCCCGAAAGCATTGTGAAGGGTTCTTCCGGTACAAATAGATATGCGCGAGGGCGAGCATGCACGACGGCACGCGCAGACCAAGATGCACAGGAGGACACGGGCAAGTAGCAAGAGCAGCGAATTGCACAAGCCCACTTGCACAGGAAAGCTCGCGCGAGGCACATGAACCCGAAACTGAAACTAGTCTCTTACGAAAGCGCGGTGGGGGCCGAACCCGCCGCGCGAAAATGACACCCTCCGCCAGGCGGTTGATGTCAAAAATTGAGGGCGTGTTGCGATTTTGGATTTCTGCCCAGAAACTGATGACTTTTGCACTTTTGCAGCTCCGGCTGGAAAATCGCAACTTTCATGTGCAAAAGTAGTACGCAAAGTACACTTGTGTAGCTTCTGGCTGGAAGCTTGTCGAAAGCATTGCGAGTAGTACACTTCCAGAAGTCTTTGTACTACACGAGGTTCACTTTTGCAGGCCGGATCGATAATTGGAAAGTTTGCTGTGTTGTGGCGCAGAGAACTTGCTCAGAGAACTTGCTCATAGAAACTTGATCCAAGCTTGCGCAGCACACTTGGGCCGTGCGCTTGCACAGAGAAAAACTTGCACAGAGCTCGCAACACCGAAGCTTCTCAACATGCACAAACACGTTTTCGGCAAAGCTCAGGCATGGAAATGTATGGGCAGTCTGCGCAAAGATTTTTCAGCAGCCGTTTACATCAGGTTTATATCGGAGCCGCGGGACGGGCTGCAAAAAGCTGCGGCTGTAAACGCATTCTACGCAGAACACACACGCGCGCAAGCGCGCGCACGCACAACTCACACACGCGCCCAAGTCACCCACCCACCCACCCACCCACCCGCCCGCCCGCCCGCCCACCCACCCACCCACCCACCCGTTGACCCATTCACGCACGCCCACCCGGCCCCCCAAGCAAAAACAAAACTATTACATCGGTGGCTCGAATAGCGCTGCGATTTTGGCATCCGGTGCCTCTTCTTTGTCTCCTTTTTTGGATTCAACTGCGAATTGATCAGCAACAGCAAAGCGCCGGCAGCGGAAACAGCGAGCGGAAAGCAGACCAGGATTCTTGCTTGACTCGTGGAGGAAGCATCACGCTCTACGTTGCAACGGATGCCGCGCTGGGCAATGGAGAAAGGTTCCCGGCTAGATGACCATGAAGTTGCCAGAGGGTGGCTTTGCCTTGAAGAACATTTGCATGTGGAACGTTTGCGCCTTATTCGCACGCTGGTTCGGCAAGTTTGTGGGCACTATACTGTGCGAAGAACAGCACTCGCTCATGCAACCGTTGAACGATTTTACTTGGCTTGAGCGTAGAGGACTCAGTTTTGCATATCATTCGCCCTGAGCCGGGGGCTCTGCAACAATGAATTGATCATGTTGCAGCTTGTTCAGAACAAAACCTGGAAGCGCAGGACCAAGTCAGCCCGGAACACTGTTCTGCAGCACAGCGAAAGGCAACGTGACCATTTTTCTGGCGCTTCCACAGCAATCAGACGCACAGGGTGAGGCAGACGCAACAGCGACTGACTCGCTACGAGTGCAGCGCAGCCTTTGAACCCAAGAAGGCTTTATCGGCGCGTGTGTTTCGCAAGCATGAGCAATTTTCACAGCCACGGAACTATGTGGGCTCGTGGACATCGGTGCGGGGCATGTTTGACGAACTTGCAGAGCTGGCTGCTCGATAACAGATCAGCTTGGCGACCCTGGCACTTTGTATGATGGGCAATGTCTTCAACCTGAGGTGCTGGCCAAACTTGGATCCTGGATGCCATTTGTTCCAGGAAATTAACCTTCGCTTGAAAACCAATTGCAGTCTGGCAGTCCGCGCCCGAATGATCTGCAGCAGCCGACAGTGCCAACAGACAAGACTTGGACACGGGCGCCAGCAAGGGCGCCATGCTCAACTGAGCCAACGGAAGGGAATCTTCGGGATGAGCTACCAAGGCAAATTCAGCGGCCAGCGCTGGTTGCACTGCATGTTGTACGCGCTCGTGCATGCGCGTTTGCATGTGTTGTGTGTGTTGTGTGCTTGCGTGCGCATGCATGCTGGTGTGCTTTCGCATGTACGTCTTTGTGTGTTTGTGTGCGCGCGTGTGTATGGATCTCTCTGTGTGTCTGTGTGTGTGTGTGTGTGCGTGTCTGTGTGTGTGCCCATGTGTGTCTCTGTGTGTGTGTGTGTGTGTCTGTGCGCTCGTCTCCGTATGTCGGTGTGTGTTTCTGCGTGTGTGTCTGTGTGTGGCTGTGTGTGTCTCTGCGTGTGTCTGTGTGCGTGCGTGTGGGCGTGCGTGGGTGTGCGTGGGTGTGCGTGGGTGTGCGTGAGTGTGCGTGGGTGTGCGTGGGTGTGCGTGGGTGTGCGTGGGTGTGCGTGGGTGCGCGCGCGCGCGCGCGCGCGTGCGTGCGTGCGTGCGTGCGTGCGTGCGTGCGTGCGTGCGTGCGTGCGTGCGTGCGTGTGCGTGCGTGCGTGCGTGCGTGCGTGTGTGTGTGTGTGTGTGTGGGTGCGTGCGTGCGTGCGTGCGTGCGTGCGCGCGCGCGCGTGCGCGTGCGTGCGTGCGTGCGTGCGTGCGTGCGTGCGTGCGTGGGTGGGTGGGTGGGTGGGTGGGTGGGTTGTGTGTTGTGTGTTGTGTGTTGTGTGTTGTGTGTTGTGTGTTGTGTGTTGTGTTGTGTGTGTGTGTTGTGTTGCGCTGTGTGTGTGTCTGTGTGTCTGTGTGTCTGTGTGTGTGTGTCTGTGTGTGTGTGTGGGTCTGTGTGTGTGTGTCTGTGTCTGTGTGTGTGTGTGTGTCTCTCTGTGTGTGTGTCTGCGTGCGGCTGTGTGCATCTGTGTGTGTGTGTTTGTGCGTCTGTGTGCGTCTGTGTGCTTCTGCACGGCGACTGTCGTGGTTCTGTGTGGGTCTGTGTGCGTGTGTGTGTGTGTGTGTGTGTGTGTGTGTGTGTGTGTGTGTGTGTGTGTGTGTGTGTGTGTGTGTGTGTGTGTGTGTGTGTGTGTGTGTGTGTGTGTGTGTGTGTGTGTCTGTGTGTGTCTGTGTGTGTGTGTCTGTGTGTGTGTGTGGCTGTGTGTGTGCGCGTGTTTCGGTGCATGTGTCCATCCTTTTGATGGTTTTGAACAATCAAAAATGGAAAACACCCCTTCTTGGGGTATCCTCGTTTTGAGACAACTCCACATAAGCAGAGCATATGGTACACATATCATCCCGGCGGAGAGAATCTGCAACCGCGCAGCTTTGAGGTGAAAACGGCAAGGTCGTCTTACTGCTGCTAAGCCACACCCCCTTGATCTTGAGGCTGCAAGCGGTACGCCACTAGGTACTTCCCGAATTTTGACGTGAACCCTGGCAGAAACTGGCGCATCGCTGCGCAAGCGTGGATGGATGCTCCGGCAGAAGGGGCACTTCAAACAAAACCGTACTTGCCCAAGCCCGTTTGCTTGGGATTCCCACGACTGGCGTGATCCCCAGTTTCAGCCGGATCCTAAGGATCGGGCTTCCCTTTGTTCACCCATCCTTCTTTTCAGGAACCACTCTTATTCGAAAAGAAGGCTCCGTCAATGCTTTCGGGGTGAATAATCCCCAGAGAGCAAAGCGCGTACTTCAGGAAACCCGAGGAAAATCCAGGCCTGGCAGGAACACGTTCGTGCCAACGACCAGGGAGACCCGTGGGTCCTGTAAATGCCGGGGGCATAATGGTTTCCCACACAAGGAAACCAGCCAGGTTGGAGGTTTTTCGAGTTTCGCGAAATCGAATACAATGTCACCTCAGTAAACACGTCCAGTTCTACTTTGGAGGGCTCTCTTCTATTCACAGAAAACAACGGGACCTGTGTTGATTAACCTCTGTTAAGTAACCCCCCCGCTGCATGTGGTTTGCCCCTGTGCAAGTACTTACCGTTCTTTGCGCCCAATATATTTGCACAGGCGATCCTTGATCATGGCCAAGGTGAGCACCAACAAGATTGGCATTAGCGAGGCTGCAGCGTGGGCAAACACGAGGCTTTCCCCGGCGAACGCCAGCAAACATTCCATTGACCTGACAGGCTCCCACGCGCTGCTGCATGGAAAGCCTTGAACAAAAGGCTACCGCTGCAAGCCACTAACTTCTTGTCAACAATAGAATGAGATCATGACAAAAGCGCATTCTACAAAGCGTACAAATGTATGCAAATTCGCGCACATGCTTTGCCGAGCTTCATGGTAGCACCACTCTGACCCTGCAAAAAGTCTGAGAAGATCTCTATGGACTTCAGCAGATTTGTAGTCCAATCACGCAGACTTGCAACGGCGCTGGTCTGCATCACGCCCGTCCTGGGCTGGGCATGAGAGACAAAGCATTCCACATACCTTTGATTCTCGCTACCAAACAAAGAGTGCAAAAAGCATTCTCCCATCCCACAACCCGGCACGCTCAACACAACCGCTTCTTGGGGATGCCGGGCCCGTCTACAAAACAGCAAGAGCAGAATCAAGCAGCTGACAGCCAGCTCAAAACTTTCCCCTTATCGACGCCCGTGCGAGAGAAACTGAAGAGAAGCAAAAAGCGTGCTTCGATGGTCGCTCCAGGAAAGCAAAATCACCATCCAGCCACCAGCATCCAAGGGCAGCCCGCGGCGCCCAGCGGTCTGAGTTAACGACAAAAGAACTGAAGTCGAGCACAATGGGGCCCTAAGTATCATTGGTGAGGTTGTGAGCCCACAGAAGGTGACGTCGCCATAACTTGCGCAGACCTGCTAACAAGACAGCAGCAGGACGTGTTTCGTGTGCTTCAGCGTGAGCTGCCAATAAACAGCATGTTCCTCATACCCGCCAAAAACTAACCGCAGTTGCTTTTCGACATAAATACTTTAACTCTTCACACCAAGTGCTGCGGTTGACGCAGACCGCAAACCTGTGCAAAACAAGGTGTTTGGTTGCTCAATATTTCATTTCTCCAGGCAACTCAAGTGTTGTAGCGGTGAGCCTAGTCCCTTGGCTTCCTTCCGGGAACGGTGAAGATGCAGAGAGCAAACTGCATACCCGTCAAAGAAAAACCGCTCCGCCCAGGCTCAGCGCTGCGCTGCTCACCGTGGCAAAGGCCAACAACTGGTTCAGGTAAACCGCGCTATTCTTCTTCTCCGCCTGGGCCCCAAATTAATTAACTACCAAAGACCTAAAATCTTGCGGGCAAGACTAAGCGGCTAAATGCGGCCCTGAAGGGTCAGGGGGGTGTGATCGGGTCTTCGGCCAGACAAGCTAACAAAAAGAAAAATCGAGGCAATCAGCGCTCCGAGCCGATCAGTCTAAGGTATCGCGCCTGTCACGCCCCAAAGCTTCAAAAGTGCTGCGCGTGCCACGCAGACAGCCCAAGCCGACCGCTCAGAACCAACCAGCGCAATCGAGCTTTAGTGGGCGTGGGTTGGGTAGCGGAGAGTAGGTCTGCCCGCAGCGAGCGTAAGTTCAGTGAGTGACTAATGTGTCGTCCCCTTGGCGCTCACATCTGTTTTCAAAGCAAATCTCCGTTGCAGCCCAGCTCGTCCAGTAGCAAGCCACCAAGGCGCCAGGCTGAGCTTGGCTCAACAAAATCAACTAGCCCAAGTCAGTCCAGCCCAAGCCCAGTGCAGCGACGCCGTGCAGAGTCAAGCGCATCAGCCATCAGCAGAGCGCAGACAGGATTGTTCAATGTGTTGCGTCACAGACCTGTGGTGGGTGGTAGAAACAGTGCAGGGTCTTGACATCCACTGGTCCAACCGCTCCAAAACCCTTGCACGCAGCGCCACTAATGCTGCATGCTGGGATGGGTCGAGGCGGGCAACGCGAAGCGATTAATATGCGTGTGTAGGTCGAGTGAGTGAGAAAGTATGTGCACGTCAATGAGTGTAAGTTGAGCGAAGTACGTGCAAGGTAAGTGACAGTGAAAAGGAGGCGGAGAGGAGGTGAAAAAGAGGAGCGAGTGAGCAGGGCGGATGACAAAATTAACATTAAGAACCCCAGGCAAAACTTACACGAAGGTGTCTGCGACGAGGGCCAAACAACGCAACCTTTCCGGGCCGACCAACGGGGTCCCGCGCCTTGGCACCCAGCACGCCATGTGCTGCGACGGCGAAAAGCGCCACGTCTTTCAGAGCGTACTGCGCTGCATGACGAACCAGCTGCTGGGTGGACTCGCTGCACTTCACCTGAGTAGCAAACTGGGCCTTGAAGCCATGTCAAGAACCAAACAGGCGCCTGCACCTTGTGTGGTTGGGGCTGTCTCCCAGCCTGGCCGTTCGATTGGGCGAACAAGGGAACAGTGGGTGTCAGTCATCCTACGCAAGTTCCTTACCTTTGATCCTGCAGTCATGGGAAAACCGCTGGAAAAATCATGTTTGAGTGTAAGGAAAACCAGGGCAAAACCACCCATGTCGGGGGACCGTTGCAACTTGCCGAGGCACGCACACCAGCACGCTGCCATCTGACCTTCCGTAGCCTGAGCTGCAGCTTGAGCACCTTGCGCGGCAGGCGAGTGAAGCACAAAGCTGACACCAGCGTCCGGGCAGCCCAAACAAGCAAACCCTTTTTGCGGCTGACCACCGTTCAGTGGGAAATCCTCCGACATCCCTGGCACAAGAAACCACTTCATTGTTTCCTGATGAATGGCACCAACTCGGAACGGAAACCATTTCCTACCCTTTGATCCTGGCTTGCACGGGTTGGAATCCTCCTGGCCAAGCGGCGCAGGGCCTTCATAGCCCTTCTGGCAATACAACGAATAGGACGGGGGATCCAGAGGTACCGGGGCTGTGATGACGTGTTCAGGACACGCCGCAGGGTTGGGGCAGTGCAGCACTTGGGAGAAGTCCGTGGTGTTCACCTGAAGTCAAATGACCCAAATGGTTGGTTTTCCCCTTGGTTTCCCTTTTGACAACCCCACCACCCCCCCCAAGAAAAAAAAAGCAGGTCCCCATGAAGTCATGACCAAGCAAGGTTCCGTGCAGGTCCCTTCAGACACCTCCCCACCTAATAAACATCACCCACGATTGGCGTGACCCCCTCAACATATAGTAGGCGTATGATAAGGTGAATGGGAACCCCACAGTCGATTCGGGTACAACTTTAGGGGCAATTGACGCTTGAAGTTCCACCCTGTTTATACATTTGTTTTGGCCTTAGTAAGTCCATGAAATCAATCTGAACCAACTGAAATGGCCAACAGGGAGTTTGGGCGCTAACGTCCGCAGCCCCAGCTGGGTACTCGAAATCTGATATTTGACAGGTCTACTCATGGTTGTTTCTGTGATACCAAGCAAATCCCATTTTAAAGTCAGAAAGAAGTCATTGTCACAGAAAGGTGTTCTTTCCCCAAGGATGGATCCAGCTCAAGCGCCCAAAAAGGAATTGAACGGGCTACACACACATTTTTGTACCAACCCGACTTCGAATTGGATGGACATGATGGAACCAAGTAGAATGTGTCTGTGTGTGTGTGTGTGTGTGTGCATGTGCGCGCAGGTGCCCCTTTCAACCACGCATTCCGTATGGCTTTTCTCTGCTCGCAGCCCTCCCATGCAGAAGCCTGACCCTGAAACAACTTGTTTGGACCCGAAACAAATCAGGAGCCGCCCGGCAAAAACCTGGACTCGCGGAAGCTGCTAGGCTCGTCTCGCTTAGTCTTAGGCCCGGGCAGTGATACCCTGCTGTAGCTTCACATGTGAGGGTCGGCACTCCTCCGCGAGCTCGGGGCATGGAATGCATGCTGCGTCTGGCTTCGGTTGCAGAAGCATAGTGCCTGGGCGACACCTAGTGCAGCCGACCGAGGAGCTCTTCTTGTCCCTTCCTTAGTTCAACGCTAAGTTAACACAAATAAAACACTTGTTGGAGTCCAACCCACCTCGGCAAACCCGGTAAATGGGAGGACCCTCAAACTGGTTGAATTCCTTTTGGCTTCCCATTTTCAACCAACCAACAGGGGGGTTCTCCACAAAAAGACACACCGAGTTGGCCGAGTCGTCAACTCTACCTTCGCCCAGTTGCCGGCGCCCAATGGGCATCTGGCGACGCTCGCCACCTGTGGCACGTCTTCTTGCGAGCTCACCTCACACTCGGGGGTGTCGTCGCAGGTCATGGTGCCCAAGCGCAGGGAACCACCCACGGAGAAGTAGTTTCCGCTCTGTTCGGTTTCGCCGCCCAAGAGGCTGAGGTTGCCAATGTGAACCTCAGCCCACATGTCAAACAAGAAGGCCGCCCTTTTGTTAGTTGATGTTGGATGAGATCCCTTCAACACATTGTAAAACTGGTTGCAATTGGGCAACATCCCCGGTGCTGGCCACAGCGTTGCCCGCACTTGCGGCACAGCCGGCGAGAACGGCCTCGTCCAATTTGAGGCTCTGCTTCACTCTGATGCAACCCCCCATAGCAGCAGCAGAACAGTTGCTCATGTTCACAGCGTCTCCGATGAGGTCGGACATGCAAAGGCCACCTTGGCCCACAGCGATTTCCGGCCCAAGCTGTCAGCTGCCATTCGCTCAAACACGAAGACTCAAGCCCTGGCAATGACTTTGCGGCGCCCCGCCTCCAGTGTCACCTGCTGAGCAATTGAAGATATCCACACGACTCTGTGCCATGGTCATAGTGCCGTCGACGTAGGCTGCGCCTCTGCCCGAGACTCCACAATCTACAGTCTCACTAGAGATAACGTGCAAGTGAAAAGAACGTTCTACGATCTGCTGGAATTTCTTCATGACACGGACAGAGGCGTGCCCGCTCAACCTGGGAAACTGGCTCCGATTGGAAAGCTAAGCGCGCAAGATTGCAGGCGCGGAGCATCAAAGCAGTGCGACACAGGTCAAGCCCAGGGAAACTGTACGCTTCTAGAATGACAAAACTTGACCTTTGCTGAAAGCACGGAGTTTGATGCTGAGACAGGCACACCACTGAGGTATCAGCAACAGCGACCGAATTGGTTTGCTGGACATACTAAGGTTGCACGAGGAAACGTGGCTGGAAGTCAAGGTAGTACAGCAACAAAGGGAAGTCAATCGTTCTACGAACAGAGTTGTGCCGGCAGATTTGCGCCTGGCACGAGTTTCAATGCTTCCTGCAAAGAGCTGTAAGGATCAAATGATACCTGCTTAACCTGCAAATAAAGCTCCAGAACCTAAAATATGATGGGATCCCTAGATTCGCCCTAAAAGAGGCAGTAGGCTCTGACGCTGATTCCATGCATGCTATCTCGCCTTCATGTCCGATCGAACTCTGGGCAATTCAACGGGCCAAGCTAAAGCTCGCGGAGAAAGCAATGAATTTCAATTGCTCCTCACGAGCGCCACTGGCACACAAGATGTGTCACGGTATCCAGTTGGTGTTCGTTGAAGCCAACCCAAACAAACTACTAACTCAAACACATCCACATCCGAATGAACCAGGAGCGCATCTAAGGACCTAAGGAAGAAAGGTAATTATGCCCTAACGGCATTGCTTGTGCCGGCCACCGAACATGAAGGTCTAACAGCCGGCGCCTTTGATCAGGGCTGCGCCGCTAGGTGAGAACTGTGTCAAATGGCTGCGCCTAGACTACCAATTATTTTGTCAGTAGCTCGTGCCCATGCACAGTACAACTCGCAAAACGAAAACGCTTGCCTCCACTCCTGCCGGCGGTGCTGCTACTCACCAGCACGTCGCCTCACACTCAGCACCCCCCAAGAATCCGACTCATCTGAGGTGAACACCAAATCCACTCCCTGCGAAACCGCGAAGTCGATAAGCACCCGCTCAAATCAGTCTCAGGGTGCTTGTCAAACGCTAAAAAATAGAACGCAGCACCGGAATCCGCACACGCATAATTTGAGGTGTAAAACACAAATGACCCCATTCTGGGTATCGCTGTTTTTGTTTGCTCTTTATGGTTTGACGTCGCCGTGCTTTGGACAGGCCTACCATCCCAACTCCGCGGCTGGCGAGCTGCAAGGCCCAACATGAGTCGCGCAGCAAGCAAACACGACGTGCGCGCCGAGCGCCAGAATCAACAAGCTTGAAAGAGTGCGGCTCTAGTCCATTCAAAACTGACATGGATCTACGGGTGGCTAGCATGTTGCCCGTGTTGCAATGCAAAGTTGCAGCGCGTTCGACTGGCACTTTGCTTGATTCAAAGGGTTGGCTCTCCAATTCGCTCACACATATTCCATGAACTTCTGATGAGATGCTCGCGCCCCCCCCCACAAACAAAAAACAAATAAACGTAAAATGGATATGTTGGTTTGGTTTCCCTGTCCATGTTTGCATGTAGGGCGGCAAACAAGCACAGCCACTTCAACTTTCAGCAGATACTGTAGGTGCTTCTATCAAACGCGGGGCCCAAAAGCGTTGGTATCTGAATGTCTTCAAAGATGGTCACCAAGTTCATAAATTGGGGACCCACCAACCATGTGAGGGCCCTAAACATTCGTAGCCGTGCTGAGACGGACCCAACTTATCTTCAAGGACCACGCTCACTGCAGCCGGGACACTGTTCAGCGCGGTCATGTTTGAGGCATGCAAAGCACCTGCGAGGGTGAACATCTCAGTGGCTCCATATGCGGCTGGACATAACACCTGCTGAAGCTGCAGTTGGGCGTAGGACCGCAGTCTGTTCTTTGAATGAGTTCCACTGAAAACTCGTTGTCTCCGCTTGTTCCCACGAAGCGGCAAGTTCCATGCTGGGGTGCTTCATTCAGCTGTGTAAATCTGTCGGATGTCGCTACAAGGGTCGATCCTGATCAAAAGCACCAAACAGTCAGCCATGTAAAGTGCTGTCCAGGACGTTTGATATTGCGTGTCTTGCTTGTGCGCGGTTGGCCGTCAAACCTTAATAATTGAGCGGATGCCGTTCCAATGTCGTTCTGATGCTCGGACTATTCAGCCATCACCCTGGGCCGGAGTCTTTTTCTTGCCGGCCAGCCGCATGCATGGCTACCTCGTCGAAGAATGACAGTTTGTTGCAGGCCGGGCTTCCTTTTCCTGCGTGTGCTGAAGCATGGGTCGGGCCAATTCATACCCAATTCATGTCCGGTTTCGGACAAAATCATCTGCTTGGGAATGCATGTCCAACAATCATTCGGAGGGTGGTTGCGGTGAAAAGTGCTCAAAGCAATTGCGAGCAAGGGTCAACATATCATGAACATCTCGCACAATTTGCGCGCACTTTTTGTGCTCCAGGTTTTAGTGGTCAGGGGTACCGTGCAAGGTGTATTTTCATTAGACGGCTGTGGTGAAACCCCAAAATTCGGAGCCTCCGTGCACTTCCGGCTCAACCTCCCAACCTCCGCCCAGCTCTGCTCTTGGCCTCCAGAGCCTGTCGCCGTGCAGCTGGTGGCTGTCAGGGAGCCTTGCGGAGCAGGCCGCGACTCAAATTTGGCTGCCAGTCTTTCCGCCCCGAAGCACCTGGCACTATGCGCAACAAGCTGATGCCCGAGTTTTACAACACACACAGAGACACGCGTGCCCCAAAATGGAAACACCTTCCAAACTGCAGCGTGCAACTCCTTGCAGCCAAGCGACTCTTGTTCAGCGTTAAATTCGTGATGGAGGAAATGGCACCTACGGAGGCCGCCCGTGCCCGCAATGCCGTTGATACCCTGGAAACCCTGACAAAGTGAGACTCAAGCGCCCACAGTTTGAACTCGGCACCACAAGGATTCGCAGCCCAGTCTGCTGTCTGGCCTCCAGCATATGCGGAGCAACTGGTGGCTGTCAACGAGCCTGGGAGGCACCAGGAAACTGTCGACTGGAAACTTCCTGGTCCCCCACTCTTTCCGCGCATGAAAAACCAACAAACGCACGCAACAACAAAAACTCAGAATATTAATTAATATTCCCAGTAGAGCCCCCCTTCCCCTGGAGCCCACAACGTTTTGCCTCGCACGTCCAAATGCAGACTCCCTGGAGCAAAGCAACCATTGGCTCCTTGCAGTGGGGCCCCCGGCTTGTATCCAGCACCACCTGCTTCGAGCTGCGAATGACACCTGCTGAAACCACAGCAGGGCGGCGCAAGGCAGTCTGCCTTTATAAATTTACTAGACGGCTCGTCCCCGCCTGTTTGGGACTTCCAGGATTAGCCCCTTTTCACATGCGCCCCTGACTGGGGTTGTGAGCCCAAGGGTTGCATTGGTGCAATGGAGGTGAGGCCTGGTGAAGTGGAGAACATGGAGCCGGGGGACGGCGTTGCCGTAAACCCATAAAGCCACCGGGCTGTGGAGGAGGGAGCTGGTGTGAGAGGCGGGGATTTGGCCCCGTTGAACTTGGACTGGATCCGGAACGGCAAGCAGATGAACTCATCGGGGATCTGGAGATGGAACGGAAATTGAAGAAGACGTGCTGCAAGATCCGAGGGCTTACAGCAGAAGAGCCATTTGTCCGGGCTCTCGAACAGTGAGGGCAAGACGCAGGCGGCAATCGAGCAGGTGCTTGCGACTTCCCGCACCGCTGCTGCCACAACCACCAAGGAGGGAGCGATTGTGCGATGCGTGAGCATCACAAGAAAAAGGTCTAGGTCAGATTCTGGTCGGAGTCAATAACACCTGCCGCGAGCTGCGTATTCGACCCGCTGGCTTGAAGCCCTCCCTTTCAACTCTGGATGCCACCGTGAGAGCCACCAGAAGTTTGCGCTCAGGACTTGCACCTCAGGCTGCCTACTGAACTTGGTGCGGGCCAGGCTTCCTTTTCGTGTGGGTCATGCCAATTCATGTCCCTTTCATGGAGTTTGTAAAGGCTCAAAAGGATAATGATATATGGGCAATATCATCTACTTGGGCGTGTGTGTCCAACCATTTAGAGAGTGGCTCCCATCCTGAAAAATGCCTAATGCTACTGAAATCTGAGACGCTAATTGAGCCGCGGTCAAAATCACTTAACATATGTGCATGACCATTTAAGCAGCAACTTCAGCCTTCAGGAGTATTTTAGTGAGTCCCCCCGTCATGTGTCATGCAAATTGCAATCAAGGTCAGTCATGACAGCTTTGGCCCCGTCTCGTGCACCGCCTGGCCGTCTCTAGTGAAACGCCCAAATCCGGCGCCTCCTCCCAACTTGCGGTTCAACCTCCCAGCCCCCAGCGCTGCCCGTGGCCTCCGTTGACTTCCGCCGAACAGTTGGCGGCTGTCAGGGAGCCTTGCAACGCGCCGCGCGGCATCTCTCGATTCACAAATCTGGACACCACACGCCCTAAATAGAAACACCTTCCAAGCTGCAGCGGGGAGCTGCTTGCAGCCAAGCGACTCTTGTTCAGCACCAGATCGTCGTCGGAATAAATAACACCTGCCGGGAGCTGTTCATTTGACTTGCTGGCTTCAAGGCCCTGTCCGCAATGTAGGCAAAAACTGAAACCCTGCATACCGTGGATGGATACCTGGCGACAAAGTGACCTTGAGACACGAGTGCCCAAAGCTTGAACTCGGAACCACAAGGATTCGCAGCCCAGTCTGCTGTCTGGCCTCCCTCTCTTGCGGAGCAACTGGTGGCTGACAACGAGCCTTGAACGCACCAGGAAACTGTCGACTGGAAACTTCCTGGTCCCCACCCTTTCCGCGCATGAAAAACCAACAAACGCACGCAACAACAAAAACTCAGAATATTAATTAATATTCCCAGTAGAGCCCCCCTTCCCCTGGAGCCCACAACGTTTTGCCTCGCACGTCCAAATGCAGACTCTCTGAACCAAAGCAACCTTTGGCTCAGTGCAGCCGGGCCCCCGACTAGTATCCAGCACCACCTGCTTCAAGCTGCGAATGACACCTGCTGAAACCACAGCAGGGCGGCGCAAGGCAGTCTGCCTTTACAAATCTACTAGACGGCTCGTCTCCGCCTGTTTGGGACTTCCAGGATTAGCCCCTTTTCACATGCGCCCCTGACTGGGGTTGTGAGCCCAAGGGTTGCATTGGTGCAATGGAGGTGAGGCCTGGTGAAGTGGAGAACATGGAGCCGGGGGACGGCGTTGCCGTAAACCCATAAAGCCACCGGGCTGTGGAGGAGGGAGCTGGTGTGAGAGGCGGGGATTTGGCCCCGTTGAACTTGGACTGGATCCGGAACGGCAAGCAGATGAACTCATCGGGGATCTGGAGATGGAACGGAAATTGAAGAAGACGTGCTGCAAGATCCGAGGGCTTACAGCAGAAGAGCCATTTGTCCGGGCTCTCGAACAGTGAGGGCAAGACGCAGGCGGCAATCGAGCAGGTGCTTGCGACTTCCCGCACCGCTGCTGCCACAACCACCAAGGAGGGAGCGATTGTGCGATGCGTGAGCATCACAAGAAAAAGGTCTAGGTCAGATTCTGGTCGGAGTCAATAACACCTGCCGCGAGCTGCGTATTCGACCCGCTGGCTTGAAGCCCTCCTCGCCCCGCGATTTTCTTGCGCTCAGGACTTGCACCTCAGGCTACCTACTGAACTTGGTGCAGGGCATTTTTTGTGGTTGGCGCATGCAAACCTGGGTCGTGCAAATTCATTCCTGCTCAGAGAGCCTCCAACTGCTCAAAGGGATATATGGGCAACATCATCTACTTGGGCATGTATGTCCAACCATTTAGAGGGGGTTCTCATCGTGGAAAATGCTTTATGTCACTGAAATGCTAAATTGAGCCGCGGTCCAAAACACTTAAAACATGTGCATGACATTGCATGACCAATTAAGCAACTTCAGCCTTTGGGGTAGTTTCGTGAGGTCCCCCGTCATGTTTCACGCAAATTGCAATCAAGGTCATGACGACTTTGACCCCGTCTCGTGCAGCACCGGGCCGTCTCTGGTGAAACGCCCAAATCCGGCGCCTCCTCCCAACTTGCGGCTCAACCTCCCAGCCCCCGGCTCTGCCCTTGGCCTCCATCGCCTTTCGCCGAACAGTTGGCGGCTGTCAGGGTGCCTTGCAAAGCGCGCGGCATCTCTCGATTCACAAATCTGGACACCACACGCCCTAAATAGAAACACCTTCCAAGCTGCAGCGGGGAGCTGCTTGCAGCCAAGCGGCTCTTGTTCAGCACCAGATTGTCGTCGGAATAAATAACACCTGCCGGGAGCTGTTCATTTGACTTGCTGGCTTCAAGGCCCTGTCCGCAATGTAGGCAAAAACTGAAACCCTGCATACCGTGGATGGATACCTGGCGACAAAGTGACCTTGAGACACGAGTGCCCAAAGCTTGAACTCGGAACCACAAGGATTCGCAGCCCAGTCTGCTGTCTGGCCTCCCTCTCTTGCGGAGCAACTGGTGGCTGACAACGAGCCTTGAGCGCACCAGGAAACTGTCGACTGGAAACTTCCTGGTCCCCACCCTTTCCGCGCATGAAAAACCAACAAACGCACGCAACAACAAAAACTCAGAATATTAATTAATATTCCCAGTAGAGCCCCCCTTCCCCTGGAGCCCACAACGTTTTGCCTCGCACGTCCAAATGCAGACTCTCTGAACCAAAGCAACCTTTGGCTCAGTGCAGCCGGGCCCCCGACTAGTATCCAGCACCACCTGCTTCAAGCTGGATACGACGCCTGCCGAAACCACTACGCAGTCTGCCTTTGACAAAATGAATGAAAACATCCAAGGGTTGCATGGGTGCCATGGAGGGAAAGGCCTGGTGAAGGTGGAGAACATGGGGCTGGGGGATCTGAGAGGCAGGGATTGGGCCCCGTTGAACTTGGACTGGATCCGGAACGCCGAGCTCCAGGTGTGGATCCCTGAAATCGGCAAGCAGACGATGAACTCATCCTGCAAGATCCGAGGGCTTAGAGCAGAAGAGCCATCTGCGCGGGCCCTCGAACAGCGAGGGCAAGAAGCAGGTGGCAATCGAGCAGGTGCTTGCGACTCCCCGCACCGTTGTCACAACCACCAAGGAGGGAGCGATTGTGCGATGCGGGAGCATCACAAGAAAAAGGTCTAGGTCAGATTCTGGTCGGAGTCAATAACCCCTGCCGCGGGCTGCGTATTCGACCCGCTGGCTTGAAGCCCTCCTCGCCCCGCGATGTTCTTGCGCTCAGGACTTGCACCTCAAGCTACCCGCTGAACTTGGTGCAGGGCATTTTTTGTGGTTGGCGCATGCAAACCTGGGTCGTGCAAATTCATTCCTGCTCAGAGAGCCTCCAACTGCTCAAAGGGATATATGGGCAACATCATCTACTTGGGCATGTATGTCCAACCATTTAGAGGGGGTTCTCATCGTGGAAAATGCGTTATATTACTGAAATGCTAAATTGAGCCGCGGTCAAAAGCACTTAAAACATGTGCATGACATTGCATGACCAGTTAAGCAACTTCAGCCTTTGGGGTAGTTTCGTGAGGTCCCCCGTCATGTTTCATGCAAACTGCAATCAAGGTCATGACAACTTTGACCCCGTCTCGTGCAGCACCGGGCCGTCTCTAGTGAAACGCCCAAATCCGGCGCCTCCTCCCAACTTGCGGTTCAACCTCCCAGCCCCCAGCGCTGCCCGTGGCCTCCGTTGACTTCCGCCGAACAGTTGGCGGCTGTCAGGGAGCCTTGCAACGCGCCGCGCGGCATCTCTCGATACACCTTCCAAGCTGCAGCGGGGAGCTGCTTGCAGCCAAGCGACTCTTGTTCAGCACCAGATTGTCGCTGGCTTTAATGTCACACGATATTCATGAGTATTCCCAGAAACCCTCTTCCCCTGGAGCCCACAACGATGTGCCTCGCACGTCCAAATGCAGACACCTTGAACCAAAGCAACTTTTGGGTCCTTGCAGCCGAGCCCCCGGCTCGTATTCAGCACCAGCGGCTGCCAGCTGCGAATGACACCTGCTGAAACCACAGCGGGACGGTGGAACGCAGTCTGCCTTCTATAAATTAATGAAACAGACTGCTCATCTCCGCCTGTTCTGGACTTCCAGGTTTAGCCCCTTTTCACAGATCCCAGTGGTTGCGTAGGTGCAATGGAGGGTCAGGCCTGGTGAAGGTGAACGTAAACCTATGGAGCAACCGGGCTGTGGAGAAGGGAGCTGATCTGAAAGGCGGGGATTGGGCCCCGTTGAACTTGGACTGGATCCGGAACACCGAGCTCAAGGTGTGGATCCCTGAAATCGGCAAGCAGACGATGAACTCATCCTGCAAGATCCGAGGGCTTAGAGCAGAAGAGCCATCTGCGCGGGCCCTCGAACAGCGAGGGCAAGAAGCAGGTGGCAATCGAGCAGGTGCTTGCGACTCCCCGCACAGTTGCCACAACCACCAAGGAGGGAGCGATTGTGCGATGCGGGAGCATCACAAGAAAAAGGTCTAGGTCAGATTCTGGTCGGAGTCAATAACCCCTGCCGCGGGCTGCGTATTCGACCCGCTGGCTTGAAGCCCTCCTCGCCCCGCGATTTTCTTGCGCTCAGGACTTGCACCTCAGGCTACCTACTGAACTTGGTGCAGGGCTGTATTTTTTGTGGTTGGCGCATGCAAACCTGGGTCGTGCAAATTCATTCCTGCTCAGAGAGCCTCCAACTGCTCAAAGGGATATATGGGCAACATCATCTACTTGGGCATGTATGTCCAACCATTTAGAGGGGGTTCTCATTGTGGAAAATGCTTTATGTCACTGAAATGCTAAATTGAGCCGCGGTCCAAAACACTTAAAACATGTGCATGACATTGCATGACCAATTAAGCAACTTCAGCCTTTGGGGTAGTTTCGTGAGGTCCCCCGTCATGTTTCACGCAAATTGCAATCAAGGTCATGACGACTTTGACCCCGTCTCGTGCAGCACCGGGCCGTCTCTGGTGAAACGCCCAAATCCGGCGCCTCCTCCCAACTTGCGGCTCAACCTCCCAGCCCCCGGCTCTGCCCTTGGCCTCCATCGCCTTTCGCCGAACAGTTGGCGGCTGTCAGGGTGCCTTGCAAAGCGCGCGGCATCTCTCGATTCACAAATCTGGACACCACACGCCCTAAATAGAAACACCTTCCAAGCTGCAGCGGGGAGCTGCTTGCAGCCAAGCGACTCTTGTTCAGCACCAGATTCTCGCTGGAATAAATGACACCTGCCGGGAGCTGTTCATTTGACCTGCTGGCTTCAAGGCCCTGTCCGCAATGCAGGCAAAAACTGAAACCCTGGACACTGTGCATGGATACCTGGCAACAAAGTGACCTTGAGACACGAGTGCCCAAAGCTTGAACTCGGAACCACAAGGATTCGCAGCCCAGTCTGCTGTCTGGCCTCCCTCTCTTGCGGAGCAACTGGTGGCTGACAACGAGCCTTGAGCGCACCAGGAAACTGTCGACTGGAAACTTCCTGGTCCCCACCCTTTCCGCGCATGAAAAACCAACAAACGCACGCAACAACAAAAACTCAGAATATTAATTAATATTCCCAGTAGAGCCCCCCTTCCCCTGGAGCCCACAACGATGTGCCTCGCACGTCCAAATGCAGACTCTCTGAACCAAAGCAACCTTTGGCTCAGTGCAGCCGGGCCCCCGACTAGTATCCAGCACCACCTGCTTCAAGCTGCGAATGACACCTGCTGAAACCACAGCAGGGCGGCGCAAGGCAGTCTGCCTTTATAAATTTACTAGACGGCTCGTCTCCGCCTGTTTGGGACTTCCAGGATTAGCCCCTTTTCACATGCGCCCCTGACTGGGGTTGTGAGCCCAAGGGTTGCATTGGTGCAATGGAGGTGAGGCCTGGTGAAGTGGAGAACATGGAGCCGGGGGACGGCGTTGCCGTAAACCCATAAAGCCACCGGGCTGTGGAGGAGGGAGCTGGTGTGAGAGGCGGGGATTTGGCCCCGTTGAACTTGGACTGGATCCGGAACGGCAAGCAGATGAACTCATCGGGGATCTGGAGATGGAACGGAAATTGAAGAAGACGTGCTGCAAGATCCGAGGGCTTACAGCAGAAGAGCCATTTGTCCGGGCTCTCGAACAGTGAGGGCAAGACGCAGGCGGCAATCGAGCAGGTGCTTGCGACTTCCCGCACCGCTGCTGCCACAACCACCAAGGAGGGAGCGATTGTGCGATGCGTGAGCATCACAAGAAAAAGGTCTAGGTCAGATTCTGGTCGGAGTCAATAACACCTGCCGCGAGCTGCGTATTCGACCCGCTGGCTTGAAGCCCTCCCTTTCAACTCTGGATGCCACCGTGAGAGCCACCAGAAGTTTGCGCTCAGGACTTGCACCTCAGGCTGCCTACTGAACTTGGTGCGGGCCAGGCTTCCTTTTCGTGTGGGTCATGCCAATTCATGTCCCTTTCATGGAGTTTGTAAAGGCTCAAAAGGACAATGATATATGGGCAATATCATCTACTTGGGCGTGTGTGTCCAACCATTTAGAGCGTGGCTCCCATCCTGAAAAATGCCTAATGTTACTGAAATCTGAGACGCTAATTGAGCCGCGGTCAAAATCACTTAACATATGTGCATGACCATTTAAGCAGCAACTTCAGCCTTCAGGAGTATTTTAGTGAGTCCCCCCGTCATGTGTCATGCAAATTGCAATCAAGGTCAGTCATGACAGCTTTGGCCCCGTCTCGTGCACCGCCTGGCCGTCTCTAGTGAAACGCCCAAATCCGGCGCCTCCTCCCAACTTGCGGTTCAACCTCCCAGCCCCCAGCGCTGCCCGTGGCCTCCGTTGACTTCCGCCGAACAGTTGGCGGCTGTCAGGGAGCCTTGCAACGCGCCGCGCAGCATCTCTCGATTCACAAATCTGGACACCACACGCCCTAAATAGAAACACCTTCCAAGCTGCAGCGGGGAGCTGCTTGCAGCCAAGCGACTCTTGTTCAGCACCAGATTGTCGCTGGCTTTAATGACACACGATATTCATGAGTATTCCCAGTAGAGCCCCCCTTCCCCTGGAGCCCACAACGATGTGCCTCGCACGTCCAAATGCAGACTCTCTGAACCAAAGCAACCTTTGGCTCAGTGCAGCCGGGCCCCCGACTAGTATCCAGCACCACCTGCTTCAAGCTGCGAATGACACCTGCTGAAACCACAGCAGGGCGGCGCAAGGCAGTCTGCCTTTACAAATTTACTAGACGGCTCGTCTCCGCCTGTTTGGGACTTCCAGGATTAGCCCCTTTTCACATGCGCCCCTGACTGGGGTTGTGAGCCCAAGGGTTGCATTGGTGCAATGGAGGTGAGGCCTGGTGAAGTGGAGAACATGGAGCCGGGGGACGGCGTTGCCGTAAACCCATAAAGCCACCGGGCTGTGGAGGAGGGAGCTGGTGTGAGAGGCGGGGACAACCACCAAGGAGGGAGCGATTGTGCGATGCGGGAGCATCACAAGAAAAAGGTCTAGGTCAGATTCTGGTCGGAGTCAATAACCCCTGCCGCGAGCTGCGTATTCGACCCGCTGGCTTGAAGCCCTCCTCGCCCCGCGATTTTCTTGCGCTCAGGACTTGCACCTCAGGCTACCTACTGAACTTGGTGCAGGGCATTTTTTGTGGTTGGCGCATGCAAACCTGGGTCGTGCAAATTCATTCCTGCTCAGAGAGCCTCCAACTGCTCAAAGGGATATATGGGCAACATCATCTACTTGGGCATGTATGTCCAACCATTTAGAGGGGGTTCTCATCGTGGAAAATGCTTTATGTCACTGAAATGCTAAATTGAGCCGCGGTCCAAAACACTTAAAACATGTGCATGACATTGCATGACCAATTAAGCAACTTCAGCCTTTGGGGTAGTTTCGTGAGGTCCCCCGTCATGTTTCACGCAAATTGCAATCAAGGTCATGACGACTTTGACCCCGTCTCGTGCAGCACCGGGCCGTCTCTGGTGAAACGCCCAAATCCGGCGCCTCCTCCCAACTTGCGGCTCAACCTCCCAGCCCCCGGCTCTGCCCTTGGCCTCCATCGCCTTTCGCCGAACAGTTGGCGGCTGTCAGGGTGCCTTGCAAAGCGCGCGGCATCTCTCGATTCACAAATCTGGACACCACACGCCCTAAATAGAAACACCTTCCAAGCTGCAGCGGGGAGCTGCTTGCAGCCAAGCGACTCTTGTTCAGCACCAGATTCTTGCTGGAATAAATGACACCTGCCGGGAGCTGTTCATTTGACCTGCTGGCTTCAAGGCCCTGTCCGCAATGCAGGCAAAAACTGAAACCCTGGACACTGTGCATGGATACCTGGCAACAAAGTGACCTTGAGACACGAGTGCCCAAAGCTTGAACTCGGAACCACAAGGATTCGCAGCCCAGTCTGCTGTCTGGCCTCCAGCATATGCGGAGCAACTGGTGGCTGACAACGAGCCTTGAGCGCACCAGGAAACTGTCGACTGGAAACTTCCTGGTCCCCACCCTTTCCGCGCATGAAAAACCAACAAACGCACGCAACAACAAAAACTCAGAATATTAATTAATATTCCCAGTAGAGCCCCCCTTCCCCTGGAGCCCACAACGTTTTGCCTCGCACGTCCAAATGCAGACTCCCTGGAGCAAAGCAACCATTGGCTCCTTGCAGTGGGGCCCCCGGCTTGTATCCAGCACCACCTGGTTTGAGCTGTGAATGACACCTGCTGAAACCACAGCAGGGCGGCGCAAGGCAGTCTGCCTTTATAAATTTACTAGACGGCTCGTCTCCGCCTTTTTGGGACTTCCAGGATTAGCCCCTTTTCACATGCGCCCCTGACTGGGGTTGTGAGCCCAAGGGTTGCATTGGTGCAATGGAGGTGAGGCCTGGTGAAGTGGAGAACATGGAGCCGGGGGACGGCGTTGCCGTAAACCCATAAAGCCACCGGGCTGTGGAGGAGGGAGCTGGTGTGAGAGGCGGGGATTTGGCCCCGTTGAACTTGGACTGGATCCGGAACGGCAAGCAGATGAACTCATCGGGGATCTGGAGATGGAACGGAAATTGAAGAAGACGTGCTGCAAGATCCGAGGGCTTACAGCAGAAGAACCATTTGTCCGGGCTCTCGAACAGTGAGGGCAAGACGCAGGCGGCAATCGAGCAGGTGCTTGCGACTTCCCGCACCGCTGCTGCCACAACCACCAAGGAGGGAGCGATTGTGCGATGCGTGAGCATCACAAGAAAAAGGTCTAGGTCAGATTCTGGTCGGAGTCAATAACACCTGCCGCGAGCTGCGTATTCGACCCGCTGGCTTGAAGCCCTCCCTTTCAACTCTGGATGCCACCGTGAGAGCCACCAGAAGTTTGCGCTCAGGACTTGCACCTCAGGCTGCCTAATGAACTTGGTGCGGGCCAGGCTTCCTTTTCGTGTGGGTCATGCCAATTCATGTCCCTTTCATGGAGTTTGTAAAGGCTCAAAAGGATAATGATATATGGGCAATATCATCTACTTGGGCGTGTGTGTCCAACCATTTAGAGAGTGGCTCCCATCCTGAAAAATGCCTAATGTTACTGAAATCTGAGACGCTAATTGAGCCGCGGTCAAAATCACTTAACATATGTGCATGACCATTTAAGCAGCAACTTCAGCCTTCAGGAGTATTTTAGTGAGTCCCCCCGTCATGTTTCACGCAAATTGCAATCAAGGTCATGACGACTTTGACCCCGTCTCGTGCAGCACCGGGCCGTCTCTGGTGAAACGCCCAAATCCGGCGCCTCCTCCCAACTTGCGGCTCAACCTCCCAGCCCCCGGCTCTGCCCTTGGCCTCCATCGCCTTTCGCCGAACAGTTGGCGGCTGTCAGGGTGCCTTGCAAAGCGCGCGGCATCTCTCGATTCACAAATCTGGACACCACACGCCCTAAATAGAAACACCTTCCAAGCTGCAGCGGGGAGCTGCTTGCAGCCAAGCGACTCTTGTTCAGCACCAGATTCTTGCTGGAATAAATGACACCTGCCGGGAGCTGTTCATTTGACCTGCTGGCTTCAAGGCCCTGTCCGCAATGCAGGCAAAAACTGAAACCCTGGACACTGTGCATGGATACCTGGCAACAAAGTGACCTTGAGACACGAGTGCCCAAAGCTTGAACTCGGAACCACAAGGATTCGCAGCCCAGTCTGCAAAGCACTTAAAACATGTGCATGACATTGCATGACCAATTAAGCAACTTCAGCCTTTGGGGTAGTTTCGTGAGGTCCCCCGTCATGTTTCACGCAAATTGCAATCAAGGTCATGACAACTTTGACCCCGTCTCGTGCAGCACCGGGCCGTCTCTAGTGAAACGCCCAAATCCGGCGCCTCCTCCCAACTTGCGGTTCAACCTCCCAGCCCCCAGCGCTGCCCTTGGCCTCCGTTGACTTCCGCCGAACAGTTGGCGGCTGTCAGGGAGCCTTGCAACGCGCCGCGCGGCATCTCTCGATTCACAAATCTGCACACCACACGCCCTAAATAGAACCGGGCCCCCGACTAGTATCCAGCACCACCTGCTTCAAGCTGCGAATGACACCTGCTGAAACCACAGCGGGACGGTGGAACGCAGTCTGCCTTCTATAAATTAATGAAACAGACTGCTCATCTCCGCCTGTTCTGGACTTCCAGGTTTAGCCCCTTTTCACAGATCCCAGTGGTTGCGTAGGTGCAATGGAGGGTCAGGCCTGGTGAAGGTGAACGTAAACCTATGGAGCAACCGGGCTGTGGAGAAGGGAGCTGATCTGAGAGGCGGGGATTGGGCCCCGTTGAACTTGGACTGGATCCGGAACGCCGAGCTCCAGGTGTGGATCCCTGAAATCGGCAAGCAGACGATGAACTCATCCTGCAAGATCCGAGGGCTTAGAGCAGAAGAGCCATCTGTTCGGGCCCTCGAACAGTGAGGGCAAGAAGCAGGTGGCAATTGAGCAGGTGCTTGCGACTCCCCGCACAGTTGCCACAACCACCAAGGAGGGAGCGATTGTGCGATGCGGGAGCATCACAAGAAAAAGGTCTAGGTCAGATTCTGGTCGGAGTCAATAACCCCTGCCGCGGGCTGCGTATTCGACCCGCTGGCTTGAAGCCCTCCTCGCCCCGCGATTTTCTTGCGCTCAGGACTTGCACCTCAGGCTACCTACTGAACTTGGTGCAGGGCTGTATTTTTTGTGGTTGGCGCATGCAAACCTGGGTCGTGCAAATTCATTCCTGCTCAGAGAGCCTCCAACTGCTCAAAGGGATATATGGGCAACATCATCTACTTGGGCATGTATGTCCAACCATTTAGAGGGGGTTCTCATCGTGGAAAATGCGTTATATTACTGAAATGCTAAATTGAGCCGCGGTCAAAAGCACTTAAAACATGTGCATGACATTGCATGACCAATTAAGCAACTTCAGCCTTTGGGGTAGTTTCGTGAGGTCCCCCGTCATGTTTCATGCAAACTGCAATCAAGGTCATGACAACTTTGACCCCGTCTCGTGCAGCACCGGGCCGTCTCTAGTGAAACGCCCAAATCCGGCGCCTCCTCCCAACTTGCGGTTCAACCTCCCAGCCCCCCGCTCTGCCCGTGGCCTCCAGAGCCTGTCGCCGAACAGTTGGCGGCTGTCAGGGTGCCTTGCAAAGCGCGCGGCATCTCTCGATTCACAAATCTGGACACCACACGCACGTGCCCCAAAATAGAAACACCTTCCAAGCTGCAGCGGAGAGCTGCTTGCAGCCAAGCGACTCTTGTTCAGCACCAGATTGTCGTCGGAATAAATAACACCTGCCGGGAGCTGTTCATTTGACTTGCTGGCTTCAAGGCCCTGTCCGCAATGCAGGCAAAAACTGAAACCCTGCATACCGTGCATGGATATCTGGCAACAAAGTGACCTTGAGACACGAGTGCCCAAAGCTTGAACTCGGAACCACAAGGATTCGCAGCCCAGTCTGCTGTCTGGCCTCCATGTCTTGCGGAGCAACTGGTGGCTGACAACGAGCCTTGAGCGCACCAGGAAACTGTCGACTGGAAACTTCCTGGTCCACTCTTTCCGCGCATGAAAAACCAACACGCGCAACAATAACAACTGCTCATAATATTAATTAATATTCCGAGTAGCCCCCCCCTTCCCCTGGAGCCCACAACGTTTTGCCTCGCACGTCCAAATGCAGACTCTCTGAACCAAAGCAACCTTTGGCTCAGAGCAGCCGGGCCCCCGGCTCGTATCCAGCACCACCTGCTTCAAGCTGCGAATGACACCTGCTGAAACCACAGCGGGACGGTGGAACGCAGTCTGCCTTCTATAAATTAATGAAACAGACTGCTCATCTCCGCCTGTTCTGGACTTCCAGGTTTAGCCCCTTTTCACAGATCCCAGTGGTTGCGTAGGTGCAATGGAGGGTCAGGCCTGGTGAAGGTGAACGTAAACCTATGGAGCAACCGGGCTGTGGAGAAGGGAGCTGATCTGAGAGGCGGGGATTGGGCCCCGTTGAACTTGGACTGGATCCGGAACGCCGAGCTCCAGGTGTGGATCCCTGAAATCGGCAAGCAGACGATGAACTCATCCTGCAAGATCCGAGGGCTTAGAGCAGAAGAGCCATCTGTTCGGGCCCTCGAACAGTGAGGGCAAGAAGCAGGTGGCAATTGAGCAGGTGCTTGCGACTCCCCGCACAGTTGCCACAACCACCAAGGAGGGAGCGATTGTGCGATGCGGGAGCATCACAAGAAAAAGGTCTAGGTCAGATTCTGGTCGGAGTCAATAACCCCTGCCGCGGGCTGCGTATTCGACCCGCTGGCTTGAAGCCCTCCTCGCCCCGCGAATTGTTTGCGCTCAGGACTTGCACCTCAGGCTACCTACTGAACTTGGTGCAGGGCTGTATTTTTTGTGGTTGGCGCACGCAAACCTGGGTCGTGCAAATTCATTCCTGCTCAGAGAGCCTCCAACTGCTCAAAGGGATATATGGGCAACATCATCTACTTGGGCATGTATGTCCAACCATTTAGAGGGTGGTTCCCATCGTGGAAAATGCTTTATGTCACTGAAATGCTAAATTGAGCCGCGGTCAAAAGCACTTAAAACATGTGCATGACATTGCATGACCAATTAAGCAACTTCAGCCTTTGGGGTAGTTTCGTGAGGTCCCCCGTCATGTTTCACGCAAATTGCAATCAAGGTCATGACGACTTTGACCCCGTCTCGTGCAGCACCGGGCCGTCTCTGGTGAAACGCCCAAATCCGGCGCCTCCTCCCAACTTGCGGCTCAACCTCCCAGCCCCCGGCTCTGCCCTTGGCCTCCATCGCCTTTCGCCGAACAGTTGGCGGCTGTCAGGGTGCCTTGCAAAGCGCGCGGCATCTCTCGATTCACAAATCTGGACACCACACGCCCTAAATAGAAACACCTTCCAAGCTGCAGCGGGGAGCTGCTTGCAGCCAAGCGACTCTTGTTCAGCACCAGATTCTCGCTGGAATAAATGACACCTGCCGGGAGCTGTTCATTTGACCTGCTGGCTTCAAGGCCCTGTCCGCAATGCAGGCAAAAACTGAAACCCTGGACACTGTGCATGGATACCTGGCAACAAAGTGACCTTGAGACACGAGTGCCCAAAGCTTGAACTCGGAACCACAAGGATTCGCAGCCCAGTCTGCTGTCTGGCCTCCCTCTCTTGCGGAGCAACTGGTGGCTGACAACGAGCCTTGAGCGCACCAGGAAACTGTCGACTGGAAACTTCCTGGTCCCCACCCTTTCCGCGCATGAAAAACCAACACACGCAACAATACCAACTGCTTGCAGCCGGGCCCCCGACTCGTATCCAGCACCACCTGCTTCAAGCTGTGAATGACACCTGCTGAAACCACTACGCAGTCTTTCTTGACAAAATGAATGAAAACATCCAAGGGTTGCATAGGTGCAATGGAGGGTGAGGCCTGGTGAAGGTGGAGAACATGGAGCTGGGGGACGACGAGTTGGCCGAGTTGAACTTGGACTGGATCCGGAACACCGAGCTCAAGGTGTGGATCCCTGAAATCGGCAAGCAAATGATGAACTCATCCTGCAAGATCCGAGGGCTTAGAGCAGAAGAGCCATCTGCGCGGGCCATCGAACAGCGAGGGCAAGAAGCAGGTGGCAATCGAGCAGGTGCTTGCGACTCCCCGCACCGTTGCCACAACCACCAAGGAGGGAGCGATTGTGCGATGCGGGAGCATCACAAGAAAAAGGTCTAGGTCAGATTCTGGTCGGAGTCAATAACCCCTGCCGCGGGCTGCGTATTCGACCCGCTGGCTTGAAGCCCTCCCCGCCCCGCGATGCGGGCTTCTTAAACTCTGGATGTCACCGTGAGAGCGACCAGATGTTTGCGCTCAGGACTTGCACCTCAGGCTGCCTACTGAACTTGGTGCGGGCCAGGCTTCCTTTTCGTGTGGGTCATGACAATTCATGTAAATTTCATGGAGTTGTTTACGGCTCAAAAAGATATATGGGAAATATCATCTAGTTGGGCGTGAGTGTCCAACCATGAAGAGGGTGGTTCCCATTGTGGAAAATGCTCACCGCAAGCTGCAAAGCTAAAATGAGCCGCGGTCAAAGTCACCTAAAATATGTGCATGACCAATTCAGCAACTACAGCCTTTAGGAGTATTTTCCTGAGTCTCCCAGTCATGTGTCATGCAAATTGCAATCAAGGTCATGACAGCTTTGGCCCCGTCTCGTGCAGCGCCTGGCCGTTTCTGGTGAAATGCCAAAATTCGGCGCCTCCTCGCAACTGGAACTTGCGGCTCAACCTCCCAGCCCCCCGCTCTGCCCTTGGCCTCCATCGCGTTCCGCCGAGCAATTGGTGGCAGTCAGGAAGCCTTGCGGAGCGCGCCGTGAGACAAACTTGGCCGCCGGTACTCCGAAGCACCCTGCAGGCCCTAAATGGGCAATTGCTCATGCCAAGTTTTAGATCACACAACACCAAAAAACACAGCGCTGCGTCTTCCAAGCTGCAGCGAAGAGGCAGCTTGCAAACAAATATAAATGACAACTTCCATCCATGTACTACCAACTTCCATCCATGGATCAACTGCAAATCCAAGATCCGAACGAAAGCACAAACCCGGCAAGGTTGGCAAATCTTGATGCGAAAGAAGCGCAGCGAGTCTGCCCAACGCGGCCAGGTCGCTATGTTGGATGGTGACACCCTTCTCTGAATGCAGAACTCCTGCGAGCTGTGCCAAGCAAATGTCACCTTGCTGCCGGTTACGAGCTGAGCGTCTCAAAAGGGGGGGGGGGCGGACCCCTTATCCCAATCTGAAATCTATGGGGAAGCACCACAACAAGGGAAACTGTTTCCAGCGGGATAAAGGAGTAAGAAAGGATTGATTTTAAACAACCCGCACAAGCAATGTAATGGGGCCTCCATCTTCTTTGGCACGGCATCTTGAGGCTGTGATCCTGCCTGGGCTCAGAGCATGGCAAAAATTCAGATCTGGTGAACACCTCCCCATGGAAGAGAGGAAAACCAAAAAGCGCACGGGTAAAGGCTGCCCTGCATAAAGGTTGGGTTGGGAGCATCTGCAAGAATCCTGTGCCAGGGCAGTTTCTGACACACCTCACAACATGACTTTTACGCAATCTGGAAAGGCGTGGGACATGGGAGTAGGGGCCTCAAACTCATGCAATTGCAGATGGGAGTGCTTCAACCTGGAGAACCATCAAGAATGGCGTTCTTCTCTTGACTACTCTTTTAGACCAACCTGCAAAGGGTACCCTGAAATAAAAGCAATTCAAACATCCTTTCGCCAACAGGCACATTCACACGGCTCTGGACTCCAAGTGCGTCCGGCTCACTATCTTGCACATTGATCGTCTCGGCGTAGATGGCACCTGTGCATCGCACTAGCATTTTCGGGCTGCCCATGCGCGTCTTTCAGCGCTGCTATCCCGTACGGCCCAGCCTCCGAGTCGCCCCTTGCAGCCCTCGAATTTGACTCGGCCTTGCGGGACAAAGGGCTGCCATGACCCTCTGCCCCAAACATGCTCCGGAAAAATGCATCGAACATCTGCAACTCAAGCGCCAGACCGCGCCTTGCAGCTTCACTTGCTCGGCACGGAGAGCGCCGCCCTTGCCTGCTTCGTCATTGTTTTTGCCTTCAGCGCTATTGATGCATCTCTTAAACTCCAACTGGCCCTCGAGTGTGGCAACGCCCTTGACGACCAAGCAGGCACTTTCTAAATCTCCTCCTCCTTCAACCACGATGTGTCCTGCGCTCTTGCGCCACTGTGTGAGCGTTTAATCTTGCAAGTCGCTCGTCTGTCGTGAAAGAGCGAATGAACATGTCTGATTCCTACTTTGCGCAAGCGAATGAGCCAATGCCTGGCGTATGCCAAAAGGCAGGCCGTTGACTGTACTGTCCAACTTGTGTCCTGTAAAGGTCGCGTTGCCACTGAAGGTGATGGGCGCAAGAAGGTGGACCACAGCCTCCAAGCCGTGAACGCGTAGGCAGCCTTCAAAGGAGCGATTGGATGTGACCTCGGCCGAGCCGTCACTGGTCACTGACCATTCTGAAACAAACTTGAATTATACTTGTCGGCCTTGACTCAACCGAGAATGTCACCAGATGACAGTTGCTTTGCTATTGTGTTTTGAGGAGGGCCCAACCGCCAGCATCATCACTGCCAAACAATTGGCAGCATTCGAAACTTGGCACCGACATGTACAATACTTTGTGTCTGTGCGGCTGGGCGCGCATGCATGCTTGTGGACAGGCGGGCAGCCGTGCGCAAGCCAAAGGACATGGCAAGCTGCAACATGTCTTGACATGCATCTGCAATCATAAATTACTAAGCTCAATAACCTGAAAACAGAAAGGGACCTTCATCAGTGTGGCGGAACTTGTGTTGCCCCCAACATCGGCGAACTCGCCATCTGTGCAAAGAAACTTTGGGCAAAGCTTAGCCCTATCAGCCAAGCTGAAATGGATTGCAAGGCTTGCCACGCTCAAACGAGTAAGATACTGCCCGGAAAAACAAGCTGTGGTATGGATGGTGAACTGCCCGAACATGCTTCACAAACACAGCTTTGGCAGTGGCAGCACTGCTAGGAGTCTGGCCGAAGTTGCAGAGCCAAACCCTCGCGCAGAATTCACTATGGACACTGAGGCCAGCACTTTGTACGCACCTGAGATGTTGAGAATGCCTTCAGCGCAGGCTGGCAGCTCCTAACACATTGGCGCATTGGGGCATGCCATGGCATGCCACCAAGCGAAAAAGCCAAGCTGTGACTCTGTTCCATATTGTCCTTTTCACCCTTTTGGCATGAGTAATGCCAGCCGAAACGAAAAATGGATGGAAAAGGTGGGCTTCGTGCGCGCAATGACATGCCTCCATAGCTTTGAGTGGGGTGAAGGTGTTGACGTGATGGCTAACAGTGTTTCCTGCAGTTCTCATCACTTGTGCAGAGACGTGTGTATCGAATCCCCGAAATGGATAATTCCTTATTAATTTCCCTTGACCAAATGTAATTCCACCAAGTGTCTCACCAAAGATACTAAGTTTGAAGCATGCAACTCGTCGCGTCTTAGAACTCCTTGTAATCCTTGTACTGCAAGTCCGCCTTATCCACCACGTCCTTCGTCTGCAGAGCAACAGCGTCACCTCAGGGTCAGTGCTGCAAGTCCCTCGGGGCAGTGACCGAAAGGCGCGGCAATCGCTAAGGACTAAGATTGAATTCTCAAGGCATCTGATGCTCAGAACGTTGCAATCTCAGAAGCTGCCTTCAATCGGGCCCAAGGATTTTAAGCGACAACGAGCCTTGGCAATTTTCAGGCGAAACACACAGCGCATCCGAACAATCTTGAAGGTGAGCGCGGGGAGCCGGGCTATCCGCTAGTTCCGTTTTCTGCGAAAGGAACATGGCTTGCTATGATAAAGTCCAGCGAGGAGCTCCGCCCTCCGACAATCATGCAAGCGCTTTCACTAGGTGGGTGTTCAACACCCCGTGAAGAGATCAATTTGATCCTTTCACGAAAAGAAACGGTAAGACCAAAGAGCTACCGCGCTATGAATGGAATTTCATGGGATCTTGTGAGACCAACAAAAACCTGCTCAAACACATTGAAGGTGGGGACACCCATTCCGAGTGTCGGACGATCCCTCGACGGCAGACCTCAAAGCTCGGCTTGCAAAAATGATATCCGTATTATGGGGGAAACTCCAAACATATGATATTCACTGAATTCGTAGAATTCGCCCCTTCAAATGGGAAGCTCATTTTCTTCGTGGTGTGTTTGACCTTAACTCTCTTGACTACAGAGTACATGGTAAACATTGACAATTGCGTATCATGGTCATGGTTCCTGAATCATTCTTGTCTAAAATCAACCCCATGAGCACTTCATGGCCATGCCTGTGGTTCATGTATGCGTCACAATCAAAGTTTGGCATTGAAAGGGCATACGAGTACCAACAGCAAAGAATAACATCGTCTTGCCACACCTAGTTCTGGCAAGGCCGCCATCCACATTCACATCTCACAACTGGGCGGCAGGCGCTCGCCGGCAGCCAGGAGAGACACTAGGAAACAGAGCACTGCTAACATGCTGCTTGGGCCGCAGTACGCTGATGACAAACCTCATTTGGCGTTGTGTTTGGCAACACTGAGAGCATGGGGCTTGGAAACAGACGTGTCCCGTCCCGCAAACTAGCTCCTCGGAATTGCTTGCCAATAGACAAGGTCGGCCAGTGGTGCCGATCTTGACCATGTCAGAAGTGACACAGCCAGCCCACAAAATGGTTGCTTGCCTTGTCACTGCACTTTGTTTCAGTCATCGCAAAACCAAGAAAAGCGGTCTTGCCTGCCTCAGGTATGCTCTACTCTATTTGTGCATAGCATGCTTTTCAGTTGGACATGCTGTGCTCACTGTTGGCATGGGCACTGGATGACCAAGAGTCTGAATACGAAAACGCGAGGAAACGACGCCGCAAGGCAGGATTTGGGTTGAGTGCATCCCAGGGTGAAACATCTTCAAAGAAGCACCGAGCCAGCTTTGCGAGCTTGTCTTGCCTGCTTCCATCCACCCGGGCGTGCATTCTGCAAGCCGTGCCTGCGCCTCTCGCGTCTGGCAAACTTGGCCCGGTGCTGGAAGACGGACCATTTGGCGATACAATTTGGCGGGAACAGCCACGAAAGTGGCTGATGAAAATAATCCAAATTTATGATTGCACCAAAGCCTCCACATTTCGATCGCGCACCGTGATGTCCGCGGATAAATCGTCCTGGTCAATGCTCCGCAGAAAGTAAACAGCATTCCCATTTTTTATTCCGCGACACCCCATATTAATCCACCAGGATTTGCTTATCCTGGGTTAACATGACCCGTTGCGCTTGCGCTTTTTTCAATCGAGCGCCATCGAAGGCTCGACCGTCAATCGATACCTGCAGCGCCAAGGCTTCTCAAAACGCCGCCCTGCAATCGGCATCGAGCAAGGATCATGCTTCTCTCTTGAGGGAGTCAATTGCATGCGGATTCTGAGAATATTCATCCGGTTCAGCTTGCTAGAAACAAGCTGAAACCGCGCGCCATCCGAATACTTGCTGTCAACCAAACTGACCCAAAATGACTATGCTCATCCCAAGTGAATCTTGCCTGGACCCAGGCCGCGCGAGTAGTTCTTCCCGTCGCCCTTCCTGGCAAGTCAGCAAAACTGCATTGTGCTTCAACGGTTGGGCAAGCCACTAATGCCACAAAACCGCTGGGCAAACAAAGAAGGTGGGACTGGGTAAGCGCGGGGAAGGTGAGTTCCTGTTGAGTAACCCCCCTCACCTTCCCCCCAATTTCGTTTTCCTTGTCCCTGCTTCTTTGTCTTCATTAAAACATGTTGCAGCGCGTCCTCTACGACTCTGCCGCCTTCCAAGACAATGATGCGGTCGGCCCTGCGCGAGACACAAATGCCGCAGGCATTGATACGAGTGCACTTGAGATGCCTTGCTACCGTCCGCAAGCGATGTGCCGCCACCTCAGCTGGTGGCAGCAAAGCGACGTCATGCCACACACGGGTCCCTCCCCCTAAATGGGGGTTATCCCTTCTGAAATCGTTTCCATACCGGCCCAAACAGGCTACGCGACAAAAAGACACACCCACATATATGTGAATGATACGTATGCTCTGCACAAATATGGGGAAAAACATGGGGTTGCCTATACTTAGGCATCCATCAAAAGGAACCTATATATACTTTAAACTGGTCTGATCCTCCCAAAACGCGACCCGGGGAAAGGGACGCCCTGTGCCGCTTCGTTGATTTTACGGGCTGGGTGCCAAATAGACGGATTGGACAATCAAAAGACGTATCCATTCAGCTTGGCTTCCTTTGGGAGAAATCGACAATGGGGTGCTATATGCCGTCGACTCACTTGTCCAAAGAACCCGGAAGATAGGTTCACATTTTAAGTCCTTCTGGACCCACACCAGCAAACCAAACGCTTTGGTCGATTCGGTAAACCACCAACAACCAGGGGGAGTGGCCGGCTTTTGAGAGGTATCAAATAGGGGGACCCCCAAAATGGGCAGTTTCTTGTTGATTTTCTTGAACACCCACCCCCGCAAGCGTGCACTCGAAAAAGAACAATCCAGTTTAGGCCACCAGCATCAACGCCCAGTTGCCCAAATCCTGCACCCAGGTTGCTTGACTTAGAAGCCGTAAAGCGCCCGTCAAACTTGCAGCGCAGGCGCCAGCACGGCACGGCCCTCCCGGGCAAGCTGCGTCAGGGTGCCGGCCACTGCCTCCTGATCTCAACGGGCTCCGTTGAGGCTCTGCAGGGAAGATCTTCCCAGTTGAGGCCCGCTACAACGAAGCACAACAGAAGCTGCAACAATCTGAAAAATCCCCAGGTGCCCCCCCCAGCAAAAAAAAACGAAAGGCCAAACTTTCAAAAGATCCCAACAATCCAAAAGAAGGGATGCCACAACAAATCAACTAAAGGTACAGGCGCTTGGAATTAGCGAGCATGGGCAATCCTTTTGGTCGGTTCAAGAAAACCAAGGAAGACATTGCTAAAGGCTCTCATTCAGAGGCACCCCGATGTATATGAACACATACGTTTGATCTGTGCATGTCTGTCTTGACATGAGGCCTCGGATTCACCGTCAAGCGCAGATGTCGGCTCGTCCATGAGGATAACTGGCGCACCTGTGATTTTGCCAGCTGCCCGATGCAAGCTGTCAACATCAGCCATGTCTTCACCCGCCTGTCAAAGGAATCCCAAGTTCACAGCACTATCCGATGGCCATTCCACAGACGTGCCATGCATGGTAAAGCGTTTGCAAGTGTTGCCCGCTACGAGGATCGATTGATGGTTGCCCAAACTATCTCATTGCAGGATTCACAACTGTTTCAACATGTTTCAACCATCCCCAAGTCAACTTGTGCTTTGACCATGGCACAAATACTTGTCTTACATTTGCTCTTACTTGGGCTGACTCACTCGCGCCTCGAGCAATCGCTCTGGCGATAGCGAGCCTGCACTGGCAGGCTCAGTCTCCGCCCTTCTCACGGGTTGGTCTTCAATTCACCACTGGCTCTTTACAACAGTGATACTTCGACCTAAATCATCAGCCCCTCAAATTAGGCAAGGCACGTGAAAGGCAATGTGTTAAAACCCTCCAAAGTTGAACATCTTGGGAACCCTGGCCACCCCCCAGTGTCTTGCAACAAGCACAAAGGTTGATCGTGCCAACATTGCCTAGCTTTGGGCTCGATTCTGACAAACGCAGGAGTTGCTTTTCTTTTTGTGATTCATTAAGGAATCCTCAATTAAGCTTGCACAAGCAGCCTGTTGATCAGCCATCTTACTGGTGGCAATTGACCTAGCAAATTGAATTCGTTTCCGTCGGGCATGTCGAAGTGCACGATGCAGCAACTCTTTTGACACTTCACCTGCATACGGATCCGCAGCCATTGGTGCCCAAGAACGCTCTGCAAGCTCTGTCGTGAGACTATGCTAGCTGTGCAATCTCGAACCAGCATAAACACAATGGCAAACCTTCGCAGGCAGGTTTACATGGCCGAAACACACTTTTCAACGGGTACCTTTTTTTCCAGAGAAACTGACAGGAAGCCGAAGGCAATTCTAATCTCACTGTTCCGAGGCAAGCCATGCGTACCATGATCAAAGCTCCTTGTGGGCCATGCTCTCGGTTGCCGGTACACCTTTCCAATGGTTGCTTAAATGCCTACGGGTTTATAGCCATCCATACCAATTTCAGGTAGGGTGTCTGACCATGGCACCCACACACGCACACACACACACACACATGCCATGGAGAATTCACGGCATCCAACCGCGAAGTCGCAAGCTTTGAGAGGCGCGAGGCCCACCTTTGTCGCTGGCCGCCAGACAGCCGGGAGCCCCTCTCTCCCAAACGCTCTTCTGTAGGCAACGCCTGGCGAACATGCTCGGGATCCCGGGCTCCCGATAGCTCCCTCGTGAACATCGCCCCAGAAGGAAACTCATTTTAAAGTGGCACTTCCCAACGGTGATGATTGAAGGCACCAAAATGCAAACGCAAAGATACCGGGAACAAGCTCCAACCTATTGGGGCTCAACTCACAAGAAGAAACCTACCAGCAACCAACTGAAGCTTGCCAACTCAGCAGGGAAGAAAATGGGCGCCCCTTTTGGTGATATCAAAGTGAGATGTCCTGCTTCGATCAACAAACACTGTAAACTTTATCACTTTGAGGTGTGCCTTGGCACCACACAAACTCGCTTGCAAACTCCACCAGAGCATGGTTGCTGAATATACATCACAGCTGGGCGTTGAATAGGGAGTCTTGCAAATCAAGACTACGCATTCCTTTTCAGCTGCTTTTGGTTTTCTCATGGAGAGACCAAATGATGGGCCCAACCTGAGCTGTCAGCCCTCAACTTGAGTCGCCAGCCTGCACAAAGGAGGACGCATGTGCAGCTTTTATAGCAGCTGCTATCTCATCCTGCACTGAGCTGAGCATTTTGGGCAGGATGGAACCAAACTTTGTACTTGTCAACATCTCGAACATTACAAAGGTGTGGAGTTTGTGTCATCGGAGTCGCACAACAGTGAAATCCAAGCGACTCCCACCACATCTCACACTTCAAGTGGGTCCTGCTGCTCCGAGTCATGCAATTCTGAACCTCAGAATGCAAACGCCTTGCATAGCTGATAGCTGTGACATGCACAACTGCCAACATCCAATGCCTCCATCTCTGCCCAAATAGCATCAATCAGTCGTCATAAGGCTTGGTGATGGAGGGCTATTCGAGGTAACCAGTCTTGAGCTAGCCTTACATCTCATGTCAGCTACCTTCAAACTCACAGTCTAGAGCAAGGGGCTGAACATTTCAATGTCAGTCTCACTACCACTGAGGCTAACTCCATACGCAACGTTCTCCAAGACAGTTCGGTCAAACAGTGCTGGGTCCTGCAGGCAGGTTGATGAGCACTTGCCTACACAAGCAGATGCTGCCTGCCTGGTCCACAACTCCGATGCATCTTCGGAAGTCCTGGTCGAACACAAGCCAGCTAGCAAGGTATTCATAGATCCGTAAGTCCCTGATCCCACTGCAATTCCCAGCTGTGAGAATGGACAACAAGCTAAGCTTCCTGCAGTTGCTGGCTTACTAAACTTTCATCTTTAGGTACCTTCAGCGTTCGCGAGGTCTGCAAGCGGGTCGTGTCTGCTGCCTCACGTGGCGCGGATTCAGCCGTCCTGCAGGTTGAGCTCCCTGAGATCCTTTCCGTCCAGCTGCACAGAGCCCTCCTGCGTGGGACCCAATCGAAGCCTAAGCGAGGGTCCCACCAATCAAGCCCATTGCAAATGGCACTTCGGTCTTTTGGGGATCTGATCTTGGGTGTGAAATGGCAACCAGAAGAAAGCTCACAATGCTCTGTTGGATCATTGCCGAGTCCAACTCATTGCAACAGTGGTAACCCCTTTGATTCCAGGCTGCGTATGGAACACACGGTTGGATGGTTACGAACATAACAAAACCTTCAGCCTACCGGACGGAAAACACACGCCCGGTTTAAATTTGGGAGTTGGGAACGAGTTGATTTTGGGCTGGAGCGATGGTTTTGAGCCAGGCTGAGTCTGGAGTTTGCCTTTAAAATTGCTAGTACGTTCTAGGGAGATGTGAGTCGGTTTTCGAAGCTGGGAATTGGTGTTGGTCCTAGGAGTTGGCGTTCAAAGCCTTGAATCCGGTTTTATGTTGCAGATCCACACTCCCACAACTAATTCCCCAAACCATCTCACTCCCAACTCCCCAAAGCCAACTCCCAACTCCAAACTCCTCAAAAACCAACTCCCCGAAACATAACTCCCCCACAGAACCAACTCCCAGCAAAACCCCCAAGACGCACTCCCCAAGCTCGGCGCCACTTCACTCTCCCTCCTGCGGGTCTGCCAGGCGCGCGCAAAGCTTCAGCACCGTAGACTTGCCGGCGCCGCTGGCCTAACGACATGCGCCGCAGTGACCCTAGAAAAAGATTTGGAACCCGTTTCGGGGTTGACCACTTGTGGGGAAGCTACCAAAGGCGTAGTTGTCACTGAACTGGCGGAAGTTCATTTTCCTGTAGAGAAGGCCAATGATCTACACATTGTCCCTTAGGTCCCGGTGGGTCTGGGAACCATCTTGATGTAGACGTCTTTGATGACAATGTAGTTGAAAACAGCGCACCATGATCCCCAAACAACTTTACCTGACGAGGAAACGTGTACGTAGTCCTCCACCTGTAACGCTTCAGTTTGCTGAAACTTTGAAACCCAGGGACCAGGTTTTGCGTTGCGATTGTCCTTGAATCAGGTTTCAACTGAAAGCCTTTGACCAACAGAAAACTCATCCCCGTTGCGACCGCTGTGTTACCAGTAAGGGGCTGTTCGCATGGATTAAGCGTCACCTTTTTGGGCTGTCGCAAGTGAGTTGCTTGCAGGTTGGAAGTAGAAGGAATGCGTTGCGAAGGGATTAGCCACATTTGGCCACAACACCAAGGGATACGCAGACCGAAGCCCCGCTGTCGCTTTATGTTCGAACATGGTGCTTGTTCGTCAAATTTCGGAATCTCGGCGTCCCTGCCGAATGCAAAAGGGGTCTCTCAAGTCGCCCATTCCTTCGACTCCGTCACACCCCCCCCCCAGTCCGGTACATGTTTTTCAGGCAAACAAACACTCTCTGTAACAATGTAAACAGGTCGCTTTACCAACCTCCACGTCCCCTTGAACTTGCTGGTGCTCAGCAGGGAATGAGGGTTATAAATTATGCTTTGTGGTTTCCTTTAAGGGAACCCCCTTCTGGTTCACTCCCACATTCCTTACTCATCGCAGCAAGTGAACACACCTTCTTGGTGGGTTCCCTTTTCTCCAGTCAAGAGGCGCCCACCAATGCGACCACCTCCCCCGGCTCCACGCAGAAGCTAACATCCTGGAGCTCCCAGCTGTCCTGGAAGCCGTCCATTTCGCGCAAAAAATTGGCGGAAGGCTCGTCTTTCTTGGGCTCTAAACTGGCGGTGGGTGCTGGGAATGAACCGGAAGGGGATTCCCTTAAAGGAAGCCATGGGGGATGGGTTTTTTCTAGGGGTCAGACTCCGATTCTCATTCCCTGCCTATCGCACCGGTAGTTAGGTTTTTCACGGGCAAGCGTGTTCCTTTCAACTTTGAAACTGCAAACACGGGGTAGCCTCCAACCAAAAAGCCCCCAAGTGACGGTCCCCCCAGAAAAAAAATAACGCCCGTTTTTGAATTATTCCACCCATCTGGCTACATATATATATATATATACATGGACACTCTCACCCTCCAAGGTCCATGTCTTTCTTGGGCACTACTAGGAACCAGCACAAGACCAGGAAGGACCACCTACTACGATGATGGTCTTTCAAGTGGCTTCCTGGTGACTTCCCTTTAAACACCAAGCGCGTGTTTTGGGCTCGCTGACCCCCCTTACTTTGACACATACCCTACGCCCCCCTACGTTTGTATGGGGTTTCTGAAAGCCAATAAACAACTTTCATTTTCGGGTTAAGCCTACACTGAAATGGCCAAAAAAAAATCCCTGTGGATATCAGCCCAAAGGGAAGATCGACAAGAGTTGTCGGTCATTGACAGAGGGACCCTGTCTTTCCAACCCCAGACCCGGATTTTGATCTCCATGATCTCCATAATACCTTTGGGTTGGGGGGGCCAGGAGGTCACCGACCCCAAGCAAGTCCTGATCCGCGTAGTGGAATGAGACGCCATCCAGCTTCAGATGCCCTTCCACTGCGGACTTTGGCAATGGCAAAGCATTGGCTTCTGAGCGCCTCGTCTGATCAGCCCAACTGGGTGAGACAAAACTGTTCGGTTGATTTGTCTCAAACAACAGCTTGCAAAAAACATGTGTTGTTTCGCTTGTAAGCAGTAAACTCCGGCACGTTTAACAACAAAATGTTAGCTTCTCCATGCAACCTGGCTCCCCACCTTCCTAACGCTACCGGGTGGGTGGGCATCCGGCGAATTCAAATGCTGAAAGTCCACGAAATTCGAGAGCCACCCCTTGACAAAAGGGCCCAAGGAAGCCAGACTGTAGGGGCTGGGCACGCGACCATGGCCCGGCTGGGCCATGGTCAAACAGCGGTTACCATAACCGAGTCTACCTCAAACCCATGGCACAGAATGTGTATAAAATATATATAATTGTAATTCTACATACAATTATAAGAATAATGTAATCAATAACAACAACAATAAGACTCGCAAGAATCATAATAGTAGTAGTGACAATAGCAACAGCATATATGAATAGTAACAATCATACTTTATTTATACTAATGTCAAGGCGAGCTTATCCCAGTCTCACCTGATTGACTCCCGATTCCGCTGAACATCCTGCAACTGACTTCCTAGACCTTTCTCTCAAGCCAAACGTAGCGAAGAGGCCCAAGACAGGTCCGTCCCTCTCACGCCAATTCCAGAGTTTTTGTAGTCCACCTCAAAGAACAATTGCGTTGCCATGAAATAGAATTCCAGGGGTCAAAATCCCCTACTCAAGTTTGAAGGGGGCGGGGATGGCACAAGACGGGCCGCGGGGCCGCCCTGTTTGCGCTGCTACCGAGGCTCACCCGGGGTTCCCGGTCTTTCAGATCGAAGTATCTTCTGGAAACCGCCTGCCAGGGTTGGCCGAAATTCAAAAAACATGCTCAAACAATACAGCGCTTTAAATTGTTCGCAGGCACAAAACAAAACGCAATCCAGTTTTCCAGAACCTGGTCGACCTTGACGGCCGGGGCGGTTGTCCATCAGGGGCCTGCCTGTGCACGAGAGATCCCTGTAAATAGATCTGCCAGCTCGCGGAATCCCCGGCGGTAGCTCCAAAGCAGTGTCCTTCGCAACTGACGTGAGGGGAAACAGAAGGGAAAACAGAGGTAGCCCAAACTCCAAGGAAAGGTCCTGAGAACCTTCTTACGGATGAGACGCATTGCTAGAACATTCCTGGAAAGTGGGTCCTAACGCCCCGAAGGAAGGAAATAGCTTATTGAGTCTCGGAGAAATTGTCACGTTCCCCCAGTCATGCTTTGGTTTAGAACATGGCTCCACCAAACGCTCCCTTTCAATTGGCCCAAGACGTTTCTGCAAGAAGAGCTGCTCAGATCGCGATGGCTCACGGCCCAGAGGCCGGGTCCTGTAGGCGTAGAACTGGCCCATCGTCAGCTCGCCCTTTGCAATGAACCAGCACGACAAGCCTGCAGTCGATCCGCACCCTCGACCCGGGAAGCAAAGGCGCAATGCAAGTGTTCTACAGTCGGTGGTCATTGTATTTTCAGAACAGGTCAAAAAGTGGCTCTGGGATCTCCTGCATAGTCTTGCAGAAACCTCATTGTAACTGTTTCAGCCAAGCAGCATAAGAGTGGGACATCGGCCAGTGCGTCATTCCTGAGATTGCGGGGCAAAGCCATCCAAAAAGCATACAGTACCAACCGAAACGCGACAGGCCCTCGTGGTCCTTCTCTACTTTCCTTTCCATGACAGCGCCTCACCTGCACACTTAAAAATGCTTAGAGCCGCACTGCAACTGGTGATCTGGTCTTCCTTTTCAAGAATAACGAGGAAATGATGGACCCCACCAATAACCCCGGACACACTCCCCCACCCCACTTGGCACTTTATTGCAAAGGTTTTTACAAGGCTCACAATGTTTAAGCTTGTGGGAGGAGTCTCAATGTCTCTCCTGAAAGAATAAGAACGGCTTGTACTTAGTTCGCAAAGACACAGGGTTGAGGAGCTATGAAAGTCATGCAACTATGTAGAAACAACGCATCGAGCGCTTACCATGCCTCGGCAATAACTCATCATCCAGGACAGTCTCACCGCACCAAAATGCCGCTCTAATCCATCCATCGCAAAGACTCGGTAAAATAGCCTAGCACACAACGCTTCGCTGCTGTGCAAAGCCACGTTGCGCTATTCAGCAAAGCGTCAGAAGTGTCGAAAGGAATCTCAGTGCCGTCTCTTTGTAGACAGTTTGCTGGATCACCTCGAACTTGCAATGGGGAAAGCGGGCATTCGCTCAAAATATGTAGGGAAACCAGCTTCATGAACATCTAACGTCACATTGCAAATATTCAACAGATGTTAGGGTGTTGGCTTGCTTCCAGTAGACTGACGTCCTTGTAGAATCCGGTTTCTTGGACTGCATTATTGCCACAATGCAAGCAGTCACAGTGCAACGTGTGCAATTTTTGCCACCTCCAGGTAGTTCTGGGTTGCGCTGTCGTACTCCTGCAAAAGGCAAACATGCAGGTTGATTTCGCCCGCCTTTGACTTCCTGCCGACATCCATGAAGGCTGCTGCTGTGTTGATTGCAGTTTGTCCACATTACTTTCCCGGCCAACCAGCGAGCACTGCTCAAAAAAATATCGGGTGCCCGGTATAAAGACCTGAAGGTCTTAGTGCAACATCTGGCTGAAGCCACTTTTCTGAGCAGACTGATCCCTCACGCTGCGAAGCCCAGAAATACTCGCCGAGTCTTCTGAGAGAACATCCTCTAAATCGCGATAGGGGCAATTAGAATAAACCCTTGCGACATTGAGTTTTCACTGTTTGGCAAACACATCCATTTCTGTTTGCAACTCAAACCAATCACCCAGTCCATGTGTGGTCTCTGTTGATTGGGCTACGCTCAAACCCCTTGCAAAGCGCCAAAACCTTCTGGCTCAAAACAAAACGAGAACAACCCCCCCCAAAAAAAAAAAAAAATGTGAAATAATAATCAAAACAAGAGGAGAACCGATCCCAAGCAAAGGCTTAAGGGGCAAACAAAGCGACGTTCAGTCCGACGACGTCCAACCGGCTTCGCGTCCTTCGTCTCTGTGGATTCAGCGCCGGCGAGCTGCACGGCTCGCACGTTCGCGATGGCCTGGCTGCAAAAAATGCCCATGGGAAAACAGCTCACTTGGTTAGAGGACCAAACAAAGAAACTTGAAGTTACATTTTCCCCAACATGAGACTACCAGCTATATTGCCAACTATTCATTATATTGGTGCTCTCAATATAAGGGGTCCCCAAAAAGGGTCGGCTTTCTTTTGGTTTCCCTTTTAATGCCAAGAGGGGGGTCCCCGAAATCCATGTTGACAAACTCCCCAATCGGACATCGCAAGCCAGGCCTCAGAGGCGACGCCGTTCACCCGCGCCAATGCGTCGTTCTGCAGCAGGCCATAACGTCCAACCACCTGGCGCTGGCAACGGTTGGTCAAGCTGACCAAATCGCTTTTACTTGCTGGTTCGTCAGGAAACAACCGCGTTTTGGTCGATCTTTGTTGCTGGTTACAGGAAGGGAAAACATACCTTATAGGTCCAACAAAAGAGCAGCTGAGAATCAAGCGGACTGTGTCGGGCTGAGCGATGCTGGGCCACGGGAAAAAAAACTGCTGGCAGCTCAAAAACCACTTGAGTCAAGTCGAAGTGTAGGGGCCAAGGGAAGGCAAGTCTGAAGCCAACGCTTCTCCCTCCCCCGCAGGATTCCTCCTCCGATGGTCCGTTTCATGGCAAATGGTCCCACTTGCCCTTTGCAGTTCATCTGAAACGTTTGAAAAGGAACACCACAGAATAAACCGTCGAACACCAAGTTTTTCCCCAACAGCTGACACCTTTAGGGTCTCAGCCCACATAGACTGCGGGGTGGTCCGGGGCGGCCCTGAGGTCAGGTTCCACGGGGTTCCACGAGGGTTCCGCCAGGGTTCCACCAGGGTTCCACGAGGTTCTGTGAGGGCTGCGGGGTGGTGCGAGCACTAAAAAGAGCACAGCATGCTGTTGGGGATATCACCTGAGCTTATTTCTTTGCGACGCGCCTGGCCGGTCTTCTTGACAAGGAGAAAGGCCAGGGGCATGTGTGCCTAGAGGACAGGCACGTGCTGCTTGCAGGTTGGGAGGCAGCCCATCTCCACTTCAGTGACTGGTATGCGTGAGCCTGTTGAATTGTCAGTAAGGAACGTAACTAAGAGACGGACAGTGGCGGAAAAGGACGGAATGGAACAAGTCAAAGAAAAGGTCATGGCACAAGACTGCGTACTGCTTTCCAAGTTCAGCATGAGGCTCACTGAGGCTTACACATGTATCAACACCAGAAAGAGGCCAAAGCTCTTTTTGACACCGGCCAGGGCATTGCAACAAAATGGAGAGACGTCCCGACCAATCTTTCCTTTCCTCTTTCCGCCTGAGATAGCCACCACACTGGCCATGGTCAGCAGCTTGTGTTGCTGCGCCATGAGGACCAGAGATACAGTCTGAGAGCAGTCGAATCTGCACTCAGGTCGCGGGAAACGTAGCTACAAATGCCTGCATCCAGTATCCCCAAGCACCCCGCCACTTGACGGGGGATGTTACATTTATGCCCACTCTCATTTCTAGAATGAACAAGACACGTGTCCAAAAGTATCCAGTAACATGGAGAGAAACACACCTCGGAGCTGCAATTAGACATGTGCAACTAAGCGCAGGACCAAACGCATCAAGTTTGTCACCAGCGTCTCGGGTGCGCGATTCAACACCTCGGGCATCCAGCTTCCTTTGGAAGTTGGAAAGGTTCTCAGGTAGCATCTCATCCCACATTACCCCTGCGGGGGAATTGCTTTACTTTGCTGGGGGACACCACTACTCCAAATCAACATGAACACCTCCCAAAGTGGAAAAACATGGCAACATGACTGAAAGCAACTTGCCACAGAAGTCTTAGGTTGACTCTGCAACTTAGGGCTCGAGCATTCTGCAGCTGATCCGTATCATTTGTCAGCCTCGCACATTGAATGCTTTGCAAAGCATGTTTCAAGGTGACCCGCATAACCACCCCATGCAAGAAAGCAACCTGCTCACAAAGACCATCTTTCAACAAAGCCTCCCTTGCTCGCATTGATCGCAAAGCATGGCAATGCGTTCGTGGCACTGTGTCCACTCAGCGCGGGTCAGACAGTAGGGCTAACTTCAATGGCCCGAAGCGGAGCGTAGGTCCAAGACAAAACCCCTGTTCCCTGTACGGGGATGATCAAGACTGAACCACAAATGGCTGCTTTGCCTTTGGACTTTGATTGAAACCACCCCGGCCAAAGTTGTAATTACACTTCAAAAGGCACCCCGGCCCGAAAGTGTCCGTAGCCCAAACACCTTTTCCAAGTTCCATCCGGTCGCCTGGACACCAGCGCCCCACTGGAGTTCTGCTCAAAGAAGGCCACCTCCTGCCGCATCAGCGCCTCGAGCGAATTCCGGGCCGGCGCCGGTGAGGGATTCCGTCCGGAAGGCAAGAAAGAGAGAACATCCACACACACACACACAAACAAGCGGCCAACACACAAACAAACGGCCAAATACAACTCGCTCTCTTTCTCTCTCTCTCACACACAAACGCACTTCCGCACTCAAGCGCGTGCACGCACACACACATCCACTCATCCTTTTTCTTCCACGTCCACCAATGCCACTCAAATGTTCCGCGTCTAGTATTCCTCCTCTTCCTCTTCTCGATGAGAATTCAGCCAAGTCAAGGAAAGAAGAGCCGTCCTCCTCCCTCACGAGGAAACCGAGGGGATCGGAGAGGAGCGAACCGTGGAAGTTGCAGAGCCAAGGGAAAGTAAACAAAGTCACTGATCTCTTTATTGTGCGTATTTATTGTGCCTCTTGCTCTCTCTCTCTCTCTCTCTCTCTCTCTACATCTTCTGGTGAATGAAGAAGAAGTGAGACTGAGAAAGGATCAATTCCGCCACACTTCCCGAAGACCTGAACGAAGGCAGAACCTACCTTAATGTATCTATCTCCACTAACTCACGAACCGCACCGGCAGTGGAACATGAAAGCGCCTTGAAGAGGTTCTGCCTCATCAGCATGGACATCTTCCACCTGATGCCATCGGCTGCAGGCGGTTGGCCATGGTTTCTTCTCCACTTGGACCAGGACCAGTTCTGTGGTACCGGAAGGTGGCTGATTCTCATGACTTCTTGAACTCACTTTCAAGGGATTCCAACTTGGTATCACTCGGAAAGTGGCAACCCAAAAAGAAGACAAGCATTCATCCCCATGAGCCCGAGCACCGGGTTTGGGCAAAAAGTAAACTCTCGCTATATTTGTACATCTTGCCCTCTCTCAACTGACCTTCCCAGGCATGTCATCTCCAATCTATCTTCTTCTATGTGCGTGTTCCTTGAAACAACGGTACAATCAACATTTCAAAGCTGAACAAATCAGAAACAATAACCCTAAGTCAGAACCCCATCCAATGCAAACCTGCAGATCCTCCAACAATCACCGGATGTTGAGAACAACACAAGGACAATGTTTTGGGAATATCCAAGTGATGTCAGTGCCCAAACAACCCTATCCAAGCACTTCTTGGGCCTCCGCGAAAAAGGTGCTTAAAGGTACCCCCCTTCAGCCCCCAAGCCAAAACACCTGCCAGAAACGCGGCTGTCCTCTTTGCTTAATATTCGCTCAGTCTGTGTTGAACCCACCAATTACGAAGCCACCCCTCGAGTTTTCCTCAAAACAAAGTCTTATTAAAGTTTGTTTCAAATGACAAGGCTTTCAAGCTCACAAAGAGGACCGACCCCCCTTGGAGGCCGGCCCCCCTCATTAACAGAAAACCCCCCGCGATTAATCAGGGCCCTTTTGGGCTCAAAACCAAAAAACAGTTGTCGCCATTTCTTAAGTCTTATTGCCTGGAAGGCAAGGACCAAAGAGGTTCTCCAGGTTCCTGCTAGTCCAATTGGCTGGCAAGGGGCCAGCAGCTAAGACCGAAGGGGCTCCAGATTCATCAGAGGGTCCTCCAAAAACTCTCAGTTTCGGGGGCTCCAAGCCTTAAGCGGGCCCCTTTACTAATCAGGGGAAACCACCAGGTTTGTCATGTTGAGGATTTCGTGTTTGGCTTGGAGTCTGGAGGGACACAAAAAGAAACCAAGCCATTTTGAGGCTTGCCGTTTGACAAAGAAATATGGGGAGGACGTGGGAAGACGTCGGTCCAACCTTTCGCCACGTTTTCCCCGGCCTGGCCAAAGCAAAAAGGATGCTCTGGAACACGTTGGCCTTAACCATCCGCGGTTTTAAGGAGTCCACCTAAATGACCCCCCCCCCCAAGGGACAGGCCCTATATTTCCTCTTAAAGCATCGCCCCATCACCACATCCGAAGAAAACTCGATCCCTGAACATGTGCCCAGGTGAGGCAAAGGGACACACAGGGCACCGGGTCCTCTAAAACAGCAAGGGTAACTGTGATGTTCAACATCAACGTGTATCCGTGTAGCCTTGCCGAGGCCATGGTACGACATGCAGCCTGTGGGCATCATGGACATGATCTATGTCCAATGTCTGAAGGTGTTCATCCAAGTCCCCAAGGTGTGCAAGGGGGAAACATCACATCACCTGTTGGCCTTCTATTTGGGAAACAAACACATGAGCTATATGATGGGATATGTCTCACAAATCTAAAGAGTCAAAAGGGCAGCCCACACCTAAGGGTTGGAACTGTCACCAGATTCCGATAGCCCGGGGATTGATTTGTTTCAGTTTGAACATGAGGCGTCCCTGCAAACTTGGCTTAGGCTTGGAAGGTCAGTTTCTCGTCTAAGCCGCTGTTCTTAGCTGTGGGTTCAGTTGGGAGGTTATCAAAATCGGGAACCTCCCTGGTTTAAAGGGCATCCAACAGGAAAACCAACAAACATATCTTATTGGTTTTCTATCAAGGGTCGATGACTGGTCATTGCTTTTCATCCACTTTCGTAACCCTGCACAGGTCCACTCGGGCACAGGTCCATTGGGCTCCTGTCAGGAGCCATATAGTACCGATACCCTGGTCACCCTTTTCGTTGCCTCTGGTCCTTCATGGGTCTAGAATCAGCTAGTAGCCAGAACCTTGCAGCATGCGGATCATTTCCTCTAGTAACAGGAGCTGGCTTCCTTAACTACTTCATCCTACTAACCGCCCATTCGAACTGGCACATTCTGGAAACACATGTGATCGTGCCCCTGTCGGTATACCTGTCGGAGAGGTTCTCAGCCGCGTTCTCGCGACTGGGTTCGCGAGGCTTCCAAGCTATTCGGGGAAGCCACCTGTTCTTATGATCTTTAAGTGGACGATCGGAGGGTGTTTGAAGACTAACAACTTAAAAAGGGCGCTGCCTCCCTATCTCCGTGATTGTCGGAAAGAAGCTATCTGCTTCTATTGATCCAATAATCATGCACCATCTCTTTGTTCGGAAATCCAAAGTAATCCCAAGTAAGGAGCCTTCATCATGGGCTAGGTCGCAAAGGCTATGATTTGCTCGCACAGGTTGGACGAAAAGCTGCCATGGCCAAGCTGCAATGTATCCGTACAGCGCTGCTGCCAAATACAGGCCTGCGTCAGGCAATTGCTGTCTGAGCACTTAGTCCGAACATCAGTGGCCAGAAAAGGGTTCGGACATAATTTGGCTTCCCTGTTTTTCTTTTGGGATGTTTCCCCCAAACATGCCGATGGCTGGCTCGTGGGTGATTTGAAGAAGGGGCAAACGTCCATGCTCGTCCGTGCCGAAAACCCAGTCACTGAGGTTGGCTGCTGGGCAACAGCTGCTTGCGCGAGACGACGCCCTCCCCTCCCCGCCTGCAAGCGGCGCAAGGGCTCGCGCGGCATCGCCAGTCCCCGTCTGCGCGATGCCCAAGGCAATGTCCAGCAGGCGGCCAGTAAGGCATGCCCTGCACGCCGAGTGAGGCACCAGATTGGACTCTCCAAGACTCAGAGTCATAGCAAGACTCATGGCCCTTGATGGTCATCACTTACCGTTGGAGCCAGCCAGGCTGCAATGGCTCTTCTTGCTATGGCACGGAAAATATAGTCCTTTAGTGATGAAATGCCACAAAGCGTCGCTTTCCGGGGCCGCTCATTTTTGACAAGCTGCCATTTGCTCAAGGGATGACACTGGGTGAGGACACCAAACTGGCATCGCATAGAGGTATTGTGGTGGGACTTGCATAAATCCCATGTCACTGTGGGGCGCAATGTAAATTTGTTGGTTTTATTTCGGTCACTACTTCACCGGGAGCAGAACAACAGACACCACCGCAGTAGTAGCGGTGGCGGCAGCAGCAAAGGCAGAAGCAGCAGCAAACAAACAACAAACAAACAAAGAAACAAACAAAGAAACAAGCAAAGAAACACATAGGCAAACAAGCAAACAAGAAAGCAAGCAAGCAAGCAAGCAAGCAAGCAAGCAAGCAAGCAAGCAAGCAAGCAAACAAACCAGCAAGCAAGCAAGCAAGCAAGCAAGCAAGCAAGCAAGCAAGCAAGCAAGCAAGCAAGCAAGCAAGCAAGCAAGCAAGCAAGCAAGCAAGCAAGCAAGCAAGCAAGCAAGCAAGCAAGCAAACAACAAGCAAACAAATCGGCAAACCAACAAACAAACATTGATGACAGGCTGGCTTTTTCAGGGGGGTTCTGAGTCCGGCGTGACATGCATCCTGATGCCATGTCAGGCTTGCACTACGTTTCAAACGTAACTGCTCATGATTTTTGAAGCGAACCCCTCAAAACTTGGGTCGACAGAAGTCCCTGTCCCTATGTAACTGATGTCCACTAAGAGGTCCCCAATCTCAGTGTATTGGGAACTGAGAACCTTACGCTCCAAATGTACACCGCAACCAAAGTTTACACCCAAATGTACAACGACTGCCCCTTGTGTGGTATTCTGTATCGAAGAACAAGCAAAAGCGCACCATTTCTTGGGGCCCCTGAGAAGAACTTGCAGACACACCTGAATGGGACCCCCTGAAAGGGGTCCTTCAACAAAAACACCCCACCCAAACACCTTTAACGGCAAAACAACACACCGCCCGGCTTTTTTGGGAGAGTCTTGGGAGAGTCCCCGATTTCAAGCCAAGCAATCTTCTCCCGTCGCGCAAATTCGTCGCCTGAAGGACGCCACGCCGGCCAGCGACATGGAGATCACCGTGGCCGGGATCAACAGCCGCGGCTGCGCCTCCGGCGAAGGCGATAAGGTGGGCCACCCGAACCGTTGGAACGAGGAACCAGTTTCTGTGTTTTTCTTGAGTAGGGCTAAAAGATAGGGTTAATATACATTGACATGTGATTAAACCAAATGTGCAAGTATGGTGACAAAAACAGTTTTTGCCCCAAACCTTTAACCAAATAGTGATAAACCATGTGGGGAACCCGTTTAGACATGTCATTTCGAAGGGAGCCATGGTCTCTTTGTTAAAAACTATTTGTCCGACCCTGGAGGAGCTATCGATGGATCATCTCAGGGCTTCCCATGTTCCAAGCTATAAACTCACAAAGGGACCACCCCAGAACAAGCCCTAGATCTGCTGGTGTGCAATTCATGCGGAGCATGGTATCAGCTGCCACTTGGAAGGGACTCTCATTTCCTAGATTCGGATGCGGAGCACCAACGGCTTCACGGTTGATTCCCTCGAATAGACAAGCAACAAGCCCGACTGCGAATTCCTGGTAAATTGTGGTACAGGGTTGGGCTTCCCCGCTTGCAATATGTCCCGCTAACCTGCTGCCTGACCAAGCTTGGAGCAGATTAAAGAAAGATGGTCAGATATATTGGAAGAGCCTCGCCAATTCTGTTTCCCGGATCTAGGATGGTTCTGTGAGTGCAGGCTACATTTCATGGGGCCCACCCCCTTTCATCAACTGAGGGCTTTGTTAGTCCTGGGGGCGCAATCAATGGGTGGGAAAGGGGACTGCAGGCGTTCTCCAAATTCTTTCTAGCACATCCGGCCTGCTCCCGAAACTCTCGCAGCAGCCGAGATATCAGCGCTTTGCCTGCATGTCTCTGCTGCAAAAGTTACCCCTCTGCAACATGCCGAAAAGTGGGCCCTTCAAGAAGAGGTTCTCCAAAAAACCATGATTGTTGGGGGTTCCATGTTGATCTGGCGGGAAGTACGTAATACATCTTGATACTCTTGGCCACAGGTCCTAGTTTTGCCACATCCGACATGGTCAACATTCACCGGGGGGTTGAATATAATTTCAAAACTGATGTCACTGGAAAGCATCCCCAAGAGTGTCCACAGCTGGTTGATTTGTGGGCATTGCAGAATGGAACTTTCGCTTGTGGGAACAGTCGGCACCAAACTTGGAACACCCACACATTCTGCAAATGCTACAATTGCTCCAACTCTTGAAATAAGGGATCGCCAAGTAGAGGATCTTCACCATGGTGATCTCGCTTTACCCTAGGCAAGCTCGCCACAAATCATGCAGAAAGATGGCTTTCGCGGCCCCTGCAAACATCACGCGGGAACCCCTCGTGACGGGGGTGACTCGGAGGCCGCCTGTGCCAGAATCTTTGCTGGCGTCCGGCGCTGCACAGCGAGCCCACCTCGAACATGTTTCGAGCGGCGCAGGCTTGGAACCCACCAGTCTCAGTGACCAACGGAGGTCAGTCTCGAAAATGTTGGAACCCATTTCTTGGGTTCTCAACCTAAGTGGGCTCTAACCAAGATAAGTCAGCCAACCCCAGTCGTCCTCGTAACCGAAGAACATGACACCCCAAAGAGGCACCCAGAGCCCGCCTCGCCTGTTGCTGCCTGGCGTGCCTCGCCGAGAGCGGGCCACTGCCACCTGAACACGGGGTGCGCTGAAGGGAACACCTCCATTTCGGGGGTCACCCGATAAACACAGACCCATTGGGTCTCTTCCGAATCAGGAAACACAAACTGGCTGGCTTTCGCGTGGTTCCCCTTCAACTCACCATCCCAAGGGGATTTCAACAACTGGTATTGCGTCTTATCATTTTTGAAGGCTTGCAAGACCACTCAACGGTTGTCCTATTGCCTGTCCAGCCATAATGAGATGAGAGGCTTCGCCATGCTTGATGGGTCCATTGAAAATCAATACCAACAAGTGCACCCCTTAATGGAATGCATTCAAGGACAGGAAATGAAGCGGGCCAAAACGGGAAAACCATAAAATGCCAGTAGCAATGAAGGTATATCTTTCGTCTTTGGACCTTACGCGCGCCAAACCAACGGCAAAGCCGAAGATCCAGTGTCTTTTCCTCTTGGCCAAGCGGGTTGCGTGCAAAGAGGGCATGCCTTTTGGAGCTTCTAGAAGCCAAAGGTAAGTCAGCAATGTTCAGGGCTCCCACCATTCCTGTCCTTGAGGAGAAATAGATGGGCTTCCCTAGTAAATGGGCCATAAAGTCAATCCAAACCAGTAGCATCTATTTGCAATCTAACCTAAAAAGGCCACCTATGGCTCCCATATTCAGAGACAAACCGAAGCGAGTGCAACATCGCTCGTTTGACTCATTGCCAGGGTACGCCAGTGACCGCGCCCACCGCGCTGTGAACGCCTGCGCAGAGGAGCTTCGGGCAAACTTCCACACCCTGCTGGAAAAGCACCTGTTTTCCCGCAGCGCCAAGGCGATCAATAGGTATTGTCTAAAAAAAATGCTCTCCCGCTCGGACGTCTTGTCAGAGGAAATGAAAGCAGCAGAAGTGCATGATTCGGCCAACGCCTAGATTGCCATTTCACTCAGCTCGCCATGCAAACAAGCTGAGTTAACATCAACTCCTTCTGGCGTCGCTTTCAGAGGAGCCTTCTGTGGCAAATTTGGGCATGCCCAAATCCGCAATTTTGAGGTTGCAAGCCCGCTTGGTGACCCCATCTTGTCCTTAATTATGCACAATCCATATAGCGGGTTGACAAGACAGTGAACCCTAAAAGGTGCTGTTTAGACCAACACGGGCATTTTGTGTGTTCCCAGCCTGAAGGGTATGTCTTTGGTGCGTGTAGGTCAACCCCTTGAGCCCCCCCCTCAGAATTTTGCTGCTCCGCAGTGGCCTAACGTGGGCCAGCTGGCGGGCGAGTTCGCTGAGTGCCCGTAGCCCTCGCAGCTGGCAGTTGCATTTTGTTTGATCCGCAAAGGACAACATCTATGCACTATTGATTCCAATAGCTGGGAACTCAAGGAGTTGCACCGGAATGATAAAGAGTGAGAAATTACGCTGTGCACGTTGCCATGGAACCGGACTGAGGAATCCTGGACTATTTCCCTTAAGGGACCCCTCTAGTGGAGGGTATTTCTTGGTCGTACCTTGCGACTCCTGGAGCCCAAATACTGTGATCCGTGCTAAATGAGCTGCATGGTGTTGGCAGCAAACATCCCGAAATGCGAAGGGCAAACAGCTAGCCCGCAACTGACTAGCTCGCCAAGAATGACAAACTATCGCATGACTAGGCCCTCAACACAGCTAACTAAGCAAAGAGACTGGCTAGGTAAGTGTCAAGTTGCTAGCAAGAAAGCATGTTACTTTTGGAACTAGCCATGGCTGGCTCGTCCTTCCGTGGTCGCGGGGACTCGGCGACCGGGGAGGTACGTTTTGGCGGGCAATCAGTCTGCGATGATGCGACAATAAGATGGCCTGGTGATTTCCGCTGAGTACAGGCCATACACAAGTTTGTACCAAGCCTCTCTCATGGAATCTGGTTGGTCTTTGCCGTACTTCTCAAACAAAACTGAAGCAAGTGGAAAAGCACTCACATGAGACGGGGCAACTTGCTTGAACATACTGGTAGAGCACTTTCGGAATAAGCGGCGGAGGATGTACGACCAAAAGCGCAGCTTCAAAAGGAGTGGGGACGTCTGAGCAGAACTGTCCAAAAATGATGGGGCGTTTACCCTCCAACCAATAAACACCGAACAACATGATTGCAGCTTCATGGAAGACCGTGCTTTTGAATGGATCTTCTATCGGGATGCATCTCAGTGGGAGGGAGGGTAAAGGGTAATCACCTGTCACACTTGTGGCTTGGCATCTTCCTCCTGGCCGTCCCCAGTGTGGCGTGGCTTGTGTCAGACTCAGCCTTGTGCATTGCCAGTCGCAAAACTGCCTGACCAAAGGCCAAGTTACTGCGTTTAAATTTATCTCGCCCAGTGGATCCATTTCCTGTATAGTAGGTTACCAAGGGAACACCCTTCAAAAACCAAAACAAGAATAGCTAGTTACCTAAAACGTAACTGGGATCCACTGGGTTGCTTTTGATTTCAATCCCTTGAGTAGTACACCCTCTGGAGTGAACACCCAGTTCTGTGACTCAGTTCTTGAGCCGCGGCAAGACTTGCAACTGGCCTGCGCTCGAGCGGGCGTTGTTAACCTGGCAACATGGCTCTGTGTGTGTGTGTGTGCGTGTGTCTGTCTGTGACTGTTTGTCTGTGCAACTCAGTGTGTGTGTGTGTGTGTTGTGTGTGTTGTGTGTGTGTGTGTTGTGTGTGTGGTGTGTGTGGTGTGTGTGTGTGTGTGGTGTGTGTGGTGTGTGTGGCGTGTGTGGTGTGTGTGGGGTGTGTGTGTGTGTGGGGTGTGTGTGTGTGGGGTGTGTGTGTGGGTGTGCGTGTGCGTGTGGGTGCGGGTGCGGGTGCGGGTGCGGGTGCGGGTGCGGGTGCGGGTGCGCGTGCGCATGCGCGTGCGCGTGCGGGTGCGCGTGCGGGTGCGGGTGCGGGTGCGTGCGCGTGCGCGTGCGCGTGCGCGTGCGCGTAGCGTGCGTGTGCGTGTGCGTGTGCGCGTGCGTGCGTGTGCGCGTGCGCGTGCGCGTGCGCGTGCGCGTGCGCGTGCGCGTGCGCGCGTGCGCGTGCGCGTGCGCGTGCGCGTGCGCGTGCGTGTGCGTGTGCGTGTGCGTGTGCGTGTGCGTGTGCGTGTGCGTGTGCGTGTGCGTGTGCGTGTGCGCGTGTGCGCGTGCGTGCGTGCGCGTGCGCGTGCGCGTGCGCGTGCGCGTGCGCGCGCGCGCGGCGCGCGCGCGCGCGCGCGTGCGTGCGTGCGTGCGTGCGTGCGTGCGTGCGTGCGTGCGTGCGTGCGTGCGTGCGTGCGTGTGTGGGTGTGGGTGTGGGTGTGGGTGTGGGTGTGGGTGTGGGTGTGGGTGTGGGTGTGGGTGTGGGTGTGGGTGTGGGTGTGGGTGTGGGTGTGGGTGTGTGTGTGTGTGTGTTTGTGTTTGTGCTTGTGTTTGTGTTTGTGTTTGTGTTTGTGTTTGTGTTTGTGTTTGTGCTTGTGTGTGTGTGTCTGTGTGTCTGTGTGTCTGTGTCTCTGTGTATCTCTCTCTCTCTCTCTCTCTCTCTCTCTCTCTCTCTCTCTCCGTCAGTCAAATTTTCAGAGTAGGTGTTGGGTTTCGGTGGCTGTCTGAGTACCATAGGAGTCCCGTAAAACTAGCGGCTTTCTTTTCAAAGTCAGCTTCCTTTGCGTCACACCATCCCCAAACACGAGATGACTCAGTGGGACATGGCAGTGCTGGTTGCCTGCTACCAAACGCGGTCGGCTGAGTGTCTCCAACGGCTGAGCTGCTCACTCCCGTCACCAAATCTGGATGCAACGCGCCTATGCCAGGTCGATGTTGGCCCCAGCGCACGTTGGATGCCATCTGGAGCACACAGCACGCAAAGGGGGCCATCAAGCATAAAATTCTGACTGCGCCAGGTCAAAATTGTTAGCAGTGGCTGGACGTCACAAATCAAATCATATTAGGGTGTTGGGAGTGTCCCAATGTTGTGCCCAAACACTTGTCATTGACATGTTCACCATGACGAAACTCCAAGTGCGAAGTTGATAAATGCACCAAAGCGGGTTCCACTATGTTCTATGTTGCTGATCTCTTGTTGGCAATCCAAGTAGTGTGAACGTCAGATTAATCCACAGGACTGCACTCCTCAGGGGTGGTTTCCCCTTCACTCTTCACTGGGAAGTTCTTGATGTTAAGGGTACCACCAAACAGAATGGTGCTCCGGATCTATCTGAAGCTGACATTCTCCCAGGACTCACTCTGCTGTGGCCCATTTACTGTAGGGCTATTGAGGATGTCGAGGGGCAGTCCCAGTTTCTGGCCACCCCTGGGAGTTTCGATGACCAAAGCCAGAGGTCTACAAACTCCCAACCGACCCAAACCTTAGCTCGGCACCCGGCTGCATGAAGGACACGAGATGTCACTTCCCTGTGTGTCCGGCTTCTGAATCACAACTAGACCGGTATACAGCCCAACGCTTGAGCAAGTACCTCAACCAACCTCATGACTCATGATGTGTGTGTGTGTGTCTGCGGTTGGCTTCTTGGTTCAACTATTTGCAAACCAAAAGTGACAGCTGACGTGCTGTCGGCCACGAAACCTTCAGCTAGCCACTCAAACACGCTAGGGTCCGAAGATGTCGTAGTTTGACCCCAATCCGAAAGGCTGTTGCGTCTGGCTTGCTCGCCAGCGCTCGTGGTAAAAGAAGCTGATGAGAACTGCCTGCTTGAGGTGTCTTGCGAGTTGATATTATCATTGCCGCAGTCTTGACATGCTTGTGGTGAGGATTTCTAAGTTTATTTTGGCTCACTGGTGGCACAATGGCTTGCAATCCGGAAGAGAGGCGAGCATGCAAACTGTCTCTGGTCGTGAGACATGCATGTGGACAAACTAAAAGACCTCCCTCGAACTTCCTTGGGGGGGGTGAAAGGGGCGTCAGCTCTTTCAGCGGACACATTTCAATTGTGTCAGCCTGTCTTTTAAAGAGGTCCCCTCTGAGGGGTCCCAACTGTGTCATATCACTGGGGCAGACTCCAACTTTTTGCCGATCTCTGCGAGGAGCATTCTTTGGCTCCGCCCGAGGCAGCACCAAACGATCAACCGTCGCACCCTAAGTCTCCCGGGCCCAGCGGTGCGGTCAAGTATGGAGCCAACGCCATACTGGCAACACAAGGAGATAATGATAAAATATGAATGTGGATCAGGCCCCTCCAAATGGTGAATACTTTGCGATTCCCGAGCAGCCCCACCGGAAGTGAAAGTGCAACATCCGCAAACTTCCGTGTAGACATAATTCAAGATATTTTTGGTGCACTAGATCATATGATGGCAACAAAAAGTTGGCTTGTACTTGGTGCCTTTTGAGCCTCGCTTCCAATATCTCCCCAAGCATCTCGCCTTCCAGAGTCGGCCTCAATCCTGTGAAACACATGACAAGCGCCCAGCGTCAACCGGGGTCTAAGCTCTGACCGTTTTGGCAAAGTGCATCTGCCAAATATCTTGCCGTCAGAGTGATTATGTTGAAGGAACAACAACAATGCTACTGTTTGAAAACGAGCTCGGTCTGCAAGCCCGATTTCACAGCGGTAGTTTGGTGAGTCTGTACCAAGCAATTCCAACCCCTTTTGTGCTGTAGACGATAGTCAGTATGCTGATGCTTGATGCTACTGACGCCAATGCATATGCTGGTGCTAATGCTGATGCTCGTGATGATGATGATCACGATGGGATCATGATGATGATGATGATAATGATGATGATGAAAGCGATGGTGATGATGATGATGTTGATGATGATGGTGCCGGTGCCGGTGCCATATCGTTCTGGTGGTGGTGGTGGTGGTGGTGGTGGTGGTGGTGGTGGTGGTGGCGGCGGCGGTGGTGGTGGTCCTGCTCCTGCTCCTGCTCCTGCTCCTGTCCTGCTGCTGCTGTTGCTGCTGCTGCTGCTGCTGGGGTTAACAGCAAGATGTGACGGCCGAAGTCGCATAACAATCGAAAATCAGCCTAGTTGGCAAGGCAACATGCGATGCTTCAAGACATATACGACTGATTAAGACACCCTAAGACACTTTAAACCGTCCGACACCTCAAAACATCTCACACAAAAGCGCCAACGGTGACTTTCCGGTTGCGTCTCGCCCGGACTCCCTCTCCTGGATTTCCTCGAGGATCTGCTTTGCCTCTGCCTCGGATCTGGCCGCCGCTTCTTCGTCGCCCATCTGCGCCTGGTGTCGCTCTTGAATCAAGTGGCCTACAAATGGCTATGGCTCCAAGTCGGACATCCAACGCAACTCCAAAGTAAAGACTTACTGTAGGGGGCACCTAGTTGCAGCTCGGACTGTCTTCTACTGACCTTAAATGCTGTTGAGTGTAACTTAGATACAAGGTGTCTGGGCGGGGACATTTCTTTTCGCTAGGTTTCGGTCCAAAAAGGTGATGCCTAAATACACAGAAATAAATACGCGCATCTTTGCAGGGGACCCCCAAAAATGCCCAACCTGCGCCAGCCAGGCGAGCCGCTCGCTCATTCAGGGCGCCCGCCCAATCCTCGCCTGGGCAACGGAGAGGTTCTGCAGCACGCGAGCACCCAAATCGGTCTCCAGCAGCTCGTTGTCCTTGGGACCACGGGGTGTCTAAAACACAAACCAACATGTAGCATGAGCTGTACTCTACAAGACGCAACAAAACAAACAAAGATGAAACAAACACCCATGCCCCTTCTGGCTTCCTGAGAAGCTTAAGGATCAGCTATCATTGACAGTATGATGCCTGATGTGTTGTTGACATTTCGAAACACTGGAGCTGATAGGTGTTTCAAAGGAGCAACGGTCAACGGAACCCGCTTTGCAGGGAACCCACTGCGCGGCTCGGCAGATTCCGTCAGTCCTCCAAGACTGCAAGGGCCGCCTCAAAACTGGCCACGGCCTCCTCCAAGATGCCGCTTTGGGCCTGGCGATCAGCATCCCTCGATCAGTTTGGATGGGTGGTTTGGAGTTGGGTGGTTTCCCATTTACCCACAAGAACCAGGGAGTTCAACTCCCCCAACCACTCCAAACCAACAAAGGTTGCCTGAGCAGAAAAAGCAACCAGGCAGAGGGGGGCTCATCAACAGTGGCAGCTATGGCGGGTTGTTCGCAAATCCATAGGGGGCTTTCAATGCAACAAGGGAAATGCCATTTGCCATGAGGACTGAGCTTCGTGGGTCAATTCGAGGCTTGGGCAGCTTTTCTTCGGTTCCGGAAGGTTCCGGGGGCATGCTTGAGCGAAGCATCTTCCCGGCACCCGTTCAGCATGGTGCCACAATGGGGGTACAGTGAGACTACTCTGTCACTCGACAAAACCCTAAGAAAATCGCAACCAAACGAATCTTCCCTTCGAATCCTCCAAGAAGCTTGAAGCATTAGTGCTCTACCCCAGTGCTTCCGGCTACCGCTGTAGTTGGTAACCAGTGGAAACCATCATGTAAAACCTAGAGGTAGCAAAGCCTGGTTACCTACTGTAGTGGTAACTGGAAGCACTGCATACGCTGTACACTGCTGTATGCACAAGCACAACGACTCTCTTGCCACAGTCCGAAATGTGGAATCTGTAGTGATAACTCCCCCGTAAACAAATCCAACCCGAAACATATGGAGTACATGCACCCTCTGGAAAACAACAAAGTTAACGTGATGGTTAACAAACTTAGAGGTTCTTCAAAACATGCCACAACGCAGCACCAGGGTCAAAGAGGACATGCTGTGACATACTGTTGATGGACAAGACCCACCAAGCATGAACCACATATTAAGAGCTGTCCATCATATTCGAGATGACAACCCCCGCCCTCCAGAGCTCCCAATATATCCCCTAAAAAACATCTGCCTGCCAAAAGGAAGCTCACTTTAAAAAATTAGGCGATGGTTAAAACCACGAAGGGATCTTTGTAGGGACCCCTGCCCACCCCCTCCCCACCCCCACCCAACATGACGATCCAAGACCCATCGGCCTTGGCAATGGCCATGTTCACCAGGACATCCGCCCCGAGGCGTGTGTCCAATAGGTCCAGCTCCTGAAGATGAAAGGGACACTAAGAAGGACACCGCGCATTTTGGGGGTCCCCCGATTTTGAGACAAACCAGTTGCCCCTCAAATGGCCACAAGCGAAGCTTCAGGGTCTTTTCGGCTCTTCGCGCCGTGAGGACATTCCGAATCGGAGGGACCGAACCAACTGAACCAACCAACAGCTGAAACACCCTAGCCGTCCCTTGGGAACAAAACAAATATCCAACCAAACAAAAGGAAAAAGAGGCAACTACCAGGCTGACTACTCTTCTCAACGGCCCTATTTCCACAAACAAAATACTCTCCATGTTTTTTTCTTGGCTTCCTACGCCTCACTCCAAACTTGCCAAATGGCCAGGGGAGGCATCTGCTTTCTAGGGTCCATGATGTTTTCAAAACGACCAACGCCAGCCCCAGAGTCTCTCGCTCTGTCTCTCTCCCTCTCCAATTTCCACCAACCCGCCCACAAAGACCTGAGAGAGAAAATCATTGGCATAACCATGACCAAACCCAGAATGTAGTGTTACATAAGTCACATGTCCCGTGTTGCCCGGGTCGGTTTGTGGGGGGAACCCTTTGAGAGGCGTGAACAAGCGCCCTTGACGCATTTTCAGAGTCGATACTTTTGTTCCCAAGCAGCACATAAGTCAAGTTTGGCGAGTAAGCCCCGCGTTTCGCTAGTAAACCGGGGGCGGGGGTCTACAAAGGGAAAGGACCCCTGTTTGGACTTGCAATTTCTTTTGTCCTATGCGGCGAGGGGTGTCCAACTGCTAGGATCCATTGGCAAGCCCAAGCACTTGATCGAACATTCCCCCTCTTTGCTGATATCCAGCCTGTGCTCACTCAAAGCCAGCTGAGCAAGTGGCGGAAACACCGTCGATGGCCCTTTCTTGAGGAACTTGGTGATTGCCAACTCTGCAGCGTTGCCCCATACTAAAGTAGTATTGCCCAATGCTAAGTAGCCCCCGATCATTCAGTTCCAGAATTGGATTTGTTGGGGACAAAACCTTCGGAACCTAGGGTGGTTCTAACACCGATGTCAACATTCATGCGTCTCTCAAATTCGCATGCCTCCCTCAAGCTCCTCAGGCCGGGTGGTTTTGTCACTGGCACCATCGACGTACGGATGCTGCCCTCTAGAGCGCCCGTAAACCTGATCCCAATCCCAAGGAGTCCATAAGGTCTGATCGTCTTGGGAGCTCTTTCAGCGGATTCCGGAAATTCTACGTTTGGACTGCATTTGACCAATAACAAAGCCGAAAGAGCGTGAGACCCAGAGAAGAGAAGGGGCTCCCCCGAAAAAGTGGAGCTTCGACTCGTTGCACATCTCCCGCTCCTCCGCCAGCTGTCGTGCGCTCTCGTGGTCCTCCAGCGCTCTGTCCAGGTCCCCCAAGTCTGCATAAGCCAGGCCTGTCGGACGTTGGCACCAGTTGGGATTTTCAGTCCGCCTGCGTCCTGTGAAACGCTAAGAGGCGGAATCCTTTCAGGCGGGCATCCTTTTGGTCTCCTAAGCAAAATAAAGCTCTTGCAGAACCTTCCAGGAGGCATCACTGCCAGCTACTGGTTCTGTACCGAATCCCAATACATGTAATCCATCCAACTGGCGGTCTCCTAGGGAAGATTTAGCTTTTGTTCTCTTTGTTAATAGGAACCATGGAGTTACATTAGTTTTTTTTTCTCTTGAAACAAACAACCAAGCCCAAACGGCTTTTCTCCAAACCAACCCACCGGATTTCCAGCCGGCGACGTTTCTCGAACCGCCTCGCTTCGTGAGGATCAGCGCTTCGGCGCGCTGCTGGCCCGCCGCAACGGCGGCGACCTTGGCACGGTCGTAGGCCGCCACAGCCTTGTCCGCCTCGTCGGCCTCAGCTGCCACCGGTGACACGAAGGAAGCACCCAAATGTGTTTGTGTTTGTTTGTTCTTTTGTTTCTTGGGGGGAAAAGGGTTCTTGGTTTTCGCTTTTCAGGTTGGCTCTACAAAACCACAAGTTGTTTGGGTTCCCCATTCTTTGACACATGCCTGATTCTGCTCCATCGTGTGTCAAGGCCGCCTGGGCGCCCCGGGTGCCACCCCTGCATGGGCACACCCGTATCGTACACACAGGGCAGCTTGACCACTCTCGCCAATCCCAGAAATTAAAATGGGAACGACTGTTTGGAGGATTTTGTTGCCGAAGGCCTTAACGGGGTGGGTAGAGGATCTTTTGGAGGGCCATGATGATGATTAGATGTCCCCAGTGCGGTTCCATAGCGTTGCTGTCCCTTGCAACATGCTTGCAAGTTAACCAAACAGCATGGGAAAGTACAGGGAAATGATATCTCCTCACGAGCTAATATGTCATGAAGTACACAAATAATGTTCGACCAATCACGCGGCATGGAACACTCAGTACACTCCCATCTACTAACATGGAACGCCCCTTAAAAGCAATGTGGCTTCCAAATATCTTCAGACTGGTGTTCTGTCAGAAAAAAACATAAGTAGGACAAATATAATTAAAACAAAAACAAAAGCAGGCCTCTCATCATTCAAAAAAGAGAGCCCACCAGCATGACTTCTTCCAAAGCAACTTTCCAAAACCCAAGCCCCAGGTAGACCCATACGATCCTCAGCCTTGCAGGACACCTACTGTTTTGGATAAGGGCATGGCAAGGGACAGCCCACATGAGCGCTCTATAACCTTAAACCCGCAGTCTTTAAGTAGGGCTGATAGCAACCGCTCCCCTTCGCTCGCCTCGAAGTAGGCGTCCGCCAGTGTCATGCTCACCTCCGCGTCCAGCGTGAGCACCGAGGCCGCCAACTCCAAAGCGCCCACGGCGGCGGTCAGGTCCTCCCGCTCCTCGGAAGCAAATCGGCACCAAAGTAGTGATTGATGCAAGTGGGCTATTTGGGGGGGAGGGGGGGTGCCACAGAAGCGTATGAGTGATTATTGCAAAGTGGGGTAGTTGAAGGGCAGTCTGTTTGTTGGAATTATGGTTATGTTTTGGGATCGGACGAGCTTCCAAAACAACTATAATTGAAGCAATAAACAACTCATTGGAGAAAGCACCTAAGCACACGTCTGGCGTTGCATCCAGGCGCTGGAAGCAAGGAACCACACCCAGATCCGTGTCTCTAAATCGGGGAACGCCCTTCCACTTTTTTGCATGGGGATGGCAATCGGATGGGTACGCAATTGGCTTGATGTTCAAAGGAACCAAAGGGAAAGCGACCATTTCCGCAGTCGAAACTATTTCAAGGAACCACACCCACACGACCCTCCAAAGGGAGGAACCATACCAAAATGCAACCCTAGATGCAAGCTTGTCAAAATTCGGGGGGTGCCCTATGTAAATAATTAGGGGAGCTCCTCGTCATGTCCCCATGGAGCCATCTGGTTGCTTAGCGTCCAGATAGCACTGGCCCAGGCGAAAAAGCACCCGCGCCCCAGCTTCGGTCTCCCGCAGGTTTCGCTGGTTCTGCATCATGGCCTTGGTCGCCTCTCGGGCCCCCGAGGGGTTGGCTTTGGATTTACGGGGTGTGAACATGCGATTGTTTGAACACTTGGGTGTTCTTTTTTTAGAGCTATATATCGACCCTTTGTTGCCGCTTATCAAGGGCAACCAATAGGAAACCAGCAATTTGAGGGAGTCCCCTAAAAAGACACCCATTTGGTGGCTTTGAACATGCGGTGGTTTGAACATGCGGTTCAAACAATTCAACGGCCTGGCTTGAACTAACCCGCATGCCTACACCCAAGCACCCTTTGGGTTTCCCTGGAGGGCCATGCTTGAACCAAGGCTTAAGCCACCAGACTGGCGTCCCTATAAATGGCCTCCAAAACTTAGGCGTTCCTTCTCCAATATGGGTGTGTCTCTTTTGGATTTGGACCCCCAATGCTGAGCTTCCTTTTGGTTTCCGCTTAAACCCAACCAAACGGGAACCCTCACAAAACGACAGCCCCATATAAATCCCTTTGATTGGGGGTATGCGATTGAACAGAAAGTATTTGAACCGTTTTGGGGAGCACTCCCTTAATCCGCGTTGATTCCCTTAATCTGCCTTTGGCGTCACGGCACTTGCGTCTCGCCTCCAACTCCTCGAGGGCGGCCTGACATCCGAACTGATGCTGGGGGTAGACCGACGCCATTCGGGGGGATCCCCGAAACAAAGTACCTAGAACCTGTAGATGGACCTCTGAACATGGTCACCCCAGCTGACTTTGAGAAATCCCAGAAACCACCAACAATGGACCCTTTGCCCTTTGCCAAAAATTAACCCCGGAAACTACATCCCCATTTGACTTTGAGCGACTCCTAGACCTTGGCCTAAAAAGAAAGGCAACGCCCCCTGTTCTGGCAGGTGGTTTGGGATAGTCTCGGACCCCCAACCTAGGACAACGTAGGCTGCTCACAAAATCCTAGGCCGCAAATGGGAGGTTCGCTCATCGCTTGCAGACAAACAGAGGTGTCATCACGGCATGAACAACGCACCGAGGATTTTCATGTTTCTTTTCGGAACATGTACAAAAGAATGCAATCAAACTGATGGCCCTCTTTCAGGCATGTGGGCAGGAACCTTTCCCACAAGAAAGTAGTCTTCCGAGCCTCTCCCGTGAGAATCCCTTTTGGGAGTGAGAGCAGCCAGCGAAACTCATCCATAGCAAACTGACAAGGGACGCCTCTGAACCTTTGAGGCTCGAGCGATGTATTGCATGTCCTTTCCAAGGGGTTGTGCGTCCTTTTGCCGGTCATATGAGAACGGCCATGGTTCAAAGGCTGGCCATTGCAAAGGGCACTTTAGGCACTGGTGACTAACCAACTCTGAGCATCTGAAAAGGGCGCATGTTGCTCTGATCGCGTCGCACGGTCACTCACATCCGCGCAAGCTCTAAGCCCCCCTGCAGCGTATGGACACTCGACACGTGCCATCTATTTTTGCGCAGCCATCCTCCTTTGGGCTTTAACTGAAATTCTGTATATTCTGTTGGCTTGCTACCACAAGACCCGCAGCCAAAAAGCGACCTCCGGCCCCTGGCTCCCCGACCAAAACGCGGATGCGCTCGAGGCGCCGCAAGGTCGTTGCGCTGCATGTGGGCCTGGCCCAGCAGAGCGCTCAGCTCCACGGCCACGGAGCTGCCCGACGCGCCGCTCGCCTCACGAAAAACGCGCCTTGGCTTGGGTGAACTTCGCATGGGAACCCAAGAAACGAAGAAGGGTGGTGGAATCGATTTTTGCTAGCAAAAGATAAAAATATGTCTCAGGATTCTGTGGGTGCCACTGAAAACTGGGCATCCCGAGCTTCAAGTTGCAGTTTGAGGGCTTGCACATTTCTTTGGGCGCTTCCCTGCTTGTCCCACCATTTGGAAGGATACTTTAGTGCTTGGAGCCTAAACCCTAAAGTTGGGGCAGTTCAACCCGGAGTCGCAATCCAAAACCAAGACCTGATACTAAAGGAGTCGAATTTGCTAACACTTGTGCCTTCTTTAAAAACAAGAAAAGAAGACGAAAAAACATGGCGGAAAGCCACCACTATTTGTTGCGACTGTGGCAAGTGGCTAGTAATTGGCAGGTTGGCTGGTATGGTGCAAGGCCACGGGTAGGCGAACAAAAACATGTCATAGGAGGCAAAATAAACAGGGCACCTTTTGAGACCTGGGAGCAGTTTATTGCACCGTCAGGAAAGTAATATAAGGGGATCCCAAAACGGGGTCACCATGTGTGTTCGGCCCACACATACTTTGAGCACTCAACGGGTACCTGCATTTGGTTCAAAGGATCGGCTGCATGTTTTGAGGTTTTGGGTAGGCCATGGTACATCTCGCGCCCTGGCGTCCATATTTCAAGAAATGGTCGCTGTGAATATGTATGCATATCCATCCATCCATCCATCCATCCATCCATCCATCCATCCATCCCTGCATCCATGCATCCATCCATCCATCCATCCATCCATCCATCCATCCATCCATCCATCCATCCATCCATCCATCCATCCATCCATCCATCCATCCATCCATCCATGCATCCATGCATCCATGCATCCATGCATCCATGCATCCATGCATCCATCCATCCATCCATCCATCCATCCATCCATCCATCCATCCATCCATCCATCCATCCATCCATCCATCCATCCATCCACCAACCCAGCCAGAGGCAGCCAGCCATCCGCTATTGCCATGAGAATGTTGCGGTTGATCCTTCCCCAAACGGGGGGAATCTCGCGACATAAAGGGCTCAGCTTCCAGATGCGCACCTCCAGGGCACTCCTCGCGGACTGGAAGGCGGTCAAGGCTTCCAAGTCCTCCCCTCGTGTGAAGCCGTCGGATTTTCGGAAGCCCAGGACCAGATCCCAAATCGGGCACCTTCCTTGCCCAAGCACCTGGAAACGTCCATAAAAGGTTAACCTTTTGGAACCTGACGAAATATGGACCAAGTCAGGGAGACAAAAAGGTTGAAAGGGCGATTCGCTTTGAGCTAGTAGGGGAACCAAACGGGTTCTCCATTTGGAGACATCTAAATCCTTTGGGTGTCTGGTCGATGGCAAGAGGAAACAAGCCGTTTTGAGGGATATTTTCAGACCCATGTCTTTTCGGAGCAAACATAGTGGGTCATGGGGCACACGAGTTTGTGTGGATTTACCACCGGCCTGAGGGCGTTAAGCACTACATAGAGTTGTTGGCATGTATCGTCGTTAGGGAATGGAAGCGAATGCTTTGATACGTGTGACAAGCACACAGTAGGTATCTATGTTTGTTGCACGTTGGGCTGGTCTCCCGATGCTGCTGATCAATGTTGACAGTGCGGCGGTTTGATTCATGTCAGCAGGATAAGTTTGGTGATACCCAACATGCCAGCTCAGAGAATGTGTGATGTCTTCACAGTTCGACGCGTCACCTGTCGCAGGTGGTTTCGGTGTCAGCGGAAGCACAAGGACCCACCACAGCAAATTGTCGCCCCATGCATACAAGACAATTGGCAAATGGGACAGGAAGCGAAGTCCAGCTGCCCGGAAGGCCACGCCCGAAGGTAGATTCGGCAGCGCTGCGTGAGAGCAATCTCTCTGGAGAGAAGCGCGCAAATCGAACGCAAAAACGTGCCAGCATCACAAGTCGAGGGAGGGAGAGAGGAAACCGAAGAAGAAAAAACGACGAAAAGGAAACAAACAAGAGACAGAGCGAGAGAGAGAGCAATGTTGCTCGGTCACTTCAAACGCCCCTGCAAGTGCACAACAACAACAACAACTGGATACTTGACACACTTATCTTCCCAAAAGGGGTGGAACCTGGCGCCTAGTCGGGTGTAGCGCTTGGGCTCGTTTTTTCGTCCACAAAGCCGAGGCGCCATCTCTCTGCATCAGCGTAGATCCCAGATTCATCCAAAGCTTCGCACCTCCAGCGATGAGGGCGAACGTTGATGCCACTATTCCTTTTCTGTCCGCTGAAGTTAATGCATAAACTGTGGGGAGGTTGTGCCATCTAGTTTCACCCCAACTGTAGGTCTCCCAACTTGTAGGATGAACCCACGGAAACATCAACTCATATAAATGGTCCCTTCATGAGGGGCCGCGCCAGGGACACTTGCGGACAATTTTCGCAGCTCCAAAGTCATTGAACACCACAGTCCAGGTTGCCAAATATAGATTCCAAGTGTCCATCGCAAGGCTTCCGTTGACCATCCCTTGAAACCGACACACCCACGTCCGACTGAAGTAACTACTCTGCAAAAATGGAATGATTTTTGGATCTCATGTCAAGCAGTGAGATTCCTGAAGCCAGTACAATGATTACTGACACACATGATTGTTGGCTTAGAGTACCCCCGCAACCCCGTTCTCATTGCTCAGCCTGGGTCCATCAAAGTGACACCACCAAAGTTACCCTAAAAATGGTGGCTTAAAAGACACACACACACACACACCCAAGTACTCTCCCCCCCCCTCAAATACAATCGCTTGAAGGGACCATCTGTCATATCAGTGTCAGGAGGGCCAAGAGTAGCGCCCAATTTCGCCTGCCACCGACTGCAGCTGGCCCTTCTCCTCGAAAATGCGCTCGGCGTGCCGCAGGCTCCGGATGGCCTCCGCTCCAAAGCGAGATAGGCGATCGGTGCGATCCGATAGGTAGGGAATGAGAGATGGCATGACCCCTACAAACCATCCCTTGTGGTTTCTGTTAAGGGATCCCTATTTTCATTCCTGCATTCCCTGCCTATCGCACCAGCAAGGCGATTCCCTCATCCGATATTCACTTGTTGGTTGATGTAAAGGGACCCGCCAACAAAGGAAAGCGCAGCCTGCAAGCCACTACATAACTGGATGCGGCAAGCGAAATGTGGGAATCACTTTGGACTGCTGCTTATTCCAAGATATCAGCAGCGCATAGTTATCATATGCCAAATCTGGCCCCGTTGCCGGTGGGCAAAACAAAAAGAGCACATCAAAACATGGGGATAGCATGTGCTATATATATATACACACTATGAAACACAACCATAATACAGCCATAGAACATGCTTATAAAAATAACACCGAGTCAAACCAAACACCCTCGCTGCTCAATTGGTTGCTAACAAGCACTTGGCAAAGGGGCAATATAATTTTGTCTAGGGGTCTTTGCCTTGGCAACTGCGGATCAACATCGGACTCAACGAGTGGAAGCACCGCGCCGCGAAGCGAAGCGCCTCCTCCAGCTGCTCCGCCTTGGACTGCTGGGCCGCGAGGTTCACCAAAAGATCTGCGCCCTCCTGGGTTCGGAGCCCAAAAAGGCCCAACTGGGGCGGTCAACATCAGGTGAGTGGGTCATAACCATGGTTTTGACTGGGGTAACTGGGGGAATCGTCTCCTTACCATGCTCTTATAACCTCACCTGACGTTGAACACCCAAGAAGGGATCTGGGAGGAATTCAAGACTTGGTTTCGAACCTGGGCCACTGGTTCAAAATGGGAAGGTCCTGAGGCTATCGACATAAATTAGTCCTAATATATTCGGGTATGTCGAAATGGTGGATTTGGATTTGGACCCAGCAAATTGTTTCGGTCTTCCGTTTGAATCCCAAAACGGGTACCCTCAAAAAAGACAGAACCATGGCCTTTGGTAGACCCGCTGAATACCATGCAGGTTTGACTCAAACGAATGCTCGTTGCAGGAGCTCCCACTATCTTTTTCCTGCACACCCCAAAAGGAAGCTCACTCAAAAACAGGGCAGGTCCAACAAATGGTGAAAACCAACGGTGCACTCACAGCACTGCTTTCAAGGTGATGCTCAAAAGCCACCCACTTCCGTTTCATTGCACCAAACAAATGCCCCTGGACTTTCTTGTCTCTAGAATCTAGCACCCAAAGGTGGCTAAGCTCCAACTCAGGAAGCAAACTCCAAACTTTCTGTTTGCCACTAGATTTGATCCCCAACTTGGTTGCTGTTGACCCCCCTGCAAAAAGTTTGATTTTTTGGGGGTTTAGTGGAAAACCCAACTTGATTTTCCAAAAAGTTAAAGTCTAAAGATCCAACCCAATAGCAGTCAAGAAAACTGTCCCTGCTATTTTAGCATCATCAAAGTCGTTCCCCTTGGCGGTCCTATTGGAAGAGGAACCCAAACTGACTTTGATACCTCTTGTAGAGTAGTTAAAAACAGCATGTCTGAATTCCAAACTCGCGGGTCGCGGGCCCGGAAGAAAGGATTTCAGGGGAGTGACCCAGAGTGTCACCAGTCCTGACTAGCGCGCGATTGCACTTCACTGTTTTCTCAAAATAGGGGACCAGGTTGGTTTCCCTTTCAAGCCCTCCCAAAAGCGGTCCACCATTTTGAGAAACGCCTTCATGTGCAACCTAAGACCATCCCAGTTTGCGAAGTATGGCTTGGGCCTCCATTAGCCCTGGATTGCAAATTGTCGTTTGCGCGTTTCCTGAGCAGGGGACATAGACACATTACGTCTTGTTTCCCGTCGCATGTTCCATGGATCTTTGGGTGCTCGTAGAAGGCTGGATCGGCTTATCATGCTCCTCAGGAGCCGATAGCAGAAAAGATCGCGTGAGAGCGGACAGTGGTTCTGCCAAATTTGCCACGCCTTCTGCGCCATGCGCGACTGGAGCGATGGTTTAATTGCCCGGCACAAGTTTGGGCCATGGAAAACACAAGTGCTTTCTTCATCAGATCAACCACTTCAGTGGACCTGGGTGTGTGTTTTTTGAGGGTGGCCTTTTTTGAGTGTGTTTATTTCGGGAAACGTGAAGCCACCCATTTTGAAAAACCCTCCGTTGCTATGGAACCACCTTTTAAGTTGAAATACCAGAGTTCAAGTGATTCAAGAATGTCCAGTACTATGGCAGCGACGCAAGCGCGAGGATCCCCCTCACAGCCTTGAGCCAAATGATTGGCAAATGACAAAACTCATGCACCATACCCGGAGAGGAAGCTAAGAGGAACACGCCCCTTGAAAAGGTTGGTTTGTTCAACTCCCCCAGGCGCAGGACGGGTCGCAGCGAAGGGTAGCTTCACCCCTTGCTAGAATGATTGCATCAACTTAGAAAGGCGACCAAAAGACAACTCTCGAATTAATGACATGGATACGAATTAATGATCCAGGCAAAGGTGCCATCTCAAATTGCTAGCTGATGCGCAAGAGCGGCAAAACAGCTTGTCAAGAGTCGAGATGCTGGCACAAAAGCCATGACGAAGCAAGCCACTCAACTGGGAACAACAAAGCTCACCATTAAATGCTGCACTGGTTCGTATGGCTAAGATATTCAAAGCCCATTGATGCATTTTGCAATCAACTATGTTTGTCTAAGATTTGGCAACTGCTCAAGTGCGGCATGCCCGGCCGCCTCACAAGGACACCGGTTTAGGGCGCGAAGTCGCCCCCCCTGATGCCAAGCACACACAAGTTTCTTTACTGCAATGCAAACCAAGACACGAAAACTTCAACCTGGCAACACAAGGGTGTCTAGCAGCGACCTGGTGAGAGCCAAGTAGTGTCATGCAATTCACTTCTCGTGAAACTAATTGAGTTCGCTTCACGCTGTGAGGCTCTCAAAGCTAGCCAAACACGGCAGGGGCAGGTGAGGTGTTCATTCAGGCTTTGATTGTTGCGGACAACCCCCAACATGAATCAAGTCGAGGGCAGCGCCCCACTTCTGAGGGCCGAGCGCCTTCGTCAAGGTATCTCCCTTTTGCTCGGTTGTCACAATGTAATCTCATTCGTAATTGGGGTTTTCAGATGCTTCTGACAATTAGGCGATGTTGATCTTGTGAGTCATTTGCAAGTGTCTCAATTTGGAAGAAGATCCTTTCGATACAATCGCAAGGACAGCTTGATTATCTTCCCAGCACTTCACAAGAATCTCACGGCCAAAGAGGTGGCTGCAAGCGATCTCCAAGGGCATCACATCATTGTACATGGCGGTGGCCAAAGCCATTGTTTCGGATTCAGTCGTGGATCGGCTGGTGACAGTTTGCCTTCGGCTTACCCACGCAAGAGGAAGGAAAGAGTTCTGGGCCTGGGCTTCAAGTGCAACGAAGTAACCCGAACAACTCCTCATGGTGCTTACACAGTCACCAAACTCGCGTCTACCCAACAGGACAGTCACAAGTTATCCAGAGGGTCACGCATGAAGGAGTGCAAGGCATAAGTCGTGGTTCGGCTCAAGTAACCCACGACTAAGCTTGTCTCGAGCAACAAAGCTGCAGCCTCTGGACGCTTTGCAAATGCTGCGCAAGTAAGCGCTGAAAACGCTTTGCGAACAAAGGTTGGGGCGCTTGGGCACAATCCTGCGCCTAATCGTGCTCTTCTGCGCGCTTTGGGGCCACTGGCAAATATTAGCGAGATAATCTGCGGGTTGCCCAAATTATTGTTCCCGGAAACAGCCCTTGTGCTCAAATTATTGATTTTGCCCCTTGCCTTTCAAAATCCTGGCTGCTGGTGGCAAATTCCTAGCGCAATGAGTCAGCTTGACTTTACCCCTTGCCTTCAAAATCCTGGTCGCCGGTGGCAAACTTCTAGCGCGCTAAATCGGCTTGATCTTCCCCTTTGCCTTTCAAAATCCTGGGCGCCGGTGGCAAACTTCTAGCGCGCTAAATCGGCTTGATCTTCCCCTTTGCCTTTCAAAATCCTGGGCGCCGGTGGCAAACTTCTAGTGCGCTGAATCAGCTGGATTTTCCTGATTAAGCCGGCGACTGCCGTCTCGCACGGGGTAAATTCGAAAAGGCTCCTGTCGTTAAATGCTGACTAGGCAAGTACAAATTGGCAACACCGCCCTCCGAGCTCATTCGACGTGATTGGGGTCACAGGGCCATGGGGTTCTTGGCAACCTCCCAGACAAGATCAGGAGCAGCTGCAACTTGAGAAGATGCAGTTACAACATAACCCAACTGGACGG